CTATGATGATGATGATTGAAGAGTCGCCACAGTCTCATGAATGATGACGATGGTGATGATTAGTATCCCCGCTCCACGTACATGATGACGATTATGATGTTGATGAAGTGCGGGGGGCCCTCGCCCCCCCCCGCGCCCCCCCCGCCCTTGCGATATGATGATGGTGATGGCTGGACGTGTGGGGTTTTTATGATGTGTCGTTGACATTTTGATATGACTGAAATCTAAGTGATGATGTATGCCTGAAAACTGAGTCAATGGCTGACGGCTATGACTGTGAGCGGGGGGCCCTGGCCCCCCCCCCGCCCCCCCCGCCCCACATCTTGTGACGCGCATTGATGAAATCCATTTGCTTTGCTTTTCCATGAGTGTGGGCCTGTGACTTTTTTTAGTGCGGGGGGCCCTCGCCCCCCCCCGCGCCCCCCCCGCCCTTGCGATATGATGATGGTGGTGGCTGGACGTGTGGGGTTTTTATGATGTGTCGGATGCGATTGCTCTGTTTTTCTATGATTATGAAGTTGTGACTGTCTATGACTTGACTATGAATTTCTGATCTGTGTTTCTTAGAATTTTTCTAAGACGTCTGTGAGTAGGATTGTAAGACTGCGACTTCAAGTTCAGATCTAAGACTATGATTGCAAGATTATGATTTCAAATCTGAGAATGCAAATCCTCGATTGTGATTGATTTCAAAACAATGCTTTCAAGTCTGAGAATGAAAATCCGCGATTATGATTGAGTTCGAGTCTTAGATTATGATTTGAAGATATGAGTCATGAAGTTGTGAGCTTTTGAATTTTTGTTAAAGATATGATGATGATGATCATAGATGACTGCATTGAAGTCAAAAGGTGTATTGAACTCAAAAGGTGCACCGAACTCAAAAGGTGCACTGAACTCAAGTGGTGCATTGAACTCAAAAGATGCACTGAACTCTTTTGAATTTTTGTTAAAGTTGTAGATATGACTATCAATATGAGAACATGTAGATGTTCTTCTAGCTTTTCAATTATACCGCTCAGGCACCGTCGTTTCGACAGAATAACGCAATCTTCGGCGCAGACGGCTTGGAGTGAAACTGAAAACTTTGGGCCTGCTTGAAAATTTCACGTCTGTGCAAGTGAGTTTTGAACTAGCAGCTGCACACGACTTTGCTTTACTTCACTTCCAGCTTTACCGTCTGTCTCCGTATTATGGAATCGTAAACTGGAAGAAAAACTATAAACATGATAGAAGCCCCCTGCTAGAGTGGAACACGATCATCGAACTTACAAGCCATGCCCTCGTTCGCCGGTGCGGTTGTGCCGCCAAAGCATCGTCTCCCTGCCGCGACCATCTGTCATAGTGACCATCTCACGGATCATGGGGCTCCTGTTGCAACAAGCGCTGTTAACCCTCTGGACTACTGCCACCGCGATGACGATGTGCGATTTGATCAAACTTACACGGAGGACACGTGCAACACCCGTCCCAGTCGCGGCGCTCTCAGGACGTCAGCTACCCCGACAAGCGAAGACGAATGTCTCAGCTACGGGGCGTTAATTGTCTTCCACGTGAGGCAGCTTCTCCGTAGTTCCTCTGCGTCCTCAAATGCTGATCTTCAGGACGCTGAAGGTCTAGAAGATTTCTGCATGGTGCCTTCGCCGGCGAACACGAACAGCGGCAGCAGAACGAGAGCTATGCCTACGCTGTTGAATGATACCTATCGCGACTCAGTTCATCATGATCTTTCCCACCAACTGGACCAAGCAGCAACAGCGACGAGGCCTGTAAATACTACGGCTGGCACCTCTACTCGGACCACATCGAAGAAGCGCCGCTCCTTGCTGCAAAACTGGAAGCGCGCAGGGAGATTTCTTTTCCAAACGACAGCCTGCGTCACCGCTCTCGTCTACCTATTATCCACTGATGTGGTTTTCACAGATAGTCCTGGCAGGGATGCGACACGATTTTCGTCGACTTCTGATGCTGTCGTTGGAACAAGCGTTGGGGCCGCAACTACACTCGGGAGTGATATAACCGGCGGCGTAAAAATTCACGGCGCTCCTAGTGCATCTTCTTTCCTATTTTCACCGTCGACAACACTGCACAACGCGGCCCAGCATTTCTTTCTGTCGCTGTTCACCTTCTACTTGCTGATTCCAGACGGGGCCCTTCCGCTGCTGTTGATGGCGCTCTTTTACTATCAAATGTAAAAATGTCTGGGTCTGGAAGAATGCAAATTGTCATGCTAAATCTGAAGCATGCAAAAATCTGTGTTGCATGATTGCCAAAGTCGTCCAGTTTTGACCAAGTCGGGAGGGAGTTTCTTATGCAGGATAGGCATGAGAGAGATCGCACAGAATCTGTCATGCTAGGTCCTGCATTCCAGGCCTCATGGATCATGAAAAAACTGCATGACAAATCGCGCATTCTTCCAGACCCAGACACTTTTGCAGTTGATATTTACTGTCTCGGCGTTGGCGTCGGGATGTACCTCATGCGGGGGATCATCGAGAAAGAGTTGCTGCAGACGATGGACAGAATTGGTGGAGGATCTTCGTCGACATCAACTGCAATTATTTCAAGTGGACCTCCACAAAATAAAGCTGCGCTCGTGAACACGTCCAACCCGATCGTGGTTTACTCCCGCCTGCTCGAGCCGGTGAAATCATTCCTCCATTTTTCGGCACTCGTTGTCGCCATTTTTCTGCGGCGCAGAGTGGACATTCTGAAGGACGCCCTCTTTCGCAGCAGCCGGGAAGTTATCAAATGTAAAAATGTCTGGGTCTGGAAGATTTCTAGATTTGTCATGCATATTTTCCATGAAGACCCATGATGTCTGCGATGCATGCCGTAGCATCACAGATTTTTAGAGGGCTTTGTGATGCCTCAACAGCGTGAGAAATGACCTCTCCGCGTAGCACAAACTGGAGTCCTCTTGCTGGTCATGCAATACAAATTTTTTCAGAATCCAGAGACAGCATCACAAGTTTAGAATGTTCCAGACCCAGACATTTTTACACTTGATAGAAGTAAACGACACCTGGTTTTTCGACGACAACGTGAACTTTCTGGGACTGGGTAAGGATGAATACGCCGGGAAAGAAGACGTGGATGTGTGATAAAGAAGTACTTGTGCACCGGCAGAAGGCAGCAAAAGAAAAAGATAGCCTATCGTCCCTTTCTTCAGGAGCTCTTCGATTTTCTTCAAAAAGACTTTCTTATGTGACTTGCAAAAAGCCACAAGGACAAGAAACCCACAGGTGGATCGAGCAAGAAAAAATATCAATTGTTGATGCGGTGGATGAAGTGAAACTGAAACAGAAACTGATTTTCTCTGAAGAATCTGACAACGCTGACATAGCGTAAAACCGCATACATATATTGGTTTCATTGAGGATGATGATGATGATGGAGACGAACCACGGGTTGCAGTAGTGCCAGCTGTCTTCCGGAGAGCCGCCGGCTGTGGTCTTCTACTAGGTCATCGTCCGCAGCGCTCGTTCGAGTGTGCGGAGACAAGACAATGTCCAGCACTCTTTGAGAAATTACATACGATCAGCATGAGAGAGGCTTCCAAATATGGCAGTAAATATGAAGCACCCTTTTTGTCGTCGTGCTACACCTTGCGGAGCGGTGGGTGAAAGTATGGTGCGTATCCCTATTTGAAGACACAACGCGCCCACGTTGGTTGCACGGCCTGCCGACGAAGTTTTGGTCTTGTCGCGAAGGCGATCCAAGTGTGTGCTAGTCGTGCGTAATTGGTGGAACTTCTATTGGCGCCCTTGGGCGACTTCTACGCGGCGTGTCTGTGCGACCACCCAGAGAGTTTTCTTCTGTCTATTTCTTCTTTGCTCGTTGTCGTTGTAAGCACAGTCAGTGTTACGACGTAAAAAAAAAACGACCAACTACACATCATGCGTAAGTCTGTAGGAGCAGGATGTGCTGTACAACGATCAGTCTGAGTCGTGTGTTGTAGAAATCGGGACCTCGAGAAGTTGCTTGTTTGTTATCACAATTTATTTTTATCTATCCAAACTATAATCACAACTAGACGCCACGATTATGATGGGGTTTTCAGCAAATTTTTCGAGCGCGAGCTCCTCCTCGTCCTCCACAAGCCCCCGCGCCACAACTGCCATATTCAACGGCTTCAACGGCGCTGGCACCGCCGGCAAGCCAAGCGGCATGAACTTTCTGACAAACAGTGGAAACAACAAACCATCGAACTACCGAGTCGCGGCAACTGGAACACGTGACAAGGGCGATCACACACAGCGCGCTCAGCAGTTGCTCAAGCATGAGTCCCCCGCTGCCCCACACGAAGAACACGACATTGACCACATCGAGTCCCTTTGCAAGTTTGATTGGGGTGTCGATCCTAAACCTGATGAATTGACATCCAAGTACAGCTTCGAGGGAGACGTTGTGGGCACGGGTGCGTTTGCGGTGGTGCTGAAAATCAGGAATAAAGCTGGTGGTGCACACGGCTACGCGGCAACAGATGGGTGCTCGGCGACCACTACATCCACAAACGCAAGCACGGTTAATACAACAACCACAGACACAGACGGTAGTGAAAAGAGCCAATTTTCCGCTCTGAAAATCCTCCAGAACGAGGAGTACCCGAAGCGTGGCATACTGCACTTGCTGAATCAGGAAATGGATGCGATGCGGTTTTTCTTCGAGCACGAGCATGAGAACGTGATGGGCGCGAAGGAGGTATACCAGACAGAGGAGCACACGTTTCTGCTGATGGAATTGCTGGACACGACCTTGCTTTCCATGCAGAAAAAGTACTGCAGCGGAGGTTGTGGTGGTAATGGCAAAAATCTTCCGGGGATGGCGCATAATATGGGAAAAATGATGCGGTCTTCTGGCCCACGTGGTGCAGCGTGTAATTTTGGGCGAGGTGGTGCTAATTCTTTCAACAGCCCGCTGATGTTCACGAACAACAACGGCGTCGGCGTGCCGGAGCACATCGCGAAAAACTGGATTTTGCAGCTGCTCCACGGCGTGCACCACCTGCACTCGAACAATTGGGTGCACCGTGACCTAAAACTGGATAACTTGCTCTACGACTGCGACAGGGACACGGTCAAGATTTGCGACTTCGGGTGGGCATGTCAAGTGAGTGGCTCAAGTACATCTTGCAGTAGTTCAACTACATCAACACACGGTGCTGGTGCTCTGTCGTCTCCTGCCGATCATGATCCTCCACATCATCATCTCGCACAGCAGTCCCGCAATGAGATGTGCGGGACGCCGAATTGGAACGCACCCGAGGTTGGGGACGTGAAGCAGTACCCGTGGGTCCACTGGCAGAAAGCGGACGTTTACACCATTGGGGTCGTGTTTTTCACGCTTTTGCAGAACCAGGTGTACAACTGCGAAGACGTGAAGCAGGAGCAAATTCTCCTCTCCGGCTACCTCACGACCGGGAGCAGCCGGCGGTCCAACCTGTCGGACGGTGCGAAGTCGTTTCTGATCACCTGCCTCCAGAAAAACCCCGGGAGAAGGCCCTTTGCTGTGGCGGAACTGATCCAGAGCGCATACTTTTTCTCTGATCTGCGTGGGACAGCTACAGCACCGAGCGCTGCCGTCAGGAAGAGTGCGAGTGCGACGCATCATGCGGGAGGTGGCAGTTCTAGTAGTTCCACTGGAAAATCAGCAGGAGCAGCTAGTGCCGGGAATGGATCTCGAAGCAACGCTGGTGGAGTTGTTTCTGGTGCAACAGGTGGACCTTCACAAGGCGCGGCTGTAAAGAATCCGTTTCTGCGAACGGCTGGGGGACCGCCTCACGGCTTGAGCGCATCAGTCGCAAAAAATCCTCCACCAGTCACTTCCGGTTCCCGGTTGTCGCAAAATTCATCCGCGTTGTCGTCAACACGAAATTTTAATCGACCACGGAACAGCTTTGGTACCTGTTTTCATTTTTGAATTTGAATGATTTTCTTGCTTAGAAGCTCCAGACCCGTGAGTGTGAGCAGGGCGTGTAACAAAGATCAACGAATTCGATGCGACGTGTACTTTAGTGAGTTGTAAAAACTACTTCCTTGTTGCGGCTCGCGTCTTATGCAAGATGGCAAGAAGTTGAAGTCCAAGTCGTGAGAATATCTTACCTTCTTGCAGGCGGTCACACAACGTCCCACTTCGTCTACAACAATTTCGGTGGATCCTCGAGCTCCTCGAGTAGCAGCTCTGCACACGACCCGCAGGAGCAAACCGGAGCCCCGGCGCAACGGCCCACGGTCACGGAACAGCTTTCCCGGCTCCGACCGAAACCCCACCGGCAGACCATCTCGAACTGGCCCAGCGCGGGATTTCTTGGCGGCGGTCGTCAAGAACCAAGCGGATCTTCCAGTGTGACTAGTTCGTCGCAAGAAGGACATCATAGCCCCCGTTTGGAGGATAATTCGACGTCATCGGCGTCCTCCTCCAGAAAGGCAAACGGTGCAGCTACCGACGAAGTAGAGCACCAACAGACCACAACGTTGCCCAAACAAACTCAAACGCTAAACCTGAAACAGTCGCCGGCCGCTGTTGTTTCGCCATTCTCGCCACGATACGCCTTGAGCAGTCAGAGACTAAAATCCAACACAAGCCAAGCTGCAACGCCCGGAGCTGGCGTCGGCAGCGGCGGTTCCATGACTGCTTCTACGCCGCACCAGCTGGTCGCCCCAAGCCCTTTGCAGCTGAACCAGGTGAACAGCAGTTTGACGAACACGGCAAACCCCTCGCATTGTCTGAACCTCAGTCTGAACTCGACCATTTCCAATCTTGGGTCGTCTTCGGCATCAAATTGGCTGAGCGGTTACAACCAGATGAGCTTGAACTTGAGTTCTGGCCAAAATGTAAACCAATCAAGCAGCGGCTACAACGCGTCGCAACCAAGTCCAGGAGCTTCCGCAGCGGGATCAGGACCAGTAGCTACCGATTCGCTAAACCCGACAAATTTGCTGAACATTACCGGGGGGAGCACAAGCGGACTACTGATGTCCTCCAAGACGAACTCCGCCGTTGGAACGCCCTCTGCCCATCTGGGAAAACTGAATCTGTTGAACGTCGTCAATCAAAATTCCAATGCTAAAAACATGTTCAACAACAGCACCAGCAACGTTGCCACGCCAACGGCGCAAAACTCCGGCGCATCCATGCAACCGCTGTACGCGAGGAACGCGCAGCACCAGAAGAGCAGCGCGCCTGCCGCGAATTGTTCATCGTCTTCATCGTCGACGAGTCGGTTCATGAGCTCCAGCCGGAGCGTCCCGACGTTCGCGCCTATGAAACGCTTCCAACCGAACTTACGAACAGAAGCGAAAAATGCTGGCGGCGCTGGATGTGAAAACAGCTACTACAACAAGGCTGACAACAATAAAACGAAAATGAATCCGTTCCTGTTTAACAAGAGCCGCGGCGTGGCAAGACAGACAGATCCACCGGAGCAAAACGTCGACGGAAATGAGGCAGATCCTGTCGAGGGTTTTTTTGGTTCTGGCAGTGGAGGTGACCGCAGTAATGAACAAGAACAGGAGGAGGCGGAGCAAAGAGCCACAGATTTTCATCTGCGTGAAAATTTTCTTCGACAAGAGGAGCGTCACGAGGAAGATGTTGACCTGGCGCTGAAGATGAACCAATGTGATCGTCCAGGTCCTCAAGAAAATGGTCACGCAAACGATCCCGCCACGACAACCTCAACCGCGACTCCGACCGCCACGACAAGTTCTGCTTCGAGCACAACTAGCACGGTTTCGTCCCTGCTGGTGCCTGCAGCAGGACTGATTTCAACTCCTGCCGCGACCACATCACCGGCTTCCGATAGAATTCCTGGATCTACAACCCTGTCACGGTCGTCACACTCGTCCTTCCTCGCTCTGGCTGCCGTGGGCGCGCCCACCTCTCCAGCGACGGGCACGCCGAGGAGCTCCGCATCCGGATCCAATGGTCACACAGCCGCAACGTCGACCCTTTCCTCCAGCTCATCGACCTCTAGTCTGAGCAAACTTTTGAAACGCGGCAGTGGTGCCGCGTCCTCGTCATCCGCACACCTGAAGACGACCGTGAAGAAGCACCTGGACAAGCCGAAGGCGTTGACGAGCCGTAAGGTGTGGTCGCGGGAACCGTGTTTGCACGTGAATCGGCTAGCCGATATCAGTGAAGAAGAGGGAGACCTGGGGGCGGATGACGTCAGTGCAACAAGTCAGGAGCAGCGCGGTGTCGCGGCGCCACGATTTTTGGGCGGAGTGGGGAATAAGACAAACCTTCACGACAGTGAAGCTACTGATAGGGCGGGTTCGAAGACAGGTCCAGGTCTTCCGGCCACTGGTGTAGTTAATACAGCTTCGTGCTCGAGCAGCTCCTCCTCGTCGCGCTCTCCAGCATTTCCTGGGGGTTCGGCTGGAAGTAGGAGTGAGGCAACTACTACCTATCGGGCTGCGGTTGACTACGATGACGAAACCTCCATCCCCGAAGAGTTTCTTGAGCACAAGCACCTCGTCCACAACTCTACTTCTTCGATTTCGACAAGTTCGAAAAACTACAGACACGAGGGGGGAGGAGTGCCGCCGCCGATCCAGATCCAGAACATGAAGAAGCTTTCGCCGACGACTGGCTCTTCGTCTTCCAGTGGTGCGGTTTCTAGTGCAACTTCAACTTCTTGGTCGCAAGCCGACATGCAGAATTTGAACACCAGCAGCCGGGAAGCACGGAAGAAGCATCTGATGGAGCGCTTCGGGGTATTGAGCGCGTCGACGGCGGAATTCGCGCCGCTGGGTGCAACTGCTCGAGCCGCTTCCCCCCGCCCGGCCAACGTAGACACGAGTGGAGGAGCCTCGTCATCGTCAAATACGAACAGTACGAGGTTGATGGAACAAGGGAGAAGCAACTTCGAGGCGGCCACCCATCGGAAAGCTAGTGCCTCTAATATCAGCGTTGAAGAGGAAGATGAGCGCCCGAAAGGGCGCAGCTCGGCGTCCGCCTTCGAGGAGGAGGACGAGGAAGCCAGCGACATCGAGAACCAAAACAATCCGCCGATCATTCAAGATCCTGAAAATAAATACAACGAACTGGTGTATGAAGTGCACCAGCGCGCGTCAACTTCTAGCTCATGCAGAGGCTCAAATCCTGCCTCTCGTCCCACCGAAGATGGAGTAAATATGAGTCACAAACTCAGCACCTCCCACGCACACATTCTGCCGAAGAAAGCGTACCGGGCACAGCAAATTTCTCAACCAAACATTCCGAGCAAAGCGATGCCGTCAGCACTGTCAACCAGCAGCACCTCCGCACCGTCGTCCAAGCCTGTGCTAGACACCCGCAGCGCTTCCAGTTCAACCACTGCGACTGCAACCACGATGGTCGAGATTGATTTGCTGCCATTAGAGCAAGACGACACGCTGTTAGAGGACGAAGACCTTGTGGGTCCAGCAGTCGGCCAACATGCAGAGGAGATAGAGGGGGAACATGATGAACTCCCCAGGATGACAAGCGAGTGTCTGTTGCCGACAGAGGAGGGGGCAGTAGTGGAGGAACGTCAGAATGCTGGTCAGCCCGAAGATGGGTTGTTTCTTGAACAAGACGACAGTCCCGTGGTGGCAGCGACCTCTGCGCTGAAATTTGGAAGCTTTTCATCTGCGACGACAGCAGCATCTTCGCGTGGGGCTGCAACGACTTCAGCTGCCAGCAATTCCTCCTCTGCCGCGTTTCCGTTTGCCGCCTCGCGAAACAAGAACTCGTCGTCGCTTGCCTCTGTTTGGAACAAACATTCTGCCGGAGGACAGCCGCTGGATTCTTCATCCGCGTTCTCCCTGCCCTCTCCAACGGAGCGGGAGCGCGAACGCCAACTGCAACTATTGAAAACCAATTTTGAACACCAATCCACTGGTAGCGGCGGAGTAAATTATGCAAAGTATGATCCACCACCGCCAGCTGCACAGCAGCTAGGGCAGCAACAGCTGCAAGCGCCAGGTGTCGTTTCAGCAACTTCCTCGCCGCTTGAGGTTGCAGAGCAACAGCAAGCCTTCATGTTCCATCAGTCCAGTACCTCTCTGAAAGATAACCTCCTCAGCCGTCTGAATCAGCGCACGCAGCACGGGTTAGCGACGAGCATGGAATTTGGCAAGGGACAGCTGAAACTTGGGTCGTTAAACTACCCGGTATACACTGCGACTACCACCACGACTACTCCCACACCTACACCAGGGAACAACACTGTGATGAACTGCAAGAACCCCTCTTCGTCGATGACTCAAGCCCCTCAAAGCAGCAGAATCACGCCGCGGCACGGGGGTGTACAACTCTCTTCCTCGCTATGAAAGCGTCAGGTTTGAAATCGTCAAAGTTGAAATAATTTGTAATGCATAAAATGCATGACCGGAGGCACGTGTGTTGCAGAGCAGGCAAGTGAGGCCGATTGTAAGCCTGTTTGGGGATACAGCTCGAGCTGCTAAAGTAACATGAGAAAATCGCTCTTCTTTGCCTAAACAGCATGACAGAGTGGATTTAGGGACCGCCGAAATTTGTCTTGCGCCATTTGAAAACTGGGTTCCAATTGGCATCCATTTTATGCATGGCAAATTATTTCAACTTTATCGATTTCAACTCTGACACATCCATACTCGCCATCGAGTGAAGCAGCGGCATCCACGTCGACTAGTGCAGTCCAGCCAAGACAAAATCAAAATCCCTACATGCTTGCCTCGTTCAAAAACTTGATGTCGACGAGTTCGGGACCAGGAGCTTTGGGTGCAGCTTCAAGCGCGATGAAAGTAAGCCGGAACTGTTCGCCACTCGAGCAGCAGTCAAGCGCAGCCTCGTTGTTGAGCACGACGGGTGGGGGGAACGCTGCGTATTTTTTTTTGAGTTTTGAAGATGAGTTTCTTTGTGCTTTTCCATTGCTCGAAAGAGAACATGCATATAGCACTCTCGTATCCTGCTGCATCAAAGTAGAGTAGCCTCTAGCTCAATGATAACGACAACTTTTCAGGCTGAGCCACGCCCTGGGCCAAACGCAAACCGCGACGCTGGGATTCGCACACAACAAGACCCGCGCTTCTGGAGTTAGCTTGCGTAGGCAATCTACCCCCGGCATTTTTCGACAGTATTCGCACGTGGATCATTTTTGATGAATGAAAAGCGCCGAAACGGCCGAAAGATTCAGCCAGCCACGTGAAGATGAAGGCGGAAAACAACGAATCTGCTGCACGAGTGCATCGCCATGACTGTCAACCTCGCGAAGAAGCTCAAAGATGTCTGAAAAATGTCTAAAGCATGAAATGAAGACCCTCTCGTCATCGTCTGTCTGTGATCCTGATCTCGGTCTGTATCACGTTTGCAGCTGATCAGTAGTTAAGAAACTGCTTTGAACGAAGGCCGCGAGTTTCTGCATTTATACAATCAACTGGAACTGCATCCCCATTTGCATGTCGAAACTACCTGTGCCGCTTCTATACGTATACTCGCTGCGCCCCATTTGTGTACGTAGAAAAAACCACCACGACGAGGACGAATTGCGCTTCGGAGTTTGTATAACAAACAAGTTTCAGTATTCACAGCCTCCACAAAATCCTTCTTGTAGGATACTGCTCTTGCCAGTAAGATAGGATCATAGCATGAAGGACACACACCGTAGTTCCATTTCTAATTCTATTTAGCCCTCAATTACGAGTTAGACCGAACAAATGAACTTGAATGAACCGCGTCAACAGGAGAGAGAAGGAAAACCACGTCTCATATGCATGATGTGTACCTGGAACCAGGAACAACGACCCATGACCCACATACCATTTGCCAACCACACCGTAAAAACTGCCGGAGTGAAATATTTCTGATTTGTCAGAGCTACAGCTCAGCGTGAGCACCAAGGAGGTGCAGGAGCGCTGTAATGGTTTGCCAGTGAGCAGCCACAACAGGGCGCGGCGTCTTCTCATTTTGTTCATCGCATGTTGGCAAAAAGCTTGCTGAAGGGCCCATTTGTCGAGGTGCGTGATTACATGCGAGGACGAAGGAACCGCGCACCGTGTCCCGCGGGGGTTTGAGTTTGTTTGTTCAGCTATGGTCGCCGCGGGCCATGTCAGATAGTTAGCTTATGCTTATCTCTGCTACTTTAGAGTGGGAGTGTTGGCGAGAGCAGTCCGTGCGGCTTTCAATGTATGTCGGTGCCCAGTATCCGTGACTTCTTCTCTTTGGCGCCGAAGAGCCAGGCCGCACTTGCTGAAAGCGGAACTGCGTTCTCCCTGAACCACTACCCAGCTGCGCCAACTAAAAGTAAAGGCGGGCCCGCGAGCACTACCAGCACGACTTTCTCAAGTCTGTACAAAGAAGAAAAAACTGATCGTGCCGCCACGCCCACGCGCAGGACTTCTAGCGCCTCGAGTCGGGCGCCATCATCCTGTGCGGCAGCAAGCTCTTATCGATCCCAGGCAGGGCGGGGCAGTTCCCCAAACAAGGAGTTTGCGCGCACTTTCTCACCCGTGATCAAGAGAAGTAAGAGCGGAGCCTCTGCAACATCAACACCGTTGGTTTCTGCAACCACAACCGGCGGCGCAGCAGCTATGTCCATGTCGTCCAAAAATTCCTGTGTCATGCTGCACAGCAGTAGATCCACGTCGTCGCTGTCGCCGGAGAAGAGACTGCGGATCGAACAGGATGAAGAACAGCAACTGCAGAAAGCCAGGCATCGCGGAGAAGTATTTATCTATGCTAGCGATCACGATCATGTTCATGAAAGTAGATCGGTTCGTGGCTGCTACAGTCCGTTGTTGTCATGCAGAAGTGCTATCACTTTCACTGACTTTGACTTTGTGTATTGTCTTTCGCTCGATCAAACAAAAACATCAAATGCCCATAGACATACAAATGCACTGAACAACATCAAAAAACAGCTCAAGTCCCTTTCCGACCAGTATGACATGAAGCTACAGGACGCCAGTCACGACCTGAAAATGTTGGAGGAAGAGAATAAAAAACTCCACGTCGAGCTAAAACTCCAACAAGACGACCATGTGTCCGAACTACAGGAGTTAAAAGATCGGGAAAAGGACCGCGGCGAAACGATGGCGCACTTGGAAAAGAAACTGCATTTGTTGAAAACGGAGTACGACCAGGAAAAGCGCAGCATTGTGATGGAGAAGAATGAGCTACAGGTGCGACGTACACTTGACGAAGATGTCTTCTGTTGACTTCAGAAGGATGAATGAGCGCTCTGTTTGCAAATTGCCATCGCGCGGTTTGTGTTTCATTTGTATTTTGGATCGAAATCTCCAAAACTTGTACCTGACGAAACGGAAACGAAAAATGAACATAAGGTCGAGCTTGACAGTCTTCGGGATATGCACAAGTCCTACGTCGATCTTTACACCAGCATTCTGCAGAAGAAGGACGAGAGCTACTCCCGACAGATCTCCGAACTGGCACAGGATCTCGCGAAAGACAAGGAAGAAGCCCTGCGGGTACTGGAATCCCAGAAGAAACAGCTAGAAGCGACCGTGGAGAGCGAAAAGACAAAGCTTGGACGTATTACATAAAAAGCTTCTAGTGTTTGATTTAAGTTTGACTCACTTGTGAAACATCATTTTTTATGTCGTGATGATCATGATCTGGAGGATGATGTTGCCGGTCTGTTTGGGCAACAGTCAAGATGAAAATCGTGCTACGTGAGCAATGGTGCTTTACTGTTTATCTTGAGATGTCCCGCCCCCCACTTACACACTCTCTCACAGAGGAACGGCAGCTGCTACTCATTGAGCTGAACACGGCCCGGCACCAGTGTGAGGAGCTCCGGACGCAGTTGCACGCAAAGGACCGCGAACAGGAGGAATTTCTGAAGGACTTCTCGCTGCGAAACTTCGCCTCCCCGTTTTTCGCTTCGTCTGCCGGAACGGGAACAGCAGCGGGAGTTTCTGGTGACGCGCATCATAAATCTGGAACTACGACGATGAACACCAGCAGCTCGATGCTGCCGTCAAATAGTTCCTCCCACCAGAATTTCAACCTCCACCAGTCCCTAACAACCAAAACGGCCCTGAAAAAGCTGCTGCAGGACCAACAAAACGAGCTGGACCGGATGGAGGACCGCCGGCAGAAAGAGTTGAATTCCGCCCGGCAGAAGTTGAAGCTCCTCGAGAAAAACTACGAGATGAACCTGGAGAAGTTCAAATTGGACTTCGAGGAGAAAATGCGGCTGAAGGTCGAGGAAACGCGACAGAAGTGCAAGCAGCTGCACGAGATCGAGTTGGCGGAGACCGACGAGAAGCTTTTCGCCAAGGAGAAGGAGATGCGGAAGGAGTTCGAGAAGGCACTGGAGAAGCAGTTGGAGAAGCATTTGGAAATCAAGGAAACGGACATGAAAGCGATGAAGCTCGAGTTCGAGCTATCCCGAGTAAAAATGCCCTCACACCAGAGTCAAGATGGGAAATCTGCTACACAAATCCGTGCACTTTGGCTGTCGTGCATGACAAGTTTGGGCTCGCAATGCCAATGTAGTAGTCTCGTATAGCTAGGGCAGCAGCATCACAGATCCAGTTTGTCGCGCTGGTTCGAGCATGACAAATCTCAAATCACCTCTAGAAAACGCCTCGCATGAGCCTCCGCATGAGAAACATTTTAAGCATGCAGATTTGCATTACAACTCGCGGGTGGGGACGTTTTTACACAGGATACGAGCGGCAGTTGAAGGACATCGAAAAGAAGTACGACGACCAAACCTTTCTGAAATTGAAGAAGTGGGAGGAGGAAAAGAAACTGAACGAAAAAAACGCGAGTTACGAAAAATACGAGCTGGAGCAGCTGTGGGCGGACAAGGTGAACCTGTTGCAGGAGGAAATGCAGGCGGTGTTGGAAAACGCAAAGCACTACGAGGCGAAGATCAAGCTGGTTGACGCCACCTGGCGGGCCTGCTACCGCCAGGTGAAACATTTGCGGTGTGTGCAGGAAGCATTCCGGCCCGCGTTGAGGAAACAATTCGGAGGTGGTGGTAATCGGAAGGAACAGCAGACGCCGGGAGGAGGACACCAGGGGTTTCAGCATCACAGCCAGCAGCCAGCATCTATGTCGCGAAACAGTTCTTCCAATCGACATTTGTCAGTAGCGGGCGCTGGTGGTACTGCGAGCTCGGCGTCCTCCAACTACGCGAATTCACGCTCCTTTCAACAAGTCCACGACGCAGTCTCCTTCGCAGAGGAAAATGATGAGTTTGGTATGGACCACCTGAGCGCGAGAAATAGCAGACCCTCTGCCGGGCAGGTAGCAGCGTCGACGGCGCCCGGAAATAAACCTTCTGTGGCTACAGCTAGCCATGAAATCCGCAGCGGTCCGACGCTTTTGCAAGTAGATGACTTTGATGTCATGACGGGAAATCACAATCTCAATCAGCAGAAGCAGTGGCAGAGTCTGAGTGGCAAGATGGCGGCGACGACGAAAAACTCCGACTCTCGCCGGTCCTTCACGCCGAGCAGAAGAGACCTCCAGGGAGCGCCGTCGATGTCTATGGGCCAGAGCAACATCACCTCGTCAGCTAACAACTCTGGTCAGAGCCGTTCGGGTTCGGTGAACCGCAGCCGACCGGTTTCGGTAGCCGAAAAGACGACTGCAATCAGTAGCATTCGGAGATCCGCTAGCCTGCGACTGCACTCCACCAATTCGGCGCGGTGATGGACGGGAGGTTTTCGCATTGGGGGTGTTGATGTATGATGGTCGATCTCGTGGTGTGTTGTGATCTTTTTAATATGGCTTTTCAATCTACTTTGAGAGCACTTCATATTTTCTACATGTACGATTGCTCAAATGTTGCTGCATTACCAGCATTTTGATTTTCATTTTCTAAGTTAGATTAGTGCATGCCCAGTGACCTACGTATGTAATCATGAATACGACAGAGAAATAAAGCTACTTCCGTGATAGTGTAAGCTCAAGCTGCGAACTTACCTAGTGACTACGAGAAGCTGAAACATGAATATAATCAAAAGACGCGATACATGTATCGACGTGGAAGCAAGATCAAGACTCAAGTTGGAAGACAGAGAAGCTAGAGTTCCGCCTACTCCCAGCCGGCGGCATTTGTGACATAGGTAGAGTGCTTGCCTAAGTGTAGTCGGATCACAATGAATACTGGGCGTTGCCCCACCACACCCCGACGAAGAGCATGTGGCAAACGAGCACTTCTGCCGTATTCGCCGATGTTTGTTCGCTAACAACCGCCGAACAGTCGGAAGTAGGAGACCACCGGCGCCGCTATTCTTTTTATTAGCCTTCCGCTCGCGAGTCACTATATATTTTCTGCCTGCGATCACATTGACGCGGGCGATATTGTTCGCACAGGCCGGGACGTTGGCGAAGGAGACGAGGGACCCTTTCAACCAAGTCGACGGCGCTGGTAGAGCCCTGCGCCCCAGTTTCCGAGCTCGCGCAACCGGAGGGGGGCCACAGCGCCGCGGCGGCCGGCGCCGGCGCCCAGAGCGAACCCCCCCTCCCCCAAACCGGGGGGCCTGCAGCATGGGGGAGCGCGGTGGGGAAGCCCGGCGGCGGCGCCTTTGTTTCTTGGCCACCGGCCCCAGGACATCGAGCAGCTCACCCCGACCGTATTCTCTGGCACAACGAGGAGCGCACGCGTGAACACTACCGCGCCCGAGCTAACGAGGAGGGACAGAGGGCCCCGCCGCAGGCAGTTCGCCCCGCCCCTTGCATCGTGCCGCCCTGCGGTCTCCCGGCCGGGCAAACAATGGGAGGCCGCCAAGGTCTCGGGGCAGGGTTTCGCCTGGCCGGGTAAATAAAAGCTAGGGGTGGCATAGCGGGCCGGCACATTTGCGGCGATAGGTCCACTGGGCCCCCCAATCGAAGAGGCGGCGCCCGCCTCCCTTTCAGGGCGCGAGCGCTGCCCTATTGGCCTCCCTCAAGAGCGCGAGGCCCCCGGCCCGCAGAAGACCGCCCGGCGTGCGCGCCCCCATTGGCCAGCGCGCACCCTTCTAAGGGAGCGCGTTGCGCGCCCCCGAGCCCTGCGATTGACCAAGCGCCCCCGTGTTCGTTCGACAGCGCGCGAACTCGGGCGACAGTCGTCCGGGCGGGGGCTTGCTTCCTTGTGGCGACTTTGCCGCCCCGCCCCTCCCTCGCCCAATAATGGGGGGCGAGACCTTTGCGCGCCTCCGGCCCGGCGCGCGCGCGCCTTCTGGTATGGCAGCACGCAGGCAGGCGGCGAGGCGCCCCGGCGCCTTATTTTGGCCCCGGGTGGGGCGGAGCCCGGGGCCAGGCGCGCGCCCTTTGTTTGGAACCAGTACCGTTCCCATGTACTTAGAAGATATCCAAGCGGCGCGCAGATATCTCCATCCGGGGGGCCGCAGCCCAGCCGGCGCGCCTCTTACTTTTTGTGTTAACTGGGGGCCGCCGACGGCCCTTCTGGATCTGCCGGCTTCCTCGGCCCGCGGCCCTTTCAGGGGCGGGCCCTTTGTTTTGTGTGCCCCCGGCCTTGCCTTCCCGCCTTTTGGCCGGCGCGCGCCAACCTGATTGCGCGCCCGGCCGCTTTCTTTTGGCTTCTGGCTGGGCGGCCCCGCGGCGGCCCCGGTCTGCCAGTGCGAAGCCTGCGGCCTTCGACTCACTTTGCAACTTCTGGCAAGGTGGGCCCAGGGTTGGAGGTGTCGCCCCGTTCCGGCCCCGCGTTGTGTGGCGTCGCCCGTGCTGCCCTTTTCCGTCGCGATGGCCATAATTGGGCGCCGTGTTTTGTGGCTTGCCCGGTTTGTTGTGTCGGCTATTAGGCCAGCCTGCCCGCAGAGCAGCTGCATGCCCCGCGCCCTGTCCTTGTCGTGTACCTACTAGGTCCGGGGTCGCCAATTCGGCTCCTCGGGGGGGCCGGTGTCAATATTACTCCCCGCAGGCATGCCTGCTCGTATAGTCCGAGTAGCCTGACAGCGTCCTATTGTTCAATCTATGTTTTGGCCCGTAGTCGTTTTGTTGACTTTCTAAATGCGCTGCCGGCCAGAAAAATCCGATGGTCAGCATGCGACTAAGTGTTATTTTTCATGGGCATGGATGCTGAAGAACTACAACTAGTACAAGGGCGCCCATCAGCATTTAGTTTGATTTTCGGATGGGGAATCAATTTGCGAGCTTTCAGCATATTCATGTAGTACTGCTACTGGTGTAACTGTACATGATTTTTCCCTAAGGGCGGCTCCAATGTCGTTCGTTTCCCAGGTAGTTGTTTTCGTCCCCGCGTCAGCTTGCTCTTCCTCCTCCCACCGCCCGAATCTGTTCAAGCTCTCCCGCGCGCACCACCGGTTTGCGCCGGGCTGGCAGGGCGGCGGCAAGAACCGGTTTTCTCGGTTCCGGGACCGGGCCAATAAGCTCCACGTCGACTACATTCGGCAGTTGGGCCCAAAACTGGAGCAGAAGAGCCCCCAGATGCTTAACCCCAGCGGGGGACAGTACGACAAGACGCTGAAGACCGCGCACCAGCGTGCCAATGAGCGGTTCGGGATTCACTTCGAACCCGGAGATGTTGCTGGTCATGGACATGGTGGAGCAGAGAGTGTTTGTACAACGACCGGGGGAACCTCCTCAGGAGGATCCTCTTCATCTTCCTCTGCGACCTCAAGCAGCAGCACCGGCGCGCAGTGCAGCACCGCTACAGAAACAAACCAGAGCACCAACATGTTCGCCGACGCTTTGCGCGGGCCGCGGTACCGGGGTAAGATAGCCGAATTTGAACTTCCGGGATTCGGGTCGGTGGAAGTCCACCACGGAGACCTGTTTCGGTACCGGAAGGACGCCGGGGACCGGGGGAAGAGGGGTTTTAGCGCATTTGCAGATGAGCAAGCACCTACATCGTTTGCTGGCACCAGCACCGGTAGTGGTGCCAGCAGCTCCTCATCATCTCGTCCCGGAGGATCTTCATCTTCATCATCTGCAAGAACGAATTCTAGTACAACGACCAGCTGGTTGGTCCCGATGATTCCCAACTTTCTTCCCAGCCGGGGTTTCTCGTTGGATGTTTTGGAAAGCATCGGCGAAGAGAAGGTGAAGGACGTGTTCCGCGAGTCCCGGCGGATCCTGGAAAAGCGGAATCGCACGTATTTTGAGCAGGCGAGCCCGCAACTGGACATCGGGGATGTGGTCACAGTACCGACTGCGCCTTCAACATCAGGTCATGCGTCTGCGTGGCGGTTTGGAGAAGACGAGCACGATCTGGCGGAACAGGAGCTGCTGGGAGGCGGATCCAATGAAAGTTCTTCATCAACAGAAAGTCACTTTGACTGCTCGGACGACACCCCTGCACTGCACGAACTCTGCGACCGGCTGAGTTTCTTGATAACGCCGTACTTTTGGCAGGGTTCGGCGCTGGATGCGGCGCAACGGCTCCGACACTGCGTGAAGCAGGGGCTGCGGAAAACGTTAGCGTTTGACAAAAGCGCGCTTCTGACCGAGGAAGAGGAGCGGGCCTCAACATCTTCAAGTGCAACTGCGTCGTTCGGGTCCACAATGTCGTGGTTGCCTGGACAGAGTTCGCGCATTGCCGCTGAAGATTCATTCCGCAGTCGGAGCTTTGGAGAAGGTAAAGAGTTGTACGAGTCAAGGAACGTCGTCGCGGGCCACAGCGGATCTTCGCTGCGTGCGGTGCCCGCAACAGTTCCATCTACTACATCTTCCAAAAAACCCTTGCAAAAAAGCAAAGCGACTCTGAGGTTTTTCTCTACATCCACGAGTGGAGCTGGGGCCACGAAAAATGCAATCTCGAACGAAACTTTTCCCTTGGGGAGAGATAGGCACACGATCATCATGCAGCACCTCGGAATGGGTCTTTACGGCTACGAGCCCCGGGACTCCGCACGGATTTTGCTCGAAGAAGCCGTCGAGGCGGTCTTGCGGAACGACGAGTACAGATTTGGTGATGTTGTTGCAACTTCTTCTCGAAGTCCCTCTAACTCTGGCAGCTCTTCTACGTCTGCAGCTCCTACTGCTACCAGGCCCTCTGCTGACCACCAGCCCCCTAGTACTCTAGACTCGCGGCAGATCACGATCAAGCTAATCGAGAAGGATTTTGCGACGTGCGAAATTTTGCGGGACGAGCTGGTGAAGCTGGAGCAGCGGTATTTGCCAGAGAGAAGGCCGATCACCGCTCGGAAATTCTACCAGCAGATGTTCAAGAGACTCATCGCGCTGCCGGAGCAGCCCAGCCAGTTCTTGCGGCAACACCGGGTCACCTTCCCGTTGCGGCACGGCATCATCCGCAACAGGCGCCACTGGTACATCCGGCACATGCGACCCTTCCTGTGGCGCGCACAGAAGGTCAACGTGCCGCCGCCGTTGATCGTGGAGAGTGGTATTCTGAATAAAGTCGAGTGCTTTAATATTTTTTGTTCAGTGTGTGTGTGGTTGTTATTTGTTGGTCTCTTCGTTCGCGCTGGTCCAGGAACATGAACATCTAGATTGGTGCCGCGTTTTCTTGTTCTACAGCTGGGTACAACCAATATGGGTCGACGAAGTCAAAAACTGCGAGACACTGGCTCCACTGTTCTTTTCCATCATGACCACAGGTACCGGCCATGTCGCCTCGGCAAAGCAGCAAAGGCCGGCACGACCGCATTACGATCATGGGATATCGCACGATCTGTTTCCGACGGCCAAGACAGGCCTGCACGCTCTACGCAGAAGCCAAACGACGGGCGCGTTGATCGGTAAGCTGGAGCAATACAAACTTCGCGAGGACGCGCACACCAGTGTTGTGCCAGGGGATGGAAGATGCGGGAGAAGGTGGGGAAAAAAGAAAAGTGGGTCATTCTAAGATGCTGGTAAAGAAGAAGAAGAACACAAAGAACCAAGCACAGCCGCATAGTTCGCAGTTGAGAATAAAGCAGGACCAGGAGATCGAAATAAGATCGTCGTGACAGACGTCGACGCGATCAAATTAGAACACCGTATCTATTGAAAAATGAGGTGTAGGTGGTTTCACAGTTCTGACGTTTTATTCGTCAGCACCTCCTGTCACGTTGCCGGTCCCCCGGCCCCGCGTCGGATGATCGCGTCTGAGAAGATCAAGCGTGGTTTTCAAAGTTCTGATGTTGGTTCGTTCGTTCGTGGTGTGGAAGTTCCATGAGTCAACCTCTTCTGCAGGTGACGATGAGAGTAGATGCATTTTCTTGTCTTCCCCTGAACGGCAAGTAAGGATAGGTGTAGTGCCTCACGTTTGACCTTGATGACCGAGCGGCAATTTCATTGTGCTGTTGGGTAGCGCGTTGCCCCGTCCGTCCTACACATACGACGGATGTAAACTCATGATGAATTCAGATCGCAAAACGAGGAGCAGAGGCGTCGGCCGAAGCTGCTTCATTATGGTGCCTCGTTTTTTTGTAGCGCTTACAACTGGGATACTGGTTCATTTGACAGCTTTTGGTGCAAGTCCTTCGCCGTCTGCATTTTCTACAGTTGTCCAGGCAAGAAGTCTTCTTACAAAATCAAAATGCGACTGCTGGAAAGGCACTACGCTGAGGCACAACCTCGAGCTCGTGTTCCGAGTTGCGCGCAGAGCCGGGCTTTCGTTTGGGCAGCTGCGATCCGGCGGGGCGAGGGCATGGAGAGGCTCCGGAGCGGTTCGCGGCTTCGCTACAACGCCGACCACAGAGCTCGAACAGCATGGGCACGAAGTAGGCCGCGCCACTGTTGGAGCAAGCAACGAGAGCGCTCAACATCTCGTAGAACACAAAATCGCACAGCGCTTCTTGGACCAAGATCTGGACACCGACCTGCTTTGTCGACATTTGTTTATCGACTACCACGACGCGGCAGCAGGAGCGAGTTCCGTTGTCCGTGTGCTCTCCTACTTCGCACTGTTGTACGGAGATGAAGAGAACTTTGGCGCCGGCGCCTCCAGCACGCTGAAAAATAATCTCTACCACCTGACGTGTCCGGCCGGGGAGGCACTTCTGGGTTTGCTTTGTCACGAGAAGCTCTGGTCGCGCATCAACACGTACGGCTATGGGAGCGATGCTGCGGAGAAAACTTTAAGTAGTAGTGAGCCTTCCGCAAACGCAAACGATCACTCATCCGAGCATGGGGCTGATGGAGGTCGAATTAGCGAAGGACATCAGGCGGATCTCCACAGACAAACGGAGTCTGCTGTCTCGGCCGCTGGACCGTCTCTTCACACGACCGCAACTTGGCAAATGGAGATCATCATACAGCGCTGGTTCGAATTTTGGAGTGATTGCATTTTCGAGACGACAGCGTCTTCTGCAAGATCTGAAGATGAGGGCACGATCAGCAGCACACCAGATGAAATCAGCTCGGCAGGTTCGGGAAGCCAATTATCGGGGGATGTCAACGTAAAGATGACACCATCAACTTGGAGTTCCGTTTTCCCCACCATGTCCGAAATGTTCGCCTACTACAGCGCATTCGCCGGCAAAGCGCACTTCTTGGAATCCGGGCTGCCGGGGACCAATGTTGCTGGGAGCGTCGGTTTGGAAAGTTTAGGCTTGTGTGGATACGGCGGCGTTCCTGATAGCGTTCTCGCGGAAGATGATCCTCGAACTAGCATTCGCTTTGACACGACCGAAGTTCTCGAGACGTGTACCGTGATTGCGAGTTTTCTTCACCATGAATCGCCCGCCTGGGCAAGTGAAACCCGAGGAGTCGAGGACAATGTATCTTCCCGAGAAACTTTTGCTGACGCCCGGCAACGCCAAGATTCGGACCCTGGGCAGGATGGCACGAGAGGAAGCACTGTTGAATCGAGCAACGACACCTTTGCCCCGCACTCAAGCTGTCAATCTCGACTGTTGGATTTTCATCACGACCAGGCACTAGTAAGCTCAATGGTGGGAGGACGCGAAGATGACGAACGGGGTGAAACTCAAACATCGAGCGAAAAGCAGCCAATGAAAGACCTGAAGAAACTCCTTCCCAACACGTTTCTGTACAACCCCAACGGCCAGGATTGCGTCCTTTTGCACTGCGAAATGATGGGGCAGTTGAAGAATACGTTCACGAGGCCGAGGTTTTTAAGCGAAGCCGCCTACAACCGGGACGAGATGAGGATGTTTGCACCTTCGTCCCCCGCCGAAAGGAGACCACCAGAAGCAGAAGCCCTCTTCACTACCGGCAGCACCGTGCGGAGCACTTTCGTTCCGAAGCGCAGGAATAATTACACCGAAGGAGTAGAAAGCGGAAGCGCATGGTCCTCTCGTCCGCCCAAAGGAATAGGCTCGAGCTCGACGTCAATAGTTGTGCCAAGAAAACATCACAAGTTCTACGTGTTCAGCCACTTTTGCGGAAATCCGTCCTGGATCATGGAATATGCAGAGCTGGCCTGGACGGCGCGCTTGGACATGCTGCGCGAACAGCTCGACGAAGAGGAGCTCAATCGCAATAAGGACAAAATCCGGCAAGATTGGGGCTTCATGTTGCGGAGGGAAAAAGAAACGATTGATGTCGTCGCGGCTGGCAGCACAGGGGGAGGTGTAGTTGCTAGTGCTACAGCTACCGTTGAAGATGGCGCTACGTCTAGTACTGAGCAAGGACGATCTCTCGCTCAACAGCACTCCCTTGACCATTTCATTTTCAAACTTTTCGGTGCGGAGACGACACCGCAATCCTATTCGCACAATCTGAAGATGGAGCTTGCTGAGGTTGCTGCGTCGGCAGATACTAGCGAAAGCGAACGACTATACCACGAAGCAGATTCAGGCCTATGCCGCATACAGCCGGTTGCTGCACCTTTTTCACACGCGCGTTGGCCAAAGAGCACCGAGCGCGCAGTGGATGATCTGCTTGCCGGGGCAGATTTGAAGCTTTACGAGGAGGAACGGAAACAGATACTGGAGGCACTACAACCGCCAGAAAGTACATCACCTGGAGCGTCCATTTCTGCAGGAGCTGCTGGTGAAGCGCAAAATGAAAACCCATTATTTGATAAGGCAAGCGCAGCAATCCACGTTTCGTGCCACGTTTTTCTCGTCTGGCCCCAGGAGCAGGATCTCCTTACCGAGCATCGCGAAGCAACCTTTCCGTACTGCGACGGTGTGAGGAGCATAGTGGTCAGCAGCGCTGTGGGAGACGTTCAGTCGCTGCGCGAGCGACTTCGATCTGCTGGAAAGGTAGAAAGCGATGCGAATTCAAACAGCGACGCCGCTGGCCAGCGTGATTCGTCGGCAGCACCGGTTCAACATCGCATCTTGAACCTGCAGGAGGTTTTCCCCCACACTCCGATTCGTGTGGATGAGTGGATCTCTCGTGACGTCGATAAAGAAGTCCCCACCACATCATCGTCAGAAGCGCCAGGAAGCATGGATTTGGCTACAATTGCAGGACGAAACGGTGTCAGCAATCGCGGGTCGAGAAGAGAACCACCCTCGTCTAGCGGCGGCAGCGGGCCGGCGGCAGCGCCGACACGGAACCTGCTGCAGAAAACGCATTACGGCATGGTCGCAGTGGCAGATGCAGTTTACCAGGCGAACGTAGCGGAGGTGGAGCCTTCTTCTGCGGCTTCCGCACGAACGAATGTGATGAAGTGGCACTGCTTTCTCGAGTCAGATGTCTACTTCATTCCGGAAAATTTCAAACGGTTTGTCTACAGCAGGTTCATGATGCTTGACAAGAAAACAAATACCGATGCTCAGGAGCAGAATTTCGAAGATCGCGACTCAAGGTCCTTCTGGCTTGGTCTGGTCCACAGCCACCGTGTTGCGGCGTCCGAAGGCTACTTGTTGGAGCCCTTGCAAGCGGGATGCTTTACCGAGCGAGCGCTGCTGGATTTTGCAGCTTTCTTGAAGACGAAATTGTCGTCGCGTAGGGACGTTGATGAATTTCGTGCAGACACTGAAGAAGCCAGCTCACCATCTCCAGACGCAGCGTCGAAAGCTGCCGTAGGGCTTTCATATAGCTCTGCGGAAGACGAAGATTTGACGGACGTGAGACCCAGCGGCACGGACAAGGTGCTGTCTTCAGTTGATGCGAATTCTTGCGACGATCCTTTTAATCCGAACGTGGACATGCTTTTCCTTCACGTGTTCTCGGCCTGCGTCAAGCACGTCCGACCGCTGATCAGGTATTTTCCTGCGCTGCCAGCTTCTGAGCTGCGGCGCAGCCTGGGCAGCCTGTCTTCCCCGGATACGACTCAGCCTCGACCTGGCATCATCTTCGCTCCTTTTACCGAGCCGTACGGGCGTGTATACCACGCGGGGCCGCTGAATTTGATGGGTTCTTTCACGCCCCGCCAGTGGCGCGCTTCCTCATGGTCCTACCAAATTCCGCAACTGGGAAACACAAATGACCACTGGCTTCTGTCGAATAACAAGGCGATGTCGTACTATCTCTGTCTCGGGGACCAGTTGGAAATTGCGGAAGCTGAGAAAACGGAGGAAAGAAACGCGGAAATCGTGGCGAAGAGCTTGCTAGCGGAAAATGACGATGAGCAGGATGAGATGCAGAAGGTGGACCACCATAAGGTTGAGAACGTAGAAGACAGCGATGCAGCCCCCGAGAGCAGTATCAGAGTAACGGGAAAAGAGCGACAACTACCCCAGGAGGCGAAATTGTCGAAAAAATCAGCTCTACTTGGAAAATTGAATCTCGTGTCGCGCTACCCAGTTTCCTTCGACGGGCATTTTTCGGTAGAGAAAAGCCTCTTCTTTGTCGGGAAAACAGCTCCTCGGAAACAGAACTTCCCGATTCGCATTCTTCACCGCATGGTCCGGCTGCAGCAGTTCGACTGTCCAGAGAAATTTTGCGGAACGTTGCGCCCGGTGGTCTGGGGAAGGGAGATGGCGACGCAGGATAGAAGTGTCGGCGAAGACGTTGGAATAGATGGTAGCCCTTCGCCTTTTTCGGACAAGTGTGGAAAGGGTCTAGTAGCCGCGACGGGTGTTTACCCTGCGACGGAAAGAACGGCGGAAAATGATGGGCGGGATGATATTGATGTCACAGATACCACACCCTGCCCGGTCACCGAGCATCAAGAGAAAGAGGATCCAACACACAGCTCTCTTCCTGAAGCCAACACTACCGCTATCGTCGCTGCACTCAAACACCGCGTGTCCATGATGTGGAAAAATGATCTGTCTGGCACAGCCCGAGCGCTTTTGGCGACGCTGCCCACGGCGAGAAATGCTTTGTTTTGGACCTTTCTGTGGACCGCCGCATTCTTCGACGAAGGGGCGAGTAGTGGCGAAAAGTTGGGAACGCTTTCCGACACGCTGCGGGAAACCGTGGTGGAAAAGATAGAAGCTTGTTGGGTGTCTGCCGGCCTGGACAGGAGGCTGGGAATTGCAAGAGAAGCGGAACTGATTGATCAGTTTTTGCGAGAATGTGGGACAACATAGGGGCAATCTAACACCAAGATCCTTGCTATACCCAAAAGAGGTAGGACACTTGAACTCGTCACAGACACTGAGGACAAGCGATCTAATGATAAGAATGGCCGAAAAAAACTTGAATGATGCTACCTTGAGAAGTAGCACTCTTTGCTGTAAGGGATGGCGCGCGCTTTGTTTGCAGGTCGAAGGTCTTCACTAATATCGACATCACCGAGCAGCTCCGGCTCCTACCACGCGAAATCATCGACGAACGGAAACTCAAGTTCGTTTCCCCCTCAACATGCATATGCAAGTGATACATTATCGTTTATCGTTTCATTCGTACGTACCTCCTCTCTAATCGCCTCGTCGTGGCTTCTGTATCAAACTCATTGAATGTCAGCCTAAACAAAAGTTCGAAAGCGTTGTAGCGTAGAAGGCCGCGTAATGAAGACGTCCAAGTCACTCCGCCTGGCGTAACTAGTGCGTGCAGCAATTGGGAAGTAACACGTACTTCTACTTACCTCCGGGGCTGCGTCCGGGGCAGACTAACACAGCGCCGTGTGACGGCACGGCTGCTTGCCACCATGCCGTCACGGCTGGCAGAGCGGCAGCAGAAGAGTACAGCATGAGGTAATGACGGAGCCCGTCCGCTGTGATTTGGGAGGCATCGAAAACGCAGCGAACGCGTACGGTTCATCGCGGAAGTAGGGCTTCGGGCCGACACTGATAACCGCCATGTTGCTCTTGTCAGGGCGGGCTGGTGGCATGCGTGTTCTCCGTGTGCTACTCCACGGAGTGGTTGCTGATTTGGTGTCGCAACTAGCAACACAGACGAGGCATCTATGCCCCGTGGAAGGTGTCGTGATTGGCGCAGACAACGAAAACAAGCTCGCGGTTGACATCACAAACAAATTCGCTACATTGGAAGGGACCATGGTGAGTTAGTGTGAGACCATATACGTCTCGTGAAGCAGAAGCAATCTTTAATCGTGTCATGTGATTCGAGTATGCACGCACTTCCTGTGACAGCCCATGCGATAAATGATCAATCGCTATCCGAGTAGTACAGATGTTGAACTAGTACAGCTTGCGAAAAGATTAGCATCAAATCTTATCCTCGTCCTCAGGCCGCACTGCGCACGAAGCTGGACTCCCTCGGGAAGAATGCGACTGAAGAAGCATTCCGCATCGAGCAGTTGAACGAGAACGCCACCGCTACGCACGAGTTCGCCGAAAGACTGAAGAAAACGAACTTTGAGAACGAGGAAGGTGCGAAGAAGATCGCGAAAATGCTGGCAGATGTCGGTACCGTTCAGTGGAACTGCTTACCATGCTGCTCCTTGTAAGCTTTCGTGCTCGTAGTTTATGTACACAGTAGTTTGTTCATCAAAATGTTCATCAAAATGAAAGTGGTAATAATAATGCCTGCCCGTCAAATTCCTTCAGATGTTCGAGTGGGTTTTGCATTTTTCTTGCAAATGGCGCCACCGCGATTAAGATTATTTTCCGCAACCAGGTTCTGGCATTTCCAATGCTCGCAGCAAGTTTCAAGGCGACGTACAGCAGGAGAAGAACCTGACCAAGGAAAGTTTGACGCTGAAGCCGCTGATCGAGAAGGAGCTTTCCAAAGAAAACAAAGAAACGGTGAAAGCGCAGATCGACGTGTTGTCTCAGATGGCCGACCCCGGCAGTGCTCTGTCCGTGGAGAAGCTGGAGGCGAGAGCGAGACAGCTAGTGGGGAAGTTCGAGAACGCGGTCAAGCCCGCTTTAGAGAAGCAGGTGCAAGAGAAAGTGGTCAACCCAACGGTGGTTGGCAGGTTGAACAAAGTGCGGAAAGTGAATGAAGCGGTCGGGAAAAGGGCCTCGAAAAACGTCGGGGAGAGGAAGGGCTCAGTGTTGGAGGATTGGTGACTCAGTTGCAGCCGCACTTGCAGAAGAAAGGGGAGGCAGTTATTTCTCAGATAGCCACTGGCTCCGTCTGAACATTCTTTTCAAGCACTCATCCGAGCGGGCTTTATATCTTAGTTTCAAAAGCATTTCTACGCTGCATTATGCTCCTGTCGTTTCGCTTTGAGTTTGAACGTGACGAACGCTACACGAATTGTGTTTTCTTTTCCGACTTCACCATCAGCTTTCATGGGTACGCCGCCTGCCGCAACCGCCACGAAACAGAGGTTGTTTTTTTCCGACCTAGTACTTATGCGGAATCAAGCAAAAATCTGTGCTTGTAAATTGGCCAACAAGTGGTATTATATCAAAGCTGAACATCATCAAAAGGCTTATTCGCCGCGAATGAGGTGATATGCTCCTGTTCATCGACGTGGTACTAAGTCGTCGCCACTATCGGCACGATGTCTGAAGATTGCTGCAACGGTCTTTTTGAGTTTGCTGCAACGGTGATCCTGATCCTGAGCTGTAAATTTTGTTTTCGTTTCTCCGTTCAAGGCACGTTTTTAGCTTTTTGCTTCTTTTGGAATCCTGCGTCTTCTTTTAAGTGGCCCGCGCGAGCCATTTTATTTCCGTTTCGTTCTCGAACTCGAATAGGTGAACCACAGAGTTGTGTGTCAGCCAGACAGAGGCAGAAAAAGATCCACTCTGCAGCACTGGTTCATCTGGCGACTCCTGAAACTAAAGATGCGGTCCACCCTCGTGGCTCTTTCGGCGCTGGCCACCAGCGCTTCTGCGACGAATCTGAAGCAGCTGGAGTCAGCAAAGAATGCGGCCATTGACAAGGTGATCGAGATGTTGAAGGAGATGGAGGGCCGGGGCCAGAAGGAAAAGCAGGAGGAATCCGTCGCGTTCGCGGCCTTCAACACATGGTGCTCCGACACGCAGGCGGAGAAGGAAGCCGACATCAAGGAGTCCGAGCGCGCCATCCAGCAGTTCCAGGCGCAGATCGTCGACGCACAGGAGCGCATCGCGGCCGCAACGGAAGCGATCAACGAGGCGGTGGACACGCAAGAGAAAATGAAGGAAAACAAGAAGGCCATGAAGAAGGTGCGGGCCGAGGAGAACGCTGCCTTCGTCGCCGAGCACACCGACCTGTCCGATTCCATCTATGCCTGCGACAAGGCCGTCGAAGTCCTGTCCGCCGTCCCGGAGAAAAAGGAGGCCGCGGTCTCCCTGCTGCAGCTGTCCAACAAGGGCCGCGTCGGCAAGCACTGGGACGCAGTCCAGAGTCTGATGCAGACGTTGCAAGAGGTGAAGGACCCCTTCACCTCCGCCTCCGAGCGCCAGTCCGACACCGTGATCAAGATGGTCCAGGACCTGCAGAAAGACTTTGAGTATCCTGTGCAAAAGTTATATCGTGTTTGTGGGAGTAGCGAATTTGTGGCATGAAAAACGCATTTTTCTGTCTGAATCCGGATGAAAACGTGCGAAAATAATTTGTACGTACAATTATTTCGATTTCGATTTCCACTATTGCGATACAGTTTTGTGTTGCATAGCACGCAGGAGAAGCAGGACCTGCAGAAGGAGGAATCCGAGAAGCAGCACCACTTCGAGATGAACATGCAGGACGCTACGCAGAAGCAGGAGGCCGCCGCCAAGATGGAGGCTGCCGAGACCGAGAACAAGTCCACCGCGCAAGCGGACGAGGGGAACGCCAAGAAGGAGCTGACCACGGAGGAGCAGTCCATATGAACTGCAAAAGTATTGTACTCGTGTAAATGCATCACAAATTTCCTAAGCATGAGAAATAAAATTTGTAATCCTGATTTACCTTACAAAAAAGGTTTGCGATGCATGATTGCAGTACGAGTACGATACTTTTTCATAGAATAGTTCATGGCTGACGACAAAAAGTACCTGGCCGAGATCGTCGGTGACTGCAAGCAGATACGTTTTGCAAATCTATTATACCGTACAGGACGCAGAAGCAGAGAGGCGTAGTCTGAAGTCGTTTTTTTCGACCAAGGAGTATGCGACGATTTTTAGCAAGTATGCACTCGAACAAGTGAGTGTGGGAAGAAAATTGCGTACCGAGGGCAACATCATGCATATCTACTTGCCATGTATTGGGACGTCCTGTAGGGTACTGGTAGATTTCCTATGGATAACGGAAGACCACCGACTACGAAGCCCGGCAAAAGTCCCGTGAAGAGGAACTGGAGGCTATCGCCCAGGCCATCTCCATCATGAGCTCCCCGGAAGTGCAGACCGGCAGTGGTCACTTGGATGAGGCCCAATCGCTCGGCTCCTTCCTGCAGCTGTCCGCCAAGAAGGCCGGCAACGACGACAGCGATAACAAATTGACCAACTTCCTGCGCTCCCGGGGCGCGAAGCTGCACTCCAAGATCCTCATGGAACTCGCGGAATCTGGTATGAAATGGGGACGAGATGTGGGTGATGTTTTGGTGGAGTCATAGATAAAGACATGCTCATGCATTGACTCAGCTGCGAATGCGATGCTGAAAAAGGATATCTTATGTTTCATGATCCACTTTTCTTTGCATGCAATGTTTCTTAGCCGCGAGCCACGTTGCTTTTCTTGGCATACGTCTGCTCACACTTTTCTATCACGGATCCTACCGAAACCTCCTCTCATTTTCCATCCCATACTAGCCGAAGCCGACCCGTTTGTGAAGATCCGCAAGATGATCCAGGAGCTGATCAACAAGTTGAAGGAGGAGGAGAAGGCCGAGCTGACTAAGAAGGGCATGTGCGACAAGGAGATGGCTGAGAACAAGGCTGCCATCGAGGAGTTCGAATCCAAGGTCGCGAAGGAGAGCACCAAGGTGGAGAAGTTGACCTCCAACGTCGAGCAGCTGACCGCTGCGGAGGAGAAGTTCACCAAGGAGATTGCGCAGTTGAAGCTCGATATGGCCGAGGCCAAGAAGAACCGGGCGACTGAGAAAGCGGACAACGAGAAGACCATCACCGAGACCACCGCGGCGTCCAAGGCCGTGGACCAGGCCATGACGGTGCTCCAGAGCTACTACAGCAAGGTCGAGGGCGCCTTCCTGCAGGTGAAGCAGCCGGCCTTCGAGGGCGGCGAGTACAAGGGCATGGGCGGCGGCGGCGTTTTGGGTTTGTTGGAGGTCATCAAGTCCCAGATGGACCAGCTGATCCGCGAAACCACTACGGCGGAGTCCGAGGCAGCCACCGCGCACGACAAGTTCATGACGGAGGCGGAAACCTCCAAGGCCAGCAAGGAATCCTCGCTCAACAGCACCCAGGAGGACCTGGCGCAGAAGAAAGAGGACCTGCTGAACGCCAAGGATGCCCTGCAGGAGTACAAGGCCACCCTGGAGAACCACCTGAAGGAAAAGCGGGAGGTCATCGACCCCAAGTGCATCGCCAAGGGTATAGAAGATGCGCTTGTAGGCATTCTCGTGAATTGTGAAACTGCTTGTATTTGGAGTTCAGAAAGCAAAATGACATCCTGAATTTCACCGACATCGGTTTCCCTTTCCTTTCAACCTTTCAAAAAACTTTCCAGGTGTCTCTTTCGAGGAGAAGCAGAAGAAACGCCAGGAGGAGATCGACTCTCTGAAGGAAGCTTTGGAGATCCTATCCCAGATGTAAGATCAGCAGATTCTTGTTTTGCCTTGTCGTTGGTTTCTCTTTTTGGCCGCGAAGCTGCTCATGCGCTCTCGATTTTTTCCTTCGCCGCAAGGGACGCTCAGCTTACCGTACCCTCAAGAGCAGCTCAACGACTTGTGATTTTAGCACGTGGTGCGCCTGCCAAAACCGATGTTTTGATCGCAACACTAAGAGTTGTTCTGCAGTAGTGTACAATGCACGTAAACAGACCACCTCCGCTCCGGAGGAAAGTATGCACGCAACAGTTCGTTTTTCGTGCGCAAGGTCAGGCGCGCTAAATTTCGCGGAGTTGCATTCATCAATGAGTAAACAGACTTTTTCCTTATTTTCTTGACAATTTTCGGAATGTTTAGCTGTACACTCGTTTCATCAATTTTAAATACTACCTTAAGCAAAAACTACACTGTACTATGGGTTGTGGGTAACGACTTTTTTTCAACCAGATTAGTGTTATTTACTTTAGCGAATTTTGATGAATTACTTTAGCAAAACTATTCTTTTCCACCGTTGATGAGTGCTGGACTGAACTCTTGCGAAAGATCGCCGTTTCAAAAAAAGTACTGTTGCGCTACGACCGGACACTACTGACCTTCTAAAAAACTTGGTGCAAAATTAGAAAATCTGCTCGACTGGTTGCTACGCGTGCCATTGGCTCCGGACAGCGACGGAGGTGCCGCGCCACGTCAGCATGATCCGAACAGTGGTATGCTTTCGCTTCTGTAGCAGGATTGTAGAGCCTTTTTTTCGAGCCCCCAAAGTGCAGGCAAAATGATGTCGAAGATAATGTGCAAAAGATCGGTTCGGTGATACGAAAATGTAAATGAAAACCACGACGTTATTCGGTATGCAAACAAGATAGCCTAAAGCTAATTACTTGCCTTTGGTTTCGGTAAGTGAAGCGTGAGCCGCAGCTCTAGTCTCGGTCGTCTGCGTACGAAAGCAATTCGTAGCCATTTCGTTCATTTTCATTGAATATCGTTGTCGTTCAGCTACAGTATCACATTGGCGTTAAATCGTTCCTGTAGCAAAGTCGCTCTTCGTACTTTTCCGAAGGTTTTTCGCATAAGTGTACATAGAATGAAAGTTGAAACAGAGACGGCATAGTTGTTTCTCCCTGATTAAGACAAAATAAAACTGTACTACCCGAATAACTCTAATCGCACAGTGAATTGTATAAACGCAACGTAGATTATTTTCCACTTCTGAATTTGGCAACGACAGCCAGCCTGGTTTCCACACACGATGGTCACACATAGTTGAATCTTGTCGCGAACATCTTCTAAAGGAGAAGTGCACAATCAAGCCATGGCAAAGATGGCGAAATCAAAATCGAAGACCAAGGGGGGCTCCACCGGGAGTTCGTCCTCGAAGTCGCCAGCGATCCCGACGAAGAAGGGAAACGACAAAGCTCCTAAAATCGCCCACCACCACGAAGTTACCGCGGTCGATACATGTCTCCGCCCGTGGGACAAGCGGGCCGAATTCAGCTACAGAAAGGCTGTCGCGTATGAGTTTAAGCAGCTCGGGGACAAATTTACCAAGGCGGGTGGGAATAGCTACTACAGGGAGGTCTTGGACCCTTTGAAAGTTAACGAAGGACGGCGATTCGCCATGCAGATGCACGCGAAGCCGTCGGAGCATAGCACAAAAACCGTAGTAAAGCCGCAGTGGAAGATTGACGCGCACAGCTTCTCTGGGACGAAAAATGGCGATAAGTTGTGCGTTTTCATAAGGGATTCTACCACGAATAAGGTGGTCGCGATCATTCAGCGCCCGGATGTGGCCGCGAATAAGTCGAACTCGTGGTTGAACGGAACGATCGAGCCCGCGTACCACATTTATCTGCCCCAGAAATCCTATCCGGACCAGCAACTGGACGATGGGACGGGGGCCGACGAGTCGATCGACAACATGCCGCAGGCGGTGAAGGACGAGATGCAGAACTCCGTGCCGTTCTACGTCCATGCCCGCATCAACATGAAGTGGAACGACGACAATGACAAACCCGCAACGGCGGAGTACACGGTGTTCCAGTCGAACAAGTTTGTTCCGGACATTATGCATTGCATAGAGATTATGATTAGATCGCAGACTAGTTGTACAAATTGCATGTGAAAAACCTTCCAGGTCAACTAGGTAAAAATGCCGACACAACCAGGCGAGGACCCGCAAGACCAAGATTGCAATTTGTACGACTATTGCGGTACTACGTACAATTTTCGCACAGGATACCTTTCACCAACTTCGCCCACGAGATGCCCATCCTCCGCACGGAACTGAAGGACGACAGCGGCGCGTGGTGGACCGGCGGCACCATCGGTTCAAAGTATTGCGCTGGCGGTAAGACGTGGAAGATTCTGAAGCCCTGGCACCCTTCCCTGATCATCAACCCGCCGCACGGCGACACGCTCGGGATCATCGAGATCACTATGGATTGCAAATATGCCTGGGTCTGGAAGATTCTAAAATTGTAATGCTGTCTCTGGCTTCAAAAAAAATTTGGATTGTATGACCAGCAAGAGGACTCCAGTTTGTGCTACAGAGAGGGGGCATTTCTCATGCGGTAGAGGCACAGGCATCACAAAGCCCTCTAAAAATCTGTGATGCTAGGGCATGCATCACAGACGTAATGGGTCATTCAAATATGCATGACAAACCTGGCAATCTTCCAGACGCAGACATTTTTGCAGTCGATAATCACCGATGACGAGCAGTGTTTCTTGAACATGGCGGAGATGCTTGCCGTATCCTGTGCAAAAGTATCGTACTCGTACGAATTGCAAACATGCATGACAAATTTTTTTCCTAAGGCAACACAGCATTACAAATTCCATTTTCCTTCTTGCCAAAATCTGTAATGCAATTTACACTAATACAATACTTTTGCAATGCATAGGCCGTGTCGGACGACCGCGCGGCGGAAATGGACCGGTTGAGGCTGTTTTTGAACACGTTCTGTGTCTTCGACGCGTGTCTGGCCCGGAAGTCCAAGAACATCCACCGTGCGGAGCGAAACGCGGCGCTGGCGACCGCGGGGACCGCGGCCGCCTGCTACATGTATTCGACGACGCCGGACGTGCTCGCGTACGACGGGTATCTGATGCTCTCCCAAGCGGTTTTCACGGGGGTTGGCGCGTGCGTCGGATCCGCCTACACGCTGTTCCAGATCGGGAAATTCTATCTCTACGGCGCCGAGGCGGTTACGCGCACCGTGCACGCAGTGGGGGCAGAACCCTTCCTGCCGGCGATAGGTACTCATGGGAAATGAATTTTTAGTGTGGATGTTGATGCGTTTTGACGACGTGGTTGCTCGACCAGTGCAATGATAATTTGCAGCTGGTAGTGCCCTTCTCGCTATTTTGAGCTTGCTAGGCTTCATATGCTGGTAAATCTTGTTTCAGCTTTCGATGTTGAAAAAAAAATATTCACCAGGTGCCGCCGGTGGTAGCATCTATCTGGCGAACGTGCTGCTGGTGCAGCCGATCCTGAAACCCGTTGCGGACATGGTGCTTCCGGTGGTGAAGCCCCTCGTGGAACCGGCCGTGGCGCAGGGAATGCAAATACTGACGCAAGCCTACGACTCGTTCTTCCGCCCCGGCGGCGCGAGGGCGAACGGGGGAGGTGGAGGGAACATGCGGGGCGCCGGATCAGCGTTGTTCGGGTCATAAGCTTGATCTTTACATAAGAGTTTTTCTCGGAAGATTGCCAGTTCATTCTCGAGAACCTGCTCGCAGGAACCGATCCGCAGGGCACACACGCCGTAGAGTGCACAGTAAATGTTGCGCTCGCACGGGTCTGTCGAGGCTATCGTTTTTTAGGGCTCATGTATGATTGATGTCGCCGCTTTGTGTGATTTCTTTACCTTTGCCTTTTCATTTTCCCGAAGCTGCTACCGACAGGCGGCGCAATTACATTTTCACAAACTTTTTCCAGTTTCGCAATGGAACTTAGAACAACATCAAGTGCCGTAGTGCGGAGAGGATGGAGGAGCCAATCTGTACATTATTTTCTTCAATCATCTTTTGCATTGGTATCCTCTAGTTGGCTCTGTATGCTTTCATTCATCACGGACATTGTTCCATTTAGCACATAGCGTTACGTAGACGCACAGGAACTACCATTTTGCGCATTTTTGTAGTCAAGGCTAAGGCGCCGCAGCGGTCGCGCTACATGTTTTGACAACTTTATACAGGTAAATATGACAATGACCCCGTAAAAACGGTTTTCGGCAAATACTCAGCAAGAAGAACAAGAATCAGTTATCAAAGCACGGCGCAACGACTGTCGTGTTCTTTGCTGTCGTGGCCGCCCCGTCTTCCACAGAAGACAGAGGTAGATGGGGGCGGGGGTGATGGTGAAAACCTGTGTGACACCGAAGAGTAATTGATAAGTATTATTACTCAACAGGGGGATAAGCTAAACCTAAAGCATAGTTACTGAGTATCGAACACAACATCTTCTACAGGTCGAAATAGTGCCATTTTAATGTAACAGAGCGCCAGTCGTGTATGTGCTTTTTCAATTTTCTCGATCTCGTAAGCGTAACTTCAACCTTGAGAGAGCGACCAACAGGAAGAGTGACGGTGACTATGTGGGTGATGAAACAAACACGTCAACATGATAAGATATTTCTTCATTCGGAGCTGCTTTATTTCATACCTCATCGACATCGATCGCGTGACAGCACAGCACGAGTCGGATTTCGTGTGAGCCAGACCTTTCGGCTCCGGCCGCAACCAGAATTTCACCATGTACCCAAGGGGCGAAATCGCGAACCCGGATGAAATCAGCCTCCAGATGGAGGGCGGCGCCTCCCAGATGCCACCGTCGGATGATCGCGTCGCTCAGGTGGGTGGGACGGACGTGAATGTGTATCTGAGTCCGAACGGCCACGATTTGACCGTGGGGCTGTCCTGGGACTTCGTCGAGGGAAATTCTCCGGTGGATCTGGATTGCTCCGTCGTGTGCTGCAACGCCGGCGGCCAGGTTTTGGACGCCTGCTACTTCAACCAGCAGATCTGCATGGCGGGGGCTATCATGCACTCGGGCGACAACAAGACTGGAGTGGGTGCGGGGTTCGACGAAAGCGTCCAGATCGACATCGACCTCGTGCATCCGGGAGTGTCCATCCTGGTCTTCGTCCTGAACGCTTTCAAGGGCGGAAATTTGAGCAGCGTCGCCAACGCGAAGGTCACAGTCTTGGAGGTTGGAAAGCCGGAGCCACTGGCCGTGTGCCCGGTTACGATGCGGAAGGGAGACTTCACCGGTATGGTGCTCGGGTTTCTGTACAAGCCACCGGGGGTCGAGGATGTATTTCTATACTCTTGACTTGCTTGTGCAAGTGGACAACTTTCGCTTAGACTTTTTTTCGTAGCTTCTCCCAAATTATTTTACATACGAAAGTCCAACATTTCCATTTCCACGCAATCCAATCCTAAAGAATCACGCCTGGAAGTTTCGGAATTTGGGCCGAGCTTGTCGTGTGAAGATGCAGAGGACAGCGACGTAAAGATGAAAAAGAAATTGATACCAAAACCAAGACGGCTTGCACGATTTGCTTTTGTTATGATCTCGTATGTCTCCATACTACACATACACTACAAGGTTCAGCATGATGAAGAAAGCGTCACCATTTATTTGAGACGATAGAAATGACATAAAGATTCTTTTTAAAAATGACTTGACAAATCTTCATCTATGTCTATGATCGTCAATTCGAACTTCAACTTGAGGTAGTACTCCTCTAGCTCTACAACTTCAACGATCCTACTTTATCGCGATCCGCGCTCTACTTCTTTTTCATACCCGAAGGCAGAAACTTCGAGGAATCGCTGCCGGACGTGCGTCGGGCGTTGAATATCTCGGGTATTCTGGACCCCGCATCGACGAATATGATCATGTCTATGGACAAGAAGTTTAACATGAGCAAGGGTGACTTCCTCGAGATCCCCCAGCACCTCTTCCAGGACGGTTCGGACCTCTTCATCGGCCTCGGGTGGGAGACGCCGGGCGTCCGCGGGGGCGTGGATTTGGATGCCTCCGTGCTGCTTTTCGATGCCCAAAACAACCTGATCGACGTGGTGAACTACGCAAATTTGTCCTTCCTCCAGGGCGCGGTCCGGCACAACGGGGACAACGTGACCGGCGCCGGGAAGGGCGACGACGAGAAGATCGATCTGGATCTCGACCGGCTGCCGCCCGTTGTCGCGCAGATGTACGTCGTGGTCAACGTGTACAGTTCCCGGCACTCATATGCAAGAGAGACTGCCTATTAAGTGTGAGTCTGTAATCCAAACCTCTATGCAACATATACATACGATACTATCCTTAGGCGTACTTGTCATGCTCGCCAGGCTTTGGCTTAGCGTCCCATTAATTTCGTACGTGTTTTCATGTGCTACCTGCGTATGACAGACGAGCTTTATTCTGAACAAATTTATCATGCTGTTACCCCGTATGTTTCCGATGAAGTCAACATGTTGTTGCGCCAAGACGCCTACACTACCGCAGTTTTCTTCCTGGATAGCTCCTTCCAGCACGTTTCCGACGCGTATGTGCGGCTCTGCGCAGCGAAAAACAAGCATGAATTTTGCCGGTTTTGCCTGCAGAAGCAGACGGTCCTGGCCAGCTGCCTCATTTTCGCCCGGATCTTCCGCGGCCCGGTCCGGGGGTCCTGGGTCTTCAACACCATCGGGGTCGGCTGTCACGGCAACGTCGCCACGCAGCCCAGCGTCGTGCAGGGCTGTCTCGCCTCGGTGAACGGGTTTGGCGGCACGGTTTCCCAGGTGGGGCCGAGCATGATGAAGAACGTGCAGCTGTTCCAGCCGGTCCAGGTTGGCGGGGGAGGTCCTGGTGCTGCCATAGTGCAACAACCTATGAACGCCAACGGCGTGGCGGGGGGCGGGGGTATGAAAGGGAAGCGTTTACTTTCTTGTTCTTGGCAGGACGTGGGTGTGGGTCTCTCTCTAGCTCTACACGAGCACTGATCGAATATAATTTATAAGCCGGCTGGTTTGGCCGCTGCTTTAGCTTTTAGGAGCGAACACCTTGTTTCTGCGAGAGCGAGTTCGATCAGAATGCATTACCACATTACAGCGGGAAAGAAAATTTTTAAATAGTCTTCAAGACATCAAGTCGCAGGGTCCGCCAGCAGAACAACAAGAAGACTTTTCCTTGCATACTCCGGGCGGCAAGTTCGACGCGACCGCCACCGCCCTCTGGTGGAGGTTGCTGTGTCATTTTGTGAAGTTGCAATTTGCAAGAGCGAAAAATCAAAAGCAAATAGAGTCATAACTTGACAATAAAATTAACTATACAATACTTCTTAGATAGTGATATTAGAGATGAAGCGCTGCGATCCTCGCCACGATGGCAGCATGAACAGAACATCATGTGCACTGCGACTAGTTTAAGTTCTGGTGGTACTACAAGTACAATACACGTCGAAGCAATAAAAATATCAGTGCGACCTCTCGCACAAGTGCGAGTGGATTGCAAATCTGGTCGTGGTGTTACGATGAAGTCGTGTTCTACTCCTTTACTACCTGTGCACGAAAAGCAAGAAATGGATACGGAACCATTACAAACTCCGGCTGATCAGTTGCACTTTCAAAACATTCTCCTCCATGTTTGCTGATCCCCTTGTAACTTTCAAGGCATTTTTGTTAATTCTAAAGAAAAGAAAGCATGAAAATGCGGCCATTGCGTTTCATCTCTTTGTAAGCAGTTCCTTCATATGTGTAGCCCTTTGATTGGATCAATCCGCATTGCTGTTTCATTGACCACAACGCAATTATTGCTGTTTCGAAATTAATACTGCTTCATACTAGGAGGTAGTCGTAGTAAGTATCAGTAGGACTAGGACTTTTTTACTGTGAAAAGCAAAATTCTTGTTTCGTTTCCGGACGTGACAAAAGAAAACACCAAAAAAAATGTTGTATTCCACCACATCGGAGCTGTACCGCAGCTTCCTGACGCAGAAGGGCCAGCAGAAGAAAGATGCGGCCAAAAAAGCAACCGGCTCGGCGGGAGGGAAGACGGTACTTCGGTTTTTTGCTTTTCATTGCGGCACCTGGTGCGGCATTTTAGAGCTCGCATTTGCATTTGTTTCGCTACTCGTCATAGCAAATCATCTACACTGCGATCATCACGTATTAGTGGTACTATGTGAACCTAATCTAACCACACCCATTGACAGGAATCTTCCCGCCCAATGAGCCACCCGGCGTCGGTGGGATGCTAGATTTTTGTGTGACGACTTCCTTTCGAGGGGAATGATCAATTGGAGGACAATGTGAACAAGGTTTTATTTCATTTCATCTTCAATCGTTTCTTTATGTTTTGACTTTGAGGTTGAGATATATCAAAAAGATGACCTCCACCACCATTGATTTCGATGCGTCAGTAACGCACCTTCTGGAATGAATATGAAATGATTTTTCGTCTTCTATGAAAATAAGGTGTGTTGCTCCGACGCGGAGGTGGTGCAGGATTGGGAAGTGAAGTACTAGTTGCGGCTATGCTCATCTTCTATCCTGCATTTTTGGCTGCACGTCTGGAACGAACGAGGCACTACAACTGCGATGCAACGTGCATGAGCACGTGGTGCATCAGGACACGGTAGCGCGTTTGATATCTACCTCAGGCTTTATTTTCTCTTTCCTGCGCTCATCTTCGCAAATGGAGCTACCTGCACCTCTCGAGAACTGACAAGAACGACTACGACCAGCCATGGAAGTATATTGCTACCAGCGAACAAGACGACGAAACATTTCTTTACACCAACCACAAAGAAACACCGACTTATTTTTTGTGCAAACCAATGCCTACGAAATCGAAATAACAGCCTTCCGATGGTTCTCCTGCCAGCAAAACTTTTCTCAATGTTTTTGCGAAACTCCGAAAAGGTTTGAGTTTGATATGTTAGCATGAGCATTTTGCTGCTGGATGACGGCACATCTTCTCCTACGACATGTTGGAACCAGATTGATTGGATTTTTTGCTTCATTGAAACACGAAAGTGCAAAATCTTGCAATGGTGTTGCTTTAGTACTCGGCCGGTTTAATATACAAGACCATGATCAAAAGACGTCGACGACTTCGCGGTCGATAGCAGTCTCCGCTGGAGCAACGATGGCGGGGCGGCTTTCGCAAAAGTGGATATTGGCTGGCGTCGAGATCCACAGGCAGTCTGTTCCGTCTGTGTGGGGCTTGAGCGTAGGTGTTCAAGTTCGGTCGGTCGTACTTATTTTGAAGAAACTGGGCGTGGAGTAAAAAAAACCTATAGAAAACAAAACCTCGGGAACCAAATGAGAACGGTTCAAGAAAGTGCAAGTACTGAAGCGGTCTAGAATTCGGGCACGTAGATGGAAGTAGCACGAAGATGGACGAATAATGTATTTGGAGCTTGTAGTCAGCATGTGTGCGCTCCATCTCAGTGCCAAATTGGTTTGCGTCGAATGACCGATGATCTTTTCTGGCCCGCCGCTCTATATAAGTACATGTTGTTTTTTCGGCAACTGCAAGACGTGGGATCTTTATTTTCTCTTTTGTACCTCAGAACTTTTAACTTACCCGCGTCACTGATCCGGGGATGGTCGATGATTCGTAGCAGCGTTACTGATGAAGACACATGGCTAATGAATCAGTTGCAGAGCAGCGACGTCAGGCGCCTATCGCTAAATTCACAAACCTTTTCTTGCAGCCGCAGTGTCGATGCAGTCGCTTTTAAATTCTTGTTCTCCAGACGTCAGCGCCAGCGCCTTGCTGTCAACATAGCGATATAATTTCTGCTTGGCAAGAGTCAGGACTTCTGCTCATCGCTAAATATTTGTTTTTTTTTTGTTAGCAGGCACAGTCGAAAAATAAATCATGAAGTACAAGGAAGAGACGAAAGTGTATGAGAGCCGGTGGGAGGATGTCACTGCAGCTTTTTGGCAAAAGTATCCGAACGCCCAGGCGCCTAACGTGAAGTCCGTCGACCCTATCGCGCGGGAAGTCGACGCGGAGAACCAAACTTTGCGGACCCGGCGACTCCTGGCGCTGGAGTATGCCATGCCCTCGTGGATCGAGAAGCTATTCGGATGCAAGGTAATATAGATTGTCAACTCCTCGGGTTGATGAAGTAGAACGCGAGATGAAAAAAATAATAGCATGGTTATCTTGAAGAGCAGGCTAGAACGAGATCGTGCCTCTCTCCACTTCCACACATTGCCAACATTTTCGAAATTTTGCGTCGTAGATCAGATGTGTCACAGTATGCAGTTTCTGGTGTTTTCGTAGTTCTTTGTACGTCGAGCGAAATTGAAATTAAATTCTCCCAGCGATTGTACTTCTTGTAAACCCTGATTAGATGCGCGGGTTGGCCGTCGAGGACACGCTGGTGGATATGAAGAACAAGACGCTAACGCTCGAAAGTCGGAATCTCGGGCTGCTGCGCTTTCTTCGCACCGAGGAGACCTGCACCTATTCGGTTCACCCGGACGACCCCTCGAAGACGTTGTACCAGGCAAGCATCGGCATCCGCGTGAAACTACCCGGTGGCGAGCCGGACACGGCGTCAGCGATGGTTGGGACCGGCTCGAGCGGAGGCAGCAGCAGCTCTAGTTGCATTATTCCCAACGGAAGTCCTCGAAATGCATCTGCTGGAGCAGAAGCGACCACGTCCGGGTCCGCAGCTGCAATGACCGCGACATCAACCGCTGCGAGGGGGGCCGCGGCAGGGACCATAGGAGCTGCTACGACCGAAATCACAACAACGTCACCGGCAGGCTCGGCCATACCTGCAGAGTCGACTTCAGCGCCAGGTCCTGGTGCTGCAGGATTAGTCGCGGGACGAGAAGATTCGTCAGCGGCTTATACAACAACTTTGTCGAGCGCCAGTACTAGTGGCAGCGATAGGTTGAAGATGCCGCAAGCATGCGACCAAGGCGGCGGCTCGACCGCGGCAGGTGGTGAAGCAGCTGCTACTTCTAGTGTAGGTTCCAGTTCAACAACTGCCTCCCCCGCGGCGACGTATTCCAGCTGGATGGGCACGAGTTACCTGCAGGGCATCCTGGAGAACCAGTTTCTGAATCGCGCCAAGGACAAGGCGAAAATCGGGTTTGAGGTGATGAAGGAAAAAATCGAGTTCACCAGCCGGGAAACCAGCCCCGGCTTCATCCCCCGGGAGCAGTGGGACCACTTTTTGCAGGAGATGCAGCACGAGGCGAGCTTTCTGAAGGAGAAAACCCGGGAGAAAACCGACGATTTCGTCCTATCAAATGTAAAAATGTCTGGGTCTGGAACATTGGAACTTGTGATGCTAAATTTGGACTCTAGAAAAATCTGCATTGCATGACCAGCAAGAGGAGTCTAGTTTGTGCTACGCGGGGAGGGCGTTTGTCATGCGGAGTAGGCATCAGGAAGCCAGCTTAAAATCTGTGATGCGCGGTCGTGCATTACAGACATCCTGGGTGATGCAAAACATGCATGACAAATCTCAGAATCTTCCAGACCCAGACACTTTTACGTTTGATACGTCCGGGTGTTGTCCAACAAGGCCGAGGAAATCACGCACAAGGCCGAGGAGATTCTCCACGACGTGGATCTGAAGTCCTGCGAACTGAAGGAGAAGGTCTCGCACGAAGTGACGGAGATCAAGTCCAAAGTGTCCCACGAGGTCGATGAAATCAAATCCAAAGTCTCCCACGAGGTCGACGAGCTGCGGCTGAGAACTGCGGAATGGAAGGAAAAGACGTCGGAATTCAAGGACGAACTGTATCCTGTGTGAAAACGTCCCTACAGGTACAGTCACCAGAGCGTTCAAGATGGCGACCCTGCGAACTACAAGAATGGAGAAGATTGAGGAGTCACGCGTAATAAGTTTGGGTCCCTAGTATCGTCGTGTTTGATGGCTAGTGACGTCAAATCACAAAAAATCTAGCGTCTTACGCTGATTAGAGCTGCATGAAAAAGCTGTAAAAGTCCCAGACAGCATGAGAAACCGCTCGTCATGGGACTACGCGTGAAACACAGCTTATGCTTATGCATGACAAGTCTTGGGGTTGGGAGTTGGGGACGTTGTTACATATGATAGACTGAAGTTGAAAGCTACGGAGATCAAGGACAAGGTCGCACTGAACGTCGAGGAGTTGAAGCGAGGGGGCGGCAACGGGAACGCGACGAATAGCAACACAAGTTGCACTAGTACAACCTGTACTACTAGCCCGACCACCAGCCCCCCTTGCGGTAACCCCACGAAACACACACCGTCAGCAAGCGTTTGCGGCATCGACGGGAGTGACGTCGGGTGGGTGCGTAGGACGGTGCGGGGCTGGATTCCATTCTTTCGGACGAGCTTGACGTGATTCGGTGTATGCGGCAGGGCGAAAGCGACGGACGGCAGAGTGAACATCCTGCAGCTTCTTGTCGGTACTCCAGGAGGACGCGGTTTCGCATGCCAGGGGTGCGAGAGATTCATCAGACGACTCACCGACGCGGACGCGTCATACTTGTTGGGGAAAAAGGCGCGGGACAGCAGACGCGGCAAAAATGGCGTCCGTTTTTTTGACTTGAGGCACCTGCAATGACTCTGACAGACCTTGTACAGGACCGGACGGCTGATCTGTGGGGGGAGTAAATATCACACTGCTGCAGCAAGTGTGATTATTTTTTGAGGAAGCGGAAGACGTACACGAAACGCACGTTACGAGTGAAGGTGACCTTCATCATCATGGCACATTAACACGAAAAGATGAAAATTAATGATATTTCCAGTGTTGATTTACCATTTGCGCGATCATATTTCTCCACGGCACTGCAAGTCAGACCGATGGATGCTGATCGTAAAAACGCATGAGTGCTACACAAGGGAGATGATCCCTTTGGTAGCAAAAATAGAAGGCTCATCGATTTATTTTCCGTTGCATCCGTCGCACTTTGACTTTTTTGTATGTTTTCGAACGGGAACTACATCAATTTGGATTTTCCCTAGCTTCCTTCGGTGGAGCTACCAATTATGAGATAGATTTTGGCAGCCGCGTGCAAAACATCACTCAGTTCCCATTTGCACCGGTGCATGGTGTGTGGACATGCAAAATAAGTGTAGAAATTGAAAAGCACCACGGCATGTGCAGGAGGACGACCCGATTAATATTCACAGTGCAGCCACAGCTTGCTACTGTCTGTGGTGGATAGCGTGGGAATCAACTTGAACTTGCTTCCCCCTCATGCCCTTGTGTTTTCAAAAGAGCTTCTACATCCTGAACTACATCATTTTACTTCTCGAGAACTACTGGAGGTTATGTCTAAGCAAAATAACGCTGAACGTAAAAGAGGATCATCTTCATTGATCCGCCGTCGTGACTTCTCTTCAAGGACGAGTCTCACATAGAAAAAAGAAGAGCGATCCTTTTTTTTATCTGTCGTCACTTCGTGGTTCATCGTGTGAAGCCGGCGGCTTCTTCCAAATCATTTTGAATCCCTCGTTCTTTTCAGTCCACCCAGTTTGTGATATGTGGTATCACTATCAGATGCCTTTACATCAAAAATGTAGCACTTCCCGTAGGAGAGGGTGGTGGAATTGCGAATAAAGGTGCAGCGTAATTTTTGGGAAACATGGCACCTGCGCTGCACGACCGCACGCGTAGCTAACCGCAATAAAGTGCGTCGGCTTGTAGTCGACATGAAGCAAAGACAAATTCGCCGGATACGGACAACTGTTGAGAAAAATATTTTTTTGTTGGTCAACATTTTTGTTAATTCGCGAAACATATTTTGATGAAGGTTGATCGTTTCTAGATGCAGGAGTAGCTGCGTGCTGGCGGGAATTGAGAAATTCGCGTTTTTTTCCAAGATGCCACGTTTTTTTCCGTCTTCTGCCAGTGTCCTCGCTGATGAGCGGTACACAACGCAGGTGGATGGGCAAGACCATGAGCTCGCAATGCCGTCTGCTGAGCAGATAATCTCCGAGAGCCGCAAGATTGAAGCCGACAGTAAATACGAATATTCATTGTTGCGCGTACCTGCGGAGCAGCTCAGTCGCAGTTTCAAAATCCAACTGCAAAACCATCATCGCAACCTGGGGCACATTCAGGGCTACCTTGAACAGGAAAAGGTAGTCTGTTGAGTGTTTTTCTTTTACTTCGCAGTATAGTAAAAGTATGTTGACGTTGACCATGACGCTCGTATACGAAAGTCGTCATTTATTTTGTTCACGAAATAACACGATAGTGTGAAGATGCCCGCAAACTCCGAAAATTAATCACACCTTCTACGCAACTTAGTCAGTTTTTCCTTTTCTTGTCGATTTAATTCACTACAACCAACGGGGCCCGTTGGTAGGGAATTATCTACCACCTTGCGTGGGAAGCTGTTCCATTGCCCGAAACCCGTCGTGGGTAGATGCCACGGCCACCTCGTGTGGGAAACCGACGAACAACTTTTTTGCACAGGTAACCAAGGGCATTGCAACAGCGGCCGAGGCACAAACGCGAATTGGAAAAATCGTAGCGAAGTTGAAAATGTTGAAGGGTCAGCATATTGAACAAATGAAAACCGATGAAAAAACGGTTTCTAAAATTACGCAACGCCTGGACCATTTGATCGCACTCAGCATGAAGGGGAATAACTACGCGGCCTCAACATCCTACGAGGTGGATGACGCAGCTCCTGCTTCGCAGCACAAAAATATCCATACCGACCAAAAGGGCACCAAAAAATCCGCCAGCAGTTGTACCCCTGCGACCCTCGCGGCGCTGCGTCTTACGGCGGAGTACTTTGCTGAACGAGGCTACCCGGACACTGCGCGGCAGATGCTCGCCGAGAATGCTACAATTGCAGCAGATGGAGGGATTTATTCGCCGGGGCACGACAAGGAGGCGCCGAGTGGCGCCACATCGTTGCTAGAAGCTTTGACGGACGTGGAACTACTGATCGAGCAGAGTCAAATTTTGCAAGACCTGAAAAAGCAGAACCTGGAGCCCGCGATTGAGTGGTGCAAGAAAACACTGGCGGAGGAAGCGGAGCTGTCTTCTCTTGCCGCGACCGCCGTGGGCGAGCAGAATAGCAGGGGAGCGCCGTCGCATAATTCTCTAGTAGTGTTGGATAGGCATAATTACGCGAGCTCTGGTTCGACCACTGCCTGTGCCTCTTCTATCAAGCTCTTACTAGCGGCCCTGCATATCGAGCAATTTTTGCGAACGCTGTTTTCCAGTTGGAAAAAAAGCTTCGAAGAGCTGGAACAGGACGAGACCCCAGAAGCGGAAATGGGCAAAGGCGCAAGAACGCCAGACGTGGTATCAGCAGCAGCGGGAAGCACAAGCAGCTCGTTGCACGACGATAAAGCAGACACCGCAGACATGAATCCCGCTTTGGACGTGCTGAAGGCAGCGGAAGCCGCCATTGCAGAGCTGCGAGGCCTCCTGGCAGGAATGGAAGGGGGCGGAACCTTGTCAAATGCGATCACAGCAAGTGGGGGCCACCAACCTGCTTCTGCTGCATCAACCTCCCAGCAGAGGACAAGCGCGAGTGCCTCTGCAGAAGCAGGCAACACACAGCCCGCACGAATCACATCGTCCCAGCAGAGAACGACGACTGCAAGTGGGCCGGGGCATCGCGAGGTGGAGACGAGCTCGAGGCTACATGATCATGCTGCCCCTCAAGATGAAGCCAAGAAGCTGATCACGAATGGCTTGGGTCTGCTGCTGTTCCTGATTCGCGAAGCGGCTCCTTACTTTGAGCTGGAAGTGGATGTGGACGAAGATATGGACGAGCATGCTTCTTGGATGGAACAACTGGAAGGCCGAGACACGGGGAGCATCGGGGGAAAGAATGCAAAGACCAGAGAAGAAGTACTTGCGAGTGCTCAGGACGCGGAGTTCGAGGGAAGGAATGATGTGGAGCTAGACGCACAAGCAACTTCATCTGCAGCGAAATTTGTTGATTTAAACCTGCCAAGCCCATTGATCGTGCGGGCACCGCCAACACCGCCGCCACTCGTGGAAACGGAGGATAATATGGAACACAAAGGAGCCGACGCTGATCCATCGAGTTCGAGGGGCGCCGCAAACGAACGGGAAGGACATAAAGCTGCACAGGAGCCCGACAGGAAGCACGCGGCCGAGGGAAAATCCCCGACAAACAGAAAGAAGTTGCGGAGAAAGGCAGTGGACCTGTTTTGTCCTTCGCTTGTTTCGCAGTTTCACTCTGCAGAACGATTCCAGGAGTACCTGTCACGGGGGACGAGAAGTCAACAGGTGACAACTCTGGGCGGCCAGGATCAGGAACATAAAGTAGATCCTACCTCCTCAGGAGGCCTGCAGGTGGTCTCGGCTGCAGCTGGAGCTCCAGGCGGTGAGATGAGCAGTAGCCGAACTACAACTTACGCCGATGTGGTGCGCCGATTGAACGATCCCCTTTCGGCCTCGCAGGAGGAGCAGACGCAACCTTTGCTAGCGATGAACATGGGACGAGTGACTGATCCAGCATCTATGTGGGGCGAAAATTTCAGCAACAATGATGCAGCTTACGAGGGAAGTGACTACATTCCTCCCCAGGACAGCGCAGCTACATCGACCCTTCAGCACGACGAAGATAATCCGACGAATTCGTACGGCAAGCGCCAGGCGGGCCTCAGTAGGGTGCACAGCACTACAGCTAGTCGAGGAACCAACGTGGTACTGCACACGGATCATGATCGTCATCATCTGTCCCCTGAGGTTTCCGTTCCGGAGAGGTACGCTTACCTTTTGAAGAGTGATCGGTTACAGGAGATCCAAGAGATGTTTTCGTCCTGTTTTCGGAACTACCATGCACTGTCCGCGAAAAAACACCTGTTCGAGATTCTCTGCGAGTCGGGCTTGATAGCGCTGTGCAACCAGAATGGGCTGGTCACCATGCACGCCGAGAAGCCCCCCGTCGAGCAACAGGCCGCCTTTGGGGGGAGTGGCAAAGGCGGTCCGGGAAATAATAGCGCAAGCGTCCTCGGGCTCGGCGCCGGTCCCGGGAAAGGCGGGAAATACCTAGGAATTGCCGCCAACTCTTCCACCTCAGGCGGTGGAATGATGAGTGCAACAGGCGAACAAAGTGGAATTGCTTCGGCAACGTCTGCAACTACTTCAAAGGGCGGTGGAGCTGCGGCGGAGGGCAAGGGGCAGCAAGGCTCCCTTGGCTACAAGGGCGGAGTCGGCGGGAACGTTTACAATGCGTCGAACATCGGCAGTTCCTACGCTGCGTGGCCGCCCTCAACGGCAGGAGAGAATTCTCAGGGTGGGACGTCTAGTGCGACGGCTAGAGCTTCAAATACCACTCCAGATGCCTCCACCGCAGCTGCCAGTGCGACCACGACAACGCTCGCTGTGTACAACAATCCCTCGATGCTGGCGCAGCACGCTGGCGCAAACAGCATGATCGTGCAGCGAAGCGCAACAAGGAGTGATGACGTAAGCGACATGGCCTTTTACGGCGCGAGTGCAGCAAGCACGCGATATCAACCCAGTGGCAGCGCCGGTGCGTCATTTATTTGGCAACCACCAGCAGGCGCAGCTGCCGCGGCTGGTGGTCCGTGGCAGCCGCAGCTACAACAACAGATGAATCTAGGCGTTACGGCAGATCTGTCGCAGACGAGCGCCGCCGGAGGCAGAGTCATGGGTCCATCAGCAGCTAGCGGGGGCGGAAAGGGGGTCAATTTTCCGCAACAGGCCACGTGGAACACCGCATCGTCCGTAACGGCTGCACCGGTCGCAGCAGCTGCCTTAGAAAACACGACTGCGGCCGCTGCATCCTCCTTGGCTGCGGCTGCGCCGGTCGGAGGTGGGAAGTCAAACACAGTTGTTTTCGAGAGCAGCGGAGGTAGTGGACGAGCGGGTTTTGGCCACAGTAAAGGCGTGAAATCTAGTAGCGGTTCTTCTCGGAAAGGGGGAGACAAAAGCAGAAACGAGGGCGAAAATCATGCAGCGGCATCGAGCCCGGTAGACCAAGAAAGCAAAGGACCTCCTGCTGTAGCAGTTTCTACCCGCAAAATGAATACTGGCACCTCCGCAGCTGGGCGGCTTGGCGTGGTGGCCGGGAGTCACGGGCCATTGCTGCTCAAGTTCGACGCGGAAACGGGCATCGGTCGGAAAGCCTTGCAGCAAAAACCTACAGGGAGAACTAAATCTACAGGTGGTGGGCCTGCGCATGGGCAAGCTCAAGCTCAAGCTGAAAAGTCCTCTTCATCGCGAGGACCGGCCGTTGCAAATAAAACTGAGACAAAAATGAAGCGGAAAGACCGCGTCCGCTTGGAAATAATCAGCTGCACGGAGCAAAAATCAAAGAGAAGCGTTCTTCCTGCCAGCGGTTCTTCCTTGTTCAAGGAGTCTTACGTGGCCTCTTTACTGAACCTTCCCACCAGTGAAGAACTTTTTGGCAGCACATCGGTCCCTGCAGAGTCTGCGGTGTTTGGAGGTGGTGCCACTCCGACGACATTGTCCCCAGCACAAAAGTATCTCACACGGCGTCGGGCGGGGCCTGGTCAGAATTTACAAGCTCTGCTGCCACACCGGTACCGTGAAAAGTTCGAAAAAGCGATTGAAGCGGAGAATGCAAGACGCCTGGAGCTGCAAACGTCTTCGTCGAGCAGTAATTCTTCCTTGAATAATTTTCCGGGACAAATCGACTGGAGCTGCCTGAAATTTCCGGAAATCGGGGGAGATGAAATGGAAGTTACGGGAGGTGGGGCAGCTGCCTCAACGTCATCCGCAGGGCAGCTGCAGTCCGAAATTGGTATTACGCCAGCATCTGGTGCACCACCAGCTTCGTCGAGCGCAGGTGCCGTGTCGTCCGCGTCGCCGGGCGCGAATCCGAATGCAACGACTGCACCTGCTGCTGCAGGTCGTGGAGGTTCTTCTGCAGTGCCGGGTGCTGGTGCCCCGCGGCCCCAGCAATTCATCGCGACCACTGGTTGCCCCACTCAGCTGAAGTTTTTGCGGACGTTTCTGGAGGCGAAAGTTCCGAAGTGCAACCGCAGCAATTCGCAGTTTGTGTCGCCCGTTACACAGGCTGTGATCCAGCCAGAAGTGGACGACTTGTACATGGACTCCGAATCTCTGGAGCTCTACCCACTCAGCTACCTGGTCGAGAGCAGCCGATTCGGCGAAATGCGCAGGGCGGACGAAGAAGCGGACGGATGGAAATATGGTGAAACAAGTGGTGCTGGCACAGCAACAGCTAGTGAGCGAATGGTGCGAAATAGGGACGACACAAACAAAAAGATGAATTACACGACACGGCCGGCAGAACAGCTTTTCTCGGATGAAAATCTCGGCAGCAACTTTCACGACATGTTTTTCAGACCTTCTCTGCATCAGCGGGTTCTTGCAGCGGAAGAGCAAGCGTTGCAACCAGAGTTTCGCTTGGAAAAACAACCGAGGACGGGCCAGGATGGCACGGTTGTGCAGGAGGAACAGAAGGCGTCGGGGGGCGGAAGAGAGTCGGTTTTTATGGGGTGGAATTTTGAGTCGACGGAAAATGAGGGCACACAATATGATGTTTTGCATATACGAGATGCCGCGAGGGAGAGCGTGAGCAGTAGCGGCTGGCGTGCATTAATGTCGCATGATTGAGAACAATAAAGCTGCTTGTCGTGCAGGCGAGCGTGAAGAGCCCCAAGCTCTCGAGCGCGGTGACCTGCTCTGACGCGCCGCGCATAGAGAAGCTGTGATTTTTACTTAGCTGAATTTTCTATCTGCTCTGCAGCACGGAAACACAAGTTTCCGTGGATGCTTTGCACAGTACCTACTAGATAGAGTTTTTGCATGCGAAGGTAACCTTCGATGGTTTGACTCAAAATTTGACATGGATGCTTTCCTTGGCGGACATCGACCAGGAGTTTGCGGATAAGTTGCGGAAAGTCTATATGGGAGTGTCAGAATCGAAATTGATAAAATCGAAAAATTTGTGATGCACAAAATCGATGTCAGTTGGAGCCACAGTTTTCAAGTGGCGCATGACAAATTTCGGGAGCACCAAAATCCAGTCTGTCATGCTGTTTGGGGAAAGAAGACTGCTCCTGTCATGCTACTCTGGCTGCGCATTGCATACCCCAAAACAGGCTCACAATCGGCCTCATATGCCTGCTGCCCAATGCAGGCCTTCAGTGCTCTACATTTTATGCATCACAAGTTCTTCGATTTTGTCGATTTCGATCCTGACACATCCATAGTCTACGTCATTTGACAGGTTTGCAAGGCGACCAGCCCGCTTGCTTATTCCAGAGGGCGGACATCCTCGTGTGACTTCTACGGATCAGCCGCTAGTGCACAGTCAGCAGCTACTACAGCCATTATCTTTCTTCTCTATGATAGTCGTCGTGCCAGTGGTACTCACCACGTATTGCGCGTTCGTGTGTCGCATGTAATGCGCTGGCTACGCCGGACAATTCTTCACTTCGAATCGTGTAAATCAGCTGGTGCACAGATGATTGATCTGGTACATTTGAGTGTTCCTGTTCCATCGCGGCAGCAAGGCAAATTCGTACCCAAATCTCCTACCAGCCAGTCTTGCTCCAATATGCGAAACAAACACAAAGTATTTTTGATTTCTGTCGCAAATAAGAAGGTGGAGCCAAATTTTCTCTATCTCTTGTTTCCTGACCTCTGTACTTATTGTGTCTTCAAATGCGCGTTTTTAATGTCCAATGTGTATCTCTGTGTGGAAAAAAGTTAGGAACGCGCTGCTTCATCAAGTTTAGCTTTATCGTCCAGTCCTTGTATGTCTTTTGTTGTGTTGAGGTTGTGCTTCATATTAATTTCTGTGTGGTTCCATGTGTGCCTGAGCTGTGTATCTGTTCCGTCCTTTTCAGCACTTCCTTTTGGTTTTCCCTTTTGTTGCGTTGGCGGCGGCGCTAGTGGGAATGACACGGGGCGATCACAACGCACGTTACGACTACGAGTAGAATACCAATGCGAAAAAATACGAAAAAGTAAAAAAGGATAGCAATTCCAATTAGCAAAATTAAAATAATTCGAGAAAAATTAAACTCACGCATTGCACCAGCCTTTTATGTAATTTTATTTTGACTCGCTTGCCGCTTGAAATTTCAATATTTGGTATTCGCAAAAGAACAGTGTGCACGCCCGCTTGTCGGAGTCTTTCTACATCTCCTCGCTGTACTTCTACAGGGGCCCACGACCACCGCCTGGGCGAGGCATGAGTCGGCCCTTCAACCAGTATCCAGCTCCTGCTAGTACCGCTGCGGCGAACATGAATGGTGGTGGAGCTATGGCGATGGCCGGGTCCACTTACGGTAGTAATGGTGGAACAAACACGATGAACGGAAACGGCGCGTTTGTGGACCACAATGGTACAGCCGGTGGTGCCACCTCGGCGTATCACCACGATGTGGGTCAACAGCAAGACCAAAACTACAAATACAACAATTCGTCCTATGGAAGTAGGACAAACTACCAGCAACAAGGTCAAACCTTCTCCCAGGGCGGAGGTTCCGCAGGACCGGGTTCTGGGGCCCTGGGCAGCTCTACATCTTCGAGCGCGACCGCTTCCTCCAGCGACGATCGGGAGCAGCAGTATGAATACCAGCTTGCGATACAGCAACAGGAGCTCGGCATTGAGCAGGAGGTCATCGGGCTGAATGGAGAGATCTTGGGCAAGCGAGGACAGTATGCTTACTTAGACTTTCATTCTACTCGTTCTTCAAAATCAAACATCTTCTCTCATTTACAATACTTCTCTCTTCAGAACTTCGTAGCAATTTATGAATGATCTGTGATGATGAAGAACTACATCAAGCTCCCCGATGCAGAAGAGCAGCGCGAAGATACGTTTAAGCTGATCTTCACGATGCAGTCGAACAAGAAAGTCGCCTTATAAAAATGAAGGTTTCGTAAGACGAAGATGTGCAAATTCTATTTAATGGGCGTTTGCACGAAGGGTGAGTCCTGCATGTTTGCGCATGACCAGCGGGATTTGCAAGTGCTTCCCGACCTGCAGAAAACGAAGCTATGCGACGAACTGCTCGAGTACGGTCGCTGTTCGAAGGGGAAGATGTGCAGTTTTGCGCACTCCAAGAACGAGCTGCGGGCGACCCCCGGGTTTCTGAAGACCAAGCTGTGCAAGTTTTACGCCGAGGGGCACTGCGTGCTGGGCGTCAAGTGCCGCTACGCGCACGAGGAGGCGGAGCTGCGGGCGTTGCAAAATCCGAAACTGGACGATGACGGGAACATGATTTGCGCGGAGGTACTAGCACTCGAGCCCTTGACCGCGGCTACCAGCAGCGCGGGTTCGGCCGGCAGGACAAAGTCCAACACCGGACTTGTTCTAAGCAAGACGAGCAGCACGACGAGTACGTATGGCAGACACAACAACAAAAATTCGGAGTCAATGGCTGTGTCTTCTAGTGCAAGACAAAGAACACAAACTGGCGGCGGAGCTGCACCAGCGGGCGCGGGGGTAGAACAGCCCCAAAGTAGCTTCGTTAGAGCTGCTGCTGCGTCTGCGACGTCTTCGAAAAGATACAGCACAGAGTTCCCGCCGTACAATCCGAGCAAAAGTTCTTCTGCAGCGGCGACAGGCGGAAATAACGGAGGCCCAACCTCTTCGAGTCGGAACAAAGGTAGAGCACACGCTGCGGTAGGTGCTGGGAATGTTGGTCTTGGTTCTTGTTCTAACGGAGCAGCGAAGATAAATGGCCCCAACACGTCGACAGCGGCGACCACTGACAGCAAAACAGCGTCCGCTGGGATGGGAAACGGAGTCTCAACAGCGCCGAATGGCAGAACCCAAAACCGGGGCCGCGGCGGGCGAAACAGACGGGGGAATAACAACAACGGAATCAGCAGCAACGACCAATCAGAGAGAAACCGCAACAAAGGCGGAGGAAACGGTGACCAGTCGGCAAATTCGCAAAGCCGGACAAACAATGGCGCTCGCGCAGGGGCGGGCTCCAAGGGCGGAGGGCAGATCGGGAAAAGCAAAGGCGCTGCATCAAATGGGGCGTCGTCATCTAAGCAAGCAAGTACAGCCCAACTCGGGAGCGGGTTTTATCAGAACGGAGCAGGCGCGACGACCTCCGGAGGAGATGACTACGGCGCGACACCCAGTAGTGCAGTAGTTTACGGGATCATGAGCAGTGGTATGCAGCTCTCGTCTACATCTTCAGTTGCACATATCAACGGCAGTAGCAGTTACAACGCAGCAGCAGGGACAGCGATCGAGCAACAGCTCCACAGTAATTTCCCCGGTTACAACAACAACGGCTACCAAATTCATCAAATGCAGCTACAGAGTCAGCAATTCAAACAGGGAGACAACATTCATAACTCTGGCGCCTACGATAATGCAGGAGCTGCAATTTTTTCAGCATCAACCGGACTCCTCCAACAGCAGTCGCAATTTTACGGTGGAGAGGTGCCCAATCGGGCCGTTGACTACTCGTCCTTCAATGGCGGGAGTATGAGCAGCTGCATGTTCGCAGGCCCTACTGGTAATTCTTCATCCAACGGAAACAAACACTATAGCCACAACTTCAGCGTTAGCACCGTTAAGGGGGACGGCGGCTCTAGCAGGCAGCACGCGGGAAGTTCATTCGCAGGGGAACAAGCGAGCAACCAGACTGCAGGAGGTGGAGGGCAATCCCAATCGCAAGCAGAATCGTTGCAGAAGACCACCAGTGTGAACTCATCGCATTCCACCTACGCTCAACATCAAGCAACTGGTGCAGCTGGTGCGGGGGCGCCGCCTGTTCCACCTACTAACCGCTGGATGGTGATGCCGTCGGGAAGTGCTTTTGGCGGTCAAAAATACACAAATGGCGCTGTTGTGTCGAGCAACATAAGTCACAATCTTCAACAGCAGAGCAAGAGTCGCACACACTCGATGGTGGAGACTACTTTGGACCCAAGTGGTGGTCAACTGTGGTCGTACCGCGTTGATACCTCTAGCCGCGGTGGAAACAACTGCAACGTTGGTTCTGCTGACGATGTTGACCAACAAGCTCAAATGCTTCTTGGCTTGCAAAAGGTGCAGCAACAACTGGAGCGCGATCTAGACGAGGATGGGAGGAAATCAACCAACACGAACCGCAAGGACGACGACCCAGCACTCCTGCAAGGACAGCACAATCAGAAAATGAGTCATACTGATGTACACCACCAGCATGCTTTTCAAGGGTCGAACTCGCTCCAGAATGCGAGCAAAACGACCAGCGCTTCGCTGAACACGTTGTTTAGCAGCGCGGGGTCGTACTCGTACACCAATTACAATCCAACGGCGGGAGGTACGGGCTCAGCTGCTTCGGAAGCTGAAGGCGGGTCGTTCTTTTTCCAAGAAATGAACCATCTCCAACCGCTGGGACAGCCCCAGCCGCATCTTGTGGTCAGCGGAAGCGGCATCGGCACCATGGCAATATCGCCCCTGGAGTCCTCTACTGGGGGCGGGATTGTTCCGTCTTACAACGGTTCCGGTCCGCTTGATGTTCATGGGACGACAACTGTCTCGTTTGGTGATGCTGCGAATCACGGCGCGGCGCTGGCACAACAACTGCAGTTCTACAATGCAGCGGGTACTACAAATAACGGCACGACAGCTTCTTCATCTGGAGCCCCCGCGGGATTGAGTGTCAACTTCAATGGGACTACTGGTGGTGCTGGGTCTTCTTTTGCTTGTGGCATCAGCCCGCTCGTAGTAGACCACATACAGCAGCAGCAGCAACAACACACGGGTACAACGCCGTACGAGCAACTGCTACAGCCGACGCAGTCCCGTGCGTCCGAAGCTTCGAACGCGACAACCATGGCGGGGGGAAACCTGGTGTTCCCCACGCAAAGCTACTTCTCGAGCATCATTGACAACCCAAACCTGTTTCGCGCGGGGACAGCGACGATCGACGAAGAAGCAGGAGAACACACGTCGCAGTTGATGGCATCGACGCTGTCGCAAAACGGGCAGAGCATGTATCTAGGGAATGGTATGGGACCACCGCTATCCATTGTGAAAAAGTGCAGCTGCTGCGATAGGATGCAGGATGTGAGAGCATGAAGATGTTCATTAGTTTACGAATTGGTCTGGTTTTAACATCTTGTTGAAATTCAAAGGAGAAAGCCAGCTAGAAACACATCCTCGACTGAAACTACAACTGCTGTCGCTTCCAACGCAGTTTTTTTCTCTTTGGTAGCAGAGCCGGAGCGTGAGCATGATGTCCCAGCCAATCGGTTCCGCAGCAACCGGGACTACAAATGGAGGCTCGTCGTGCAACGCTAACGGGCAGACGACCTCCTTAGCGACGAATCTGAGCACCGGGCCGCTGGGATTTCCGCAGACCTACAACCAGTTTCCCGCGCTGCATATTCCAGACCCTCGCTCGTCATCGGGGATGCTTTCCCGCGCCTCGATGGAGGGGTTGCAGGATCGGCCGCCGAGTTCGGCCTGCGGTGGTATTTCTTGTGTGAACAACGAAATCGCAGCGCTGCTGAACGGAGGAGGTGGGACTAATGCGATGAATAATGGCAATGCGAATGCCAGTCAGCAGCTGGTTTCGGGTAAGAAATGTAGTTTGATATTCTACTGATCTCTACTGCTCTTCTTCTCCCTGGAACTGGTAGCACAACAAAAACAGAAGCATAGCTCAGCCATGATTGAAGGTCGACCTGACAAGGCAAAGCAACAGAGCCAAAATTGCTCGCATAGAGAAACAACCAGAAGGCGTAACACTTCGTTAGTGATGTATTTTTAGTGCTGAAACTGATTAGTAGTACTTTCTCACTCACAACAGGGGGCGCGCCCTTAATCTGTCCTACGCCAATCGCACCGCTGAGACCTTTGGAAACAGCGCACCTGCTGGGGCTGACCGGCGCGACGACTACCCATGGGAAAAAGGTTGAGGCAAGGTGGCAAGGAAATGATGTTGAATCTACATGAAATTGACGTTTAAGGAGATGAAGCCATCAACATAGTGTCTGTCGTGGTTTTGTCAGGCGTAATATGTGAAAATGTCCAGTGCTGGCAGTGGCAGTGCGTGCCCATTTCTCGACATTTCTTGCTTCACCCTTTGCCTCTTCACTTGGATAGTGTGCACCGGGGGATTCGCTGGTAAGGTCATGTCCATCTGAGAGAGTAGTAGTCACACAGTGCAGCTTCTGATGTGTCGCGAGGTGTTTTTTGCTGCTGCATCCATATCCTTATCCAATCCTGTCCAGGTACATTCCCAATTCAAACCACGACACCGTCCCAATCACAACCTCCGCTACAGTATCCATGAAAGAAACTTGACGCCTACTTGTTCGCGCAATCAAAAAATGCAGGTAGGTAGTGATCGTGATGCACATCATTTACCTGATGAAGCAGCACGACTTGTTCTTGTGCCAAATTTTCATTATTCAAGAAAAAACCGAATACAAGTACAACTGAAACGGTATCGGTAGACGGATCGGGATTGTAATTTTTGCATTCGTTGTTGAACTACATTGACTTTGACGTTGTCCAAAAGCGGCGCCAAATGGTTTTTTCCATGGCATCAACCTCTCTTCCCCACCAGTTCCCACACGCCGCTGCCGATGCAAATGGTACTTCCAAGCGCAGGCGGTGCTGATGGCGGGGGAGGTTTTTCGTTTGACCGAGAACAGTCCCAGAGCAGACAAGGGATCGCACCCTGTGGCAGCGCTAATCCAACGACGGAAACAATTTCCACAACAGGAGGCATGGGCCTCCAAAGCCAGGGGATGCAGTCGAATGCTGGTATGATTTGAGACTGATGAAGTACAAGTCGGACTAGCTACCAAAGAAATCTATCAGGTCCGCAGGAGATGACATTTCCCTTGTTTCGATCGTTGTTGATTAGGCATTTAATCTTGATGTTGTAGCTCGATCTACGGGGAGCATAACGTTGGTGCGCCCTGCTTTTCTGCACGCACCATCAGAGGCGCGTTGAATCGCAGCGGTTTGATGATACGATGAACGTTGCTTCCATTGAGTCAGTCTTGAATCCGCGAAATCGTCCAGGTGAGTACGTTGTGAACCGGTTAATGTCGCCAGATCCGGCCGCTTGCCAGCCCGACGGTATCCAGCCGAGAAGCGCTGTGGCAGGAAAATCTCTCGTAGTTCTTGCAAGGAAGTAGAAGTAAGCTGTTCCAGTTGCATCGCGCAGCCTGACAAGCACATAATTTTCACTGACAGTTGTGTGCATTGACGAGTCGACTTTATGATCTATTGGTACATAGTCAGTCTCGATTTTTCAACAAGCTGAGCGCTTTTTTGCTGGATACGACCCACGAGCCTCACCCCCGAGTTTCCAGAATTGGTACATCGGACATTGTGCGACGTTCTTCGACTGATATTTGCTACTTACTTATGTGCTTTTGAGACCACCTCCACATGATAAATTTGCATGGCCTAAGTACCCAAAGTTGAACTGTAGCACATCGCAGAGGTGGATCTTGATACACGGAGCAAAAACTAAACCTGAAAAATCAGGATGAAGAAGAGAACGAGTCTCCCGACGAGGATGGCTGGGACCCGGAACGAGAGGACGAACCAGGCGCCACTGTGCCCTACTTTCCCGCAAGCAACATGAGCAACATCACGGTCGGAAACAGTCATAACATGTGGGCGGTAAATGTTAAAAACACTTTTCTGGAAATTCCCGAGCCAAGGAAAAACTACTTCAGTATCAGAGTGAGAAAAATTACGCTGCTGCAGCACCACGAGTCGAGCTCCTGTTGTAGTGACTCATCAACATTATCGGAAGAATTTTTAGACGAGTCGTGCCTTTTCCTTTTGCATCATGCAGCAAGAGGCGGGCAGGCAAGGGCGGCGGCGGAACCGTGTTTTCCGAAGCCCAAGCCTGCATATGCATATCTTAACGCGTATAGCTTTCAGTTTGATGTGGGAAAAATAAACGAGTTGGATCAGGTTGCTCGTGCGAGTGATAGATGAATTCTTGCACAACAGCCAGCTGCATGTCATGATGTTATATATAGCCTATGTGCAGCACCAGCGAATTTTCTGCACTCGATATCCGACTCCCCCGGGCTGGGCGCAGACTTTTTGGGCACCGCAGGAGAGCTTGCGGAAACTACAGGCACTGATCATATGGCTGGCCGGAAAAGAGGCACAGAAGATGGGGGAGCTCACAATCAAGATTCATACCCGAAAGAAAAGCTCTCATCTTTGCCGTTCGAAGCACTTTACCAAAAGATCGCAGGTCATGCTCATGTGGGCGGTTCTAATAAACTTATCTAGATCCACTTGCTACCTTTGCACGCGGGCGCTTTAACAAATCCTGCACGCAGATCAAGTCTACGAGGGCCACCAAGTCCTGCATGCGTAACTATTCAAATCGAGTGATGGAGAAGAAACTTCCTTGGCATGCATTTTCATTTTCCACAAGAGCAAGAAGAGGAACGGGCTTTGATGATGATGATCTTCTTTACGATATAGTTGCGGGCGAAGGCGGTGCAGCTGTGGTGGTTACTACAACCTCCCAAGCTGCAAACGAAGGAGTTCAGCCGGTCGTGGCGACCCACGTGCGTAGAGTCAAGTCACTAGTGTAAATATTTGCTTTTAGACGTTTCGGACTGAAGATCTTACATGTAGATTTCTTTATCAACATCATGTAGTTGACGCAAAAATACTGTTGCAACTCGAGGGAAAAAAGAGCAGGAACTGCATCTCACCTGCCAACTGTCACGCTCTTTGATGTAAGTATATCCCAAGAGGGACTGCGATAATCGCAATTTCATTGCTTGCAGGGGAATAAGTCTAAATCTTCACGCTAGTCGTGCAGCCTTGTCAAACTAACCGTCAACGGGAACAAGGCTTTGTGAGGCATTTTTCTCGGTGTGACTAATTTTGGTTCTTCTTTCGATCCCGCAAGGGGGCGACGAGCGGAGCATCTTTATTGGGAATTTAGTATATATTGTTTGCTTGTTAGCGGATGTTAAAAGTTGTTTGCTGCACCTCAAAAAAATACTTATTGTTGTTTGAAGTACTTAGGCACTACACGTTGCCGATGTTAGAAATGTTTTTTTTAATGTTTCCAGTTCCAGCCAATTAAAATTAACCTTTGTTAACTCCGTTCTTGCATTAACGTTCACCGCCGGATCGAGGGGAAATAGGCGTGCCGGCAAAAGTTCTAAAAAGATTAGAACACGATGAAATAGGAAGTAGATGAAAATAGAAGAAGCTGAAGCTGCGCTGAACACATTCGAACACGAGGAGGAAGAGGTAGCTGCTTGATATCTAGCCCGCTGCTTGATCGAAATTGCGATCATGCGGTAGGTGAAGTCGATCACAAGCGCTTTTTTTTTTTGCAAAACGCAGGGGAAGTTTCCTGCAGACGCTCAAGAACTTGAGAAAATATTAATCAGCCTAGGAGACATCCTGGCATGGATACCTACTAGCTTACTGTCGCACATCAACCCTGACCGGAACCACTGGCGCGAATGCAGCAAAACTTTCTCAAATTTTGGTATCGCGCTCCAGATTTTTGCAAAAATGAGTTGGGCTATTTCAATCCGGCAAGTGAAAGATTAGTTTCTATATGTTGCTTCTCTTCCGCCCACTCTTGGTTGTTGATTCATCACTTACAACTGAGTAGTATACTTACGTCTACCTGCTTTTTGCGCTTGATAATAATGAAAAATTTTGGTTTCAATCGTAAAGATTGATATCAACTTGTACAATTCTTCCTTTTCGAAGAGCTTTTCATTTTTGGCTGGAGATCGATAGTCCTAGAGTGAGTGGGCCACTGTCCGACCACCCGGCCGAGGATACGAAAATCGAGATGAAGTTAGCAGAAAATTAAATTTAAAACTGAAATAAGTACTTCTTCGCAAAAATTTGCAGTGGTATCAGTCTGACGAGTCAAGAAGGAGGACTTCTGACGATAGATTCATTTTGTTTCCTTCGGATCTTTGCCTTGTCTTTTCTCTTTCCGCAGATGATCGCGATTATCTCGGTAGTTGAAATAATAACAAGTTGGCATGATACGGAGAAATGAAATAAATTTTGCTTGCGCGGCTGAAAACCTGATCGTCGCGCACAGCGCCCGTGAGACTGCGCGGTTTTATGCTCCCATTTGACTGCTTAGATCTGTAGGATGTTGATATATTAGCTTCGCTTGATTTATTCCTTCGCAATTCGCTGTCGTTGTGTCAAAAAGTTTTTTTTTGAGAAAAGAAAAAAAAAACGCAAGTGCACGTTTTGCGCGTTTCAGCATGAGCTTTCGGCTTCATATTACGTTAAGCGACATCAGACGGATTGCTCAAGCGGAAGCGCCTACGCATCGAGGGGAGATGCTGTGCCGGCCGTGACATCAAGGCTCTGAAGACCACTGAGCAAATTGTTTTTTTCGTGATATATGTATCTCTCTGAACCTGAAGACAAAAAAATATTTTCATACCGCGGGTAAGGGTATGAAGGAATAATTCGCTAAGTATTTCTAGTACGTTTTTCGTGTAAAAAAACTAAGCGTAAACTACTATTGTGACATGCTTCTTTATCTTCTCTGCGCACTGGTTTGTAAGGTAAAGGTAGTCCTTTGTTTGATGCAGCAGGCGACCTGGATAGCTTTCCCTCTTTGTTTTATCGATTGCTTCAATGCAGGCAGAATGAAGTACAGAGGTGGGTGACTTTTTTCTCGCCAGAATTTGGGGGATAACGTAGATGCAGCTTATGAAAACGAGGAGAATGGGAAACCCAGCAGAAGCAGAACGCTTTGCAGGCTCTCCGAAAGATGAAGCTCTTTGGAAGTACTACAACTCGTGTATGCGTTGTTTCTTGTTGTAGTTGATGTAACTTTTGGCGCATCTCCTGTATTAATCTGTAAGGTATGAGTTATGCATAAGCAAAAGAGAACCACAAGTTCTGCGTCTGCGCGGAAATCTTTCACGTACAGAGAGTACTTCTGTAGGAGGATGCGTGCTTCTTTGCAAAATCAAAAATGAAAAATTTGAATTTCTTGTTGTTATCGTTGTGTTGATTAACCAGAGTTCTACGGGGAAGATGAAGAACGTCAATCGTTGTATTTCAGTGCCTTCAAGCTATCAAAGAAGCTTGTACTCGTCTTGTATTTCAGCGCCTTTGCTTGGCGCAACGCCACCTTCGGGATGCTATTGTTCGTGGCTCGCCGGATTAACAAGTACAGTTGTCCATCATCATCTAAACCCAAAGCCCAAGCAATTATAGCTAGACCTCGAGCGAGTCCGGGAACAATGGCAATGGTTTGAGCGAATCGCGCACCTCGAGACCGGCTTAAGTACGTTTGTGTTTTCAATGGGCCTGGTATTGAGGATGTGTTTTTCTAAATTTCGGTCTCATGTGAAGCGCAGAAGGGAAGCCATTTGCGAATCAAATAAAAGTAGGAAATAGAAGGCGCGCGCCGATAGAGAGGGGGCAGTTTCCAATGTGATTAATCGCAATCGCTCCCCCGCTGACCCGGGAACCATCAACAAGCGCGTCGTGGACAGGAACAATGGCAAACAAGAAAAGTCCACCGTCTGATGCTCCTGCGACTAAGCAGAACGCATCTCCCGCCGCCACGACGGCGAGCAAAGCACCAGTGGAGATTTCGGGCGAGGTCATCGACGTGGACGACATGTCTGGGGAGCCAATACTCCGCCGGCAGCGATTCTACACGCCGGAGACCTGCAAAATCAAGGAGATGAGCCCGGAAGCCACCATGATGAACCAGCTGATGACGTTATTTCACCCGGAGCTGGTGTTCGAGCCCGAGCTGGCGCTGAAAAAAGAGTTTCTGCTCTGCGTCGTGTCCAAGGGTCTGGCGCGCGGAATGATATTCGCCGGCGGGGGCACGGGGCTGCGGTACCACCGACCCAAGTACCCCGTGTTGCTGGACACGCAGAACGTGATTATCGGTAGCGAGGTCTTCGACAAGGAAAAATTCAAGAGAGAGCATGAACATATCCACCGGGCGCGAATTTACCGTACCCTGATTGCACGAAACAAGTTGCTTTCTCGCATGACAAGTCCTTGCCCAGACTGCACATATTACATTTAGCGTTACAAATGTGGGCAGCTTTCAAGTTCACAGACTTTGAGTTTGTACTTCTCGGCATTTTGATGTACTTGTGCGGTGGATTTGTGTTTCATATTCATAGAACAGATGACAGCCGACGGAGCAGATGGTGAAGGAGGAGGCTCGTCGTCTTCATCAAAGTCAGGTTCTGGTGACAGCGAAAAAAAACCGGCAGGATCCTCTGGGTCTACAAAAACTAGCAGCTCTTCCTCCTCGTCCTCTAGTAGCGCAGTTGAGACCTCCAGAACCAGAACAGCCGGCGAAGACGAGGAGCTCAAGCGTTCGTCTGCAGATGCAGCAGTCGCTGGGAACGTCGAAGCTGTGCATTTCGATGCTACGGGGGGACTACAGGAGGCGCAGACTGAGGACGAGGAAAAGGGCAGCTATTCGAGCAGCCACAAAATGGATAGCACCTCTGTTGAGCACGATGCGTCTTCATCTGAACACTTGAGCAGTGCGGGAGACGGAACGACTACCGTGTACAAAACGCGAAAAGGACGCTACTTGCGGTCCGAGAAGTTGAAACAACTGCAGGGCGACGACAAGAGGAAGAGCGGTACGCAGTGCACAAGCATCGCACCAGTCCACGATGACCACCTACACCTTGCTGCAGCTGCATTCGTAAACTTCACAAAGATGAAGTGAAAGTTGAGAAAATGACCTGTAATAGTGCTAAGAATGCTGGTAGCTAGAAGCTTCATTTGTGTTGGATGATCGTATCAAGATGAAGTTCTAGACCGAGTGCGATGTAACTTTTGCAGAGTATACCAGACAGTTGGAATATCGATGCGGCGATCTCCGCCCTGGAGGAAAAATTGGACCGGAGAGAGCGGGACGAAGCCGGGAGCTCGACAGATGATGGCGGTTCGTCCGCATTAAGCGGAGCGGGCGAGCAAATTTCCCTTGCCGCGCAAAGGACGACGGCGCTGGGGCTACCGCCTTTCCAAATCCCCAACGTCACGCCCATTCCGGACCGGTTGTCGGATCGACTTGCGTTCAGCAGCTTCGCGCGACATGACATGCTGGCCATTCGGTATCGATTGCAAGAACTCTGTCTGGGACGGCTCGAAAGGGTAATTAGTTCGCGCATATGCATAAACAGAGGTAGTTCGTGGAGGTGTTTCAACACAATTCAGCCTGCAAAGTTTGACAGACGTTCAATCTACTTGCGCAAAACGTGACGCTATGCACCATTTCCGTTGCAATTCCAATTCGCGTCTCGGTATCAGGAGGAGCAAGTTGGGCAACTTTTCCGCAATCTGCTTGATAGATGAGGTTTAGAAGCACTACTTTTTGTCGGCCGTCGAGAAGTTGTAGTATACAGATACACACGTGCATCGTCCAAAAGTCCAAGCCCCGACGTGTTCTTTGCGAGGGACATTGGACAGGCAGCGGCGATTGGTCCGCAAGTCGTCGTCGGAATGGATGCAATCGAGGGTCTGTGGCTGCTGCGCACCTTCCTTATCTGCATGGTGATCTACCTCACTTACCGCTTCTACTCCCAGCATACCCGAAAACCGAACGAATACGGGAGGGCAAACTTCTCACATCACTACAGATGCCCCTCCATACCAAGAATTTCAGTTCGTTTTTACGTATGCACTCCTTGACTCATATGTTATGGGAAATTACTTTTTGTACGGCGCTGTCCTTCATCTGTTAAAGATGACGACGGTTGTTCCTCTTGCTACGAGGGGCGAGCAAGTTTTCGTGAGCCGCTAGAGGAGATTGAGCTAGGCATGCGCATCTGCTCCTCGCCCTCTCAGCTGCATAGGCCGCAACAAGATCCTATCCAGGAAAAAACACCCATCCCCATCCATTTTTTGCATGGCAAATAGTGGATTTTATACATGTTTTGCATGACAAATTGGATGGGGATGGGTGTTTTTTCCTGGATAGGTCCATGTCGAAGTTTCTACCGCGAGGACGAGCTTCAGGATTTTATCCTGAAGTGCCCGGCGTCCCCCATTAGAAGCTCGGTTTTCCAGTTCTTGCCAAAGGTCCGGGTGGACTTGGGGCCCGACGTCCACCCAAGGTTGCACAACCTGCATAGGGCTCGTGGGTCGGCCCCCCTGCGCGCTCTAAGTGGTTTCCGGGGTTGTGATTGGGCCGCGGCAAGCACGCCGCGAAGGGCATTGCTGGCCCGAAGCCCGAAATCACAAAACCAGTGCGCAACCCCTGGCCCCTTGGGCGAGGCCGGGCCCCTTGGGAGCCGGGCCATAGCGGTCGCGTTGCCGCTGCGACCAAGACATCCCCCCACCCCAGTCCCGGCTTGGAATGCTCGCAAAAGATGAGAAGAGCAGGGACGAAACGGCGAGCAGAGGAGGAGGCGGCACAGGGCTGAGAAGCCCTGCCCACGCTGCAGGCGGGGGGGCCTGCGATGGAGTTTCTGCACCTTAACGGAGAAGGCCCCAACCCAATAAGCACCAGCCTCCCGGAGGCGTGGCCGGGCAGCGCGTCGTGGGTTTTGAAGTGGCCGCTTTGTATGGCGGCAGAACATAGCCCGCCGAAGTGATACCCCGGCAGGGGTCGCTGCGGCTTCATCTTTTGCTGGAAGCACTGGGCACAAGGAAAAACGCCGGCGCCGGTGTCCTCTGCAGGCCCTAGCTACTAGGGACGGCGGGCAGGAGTCTCGGCGCCGACATTGTTGCAACCCGCCTAGTTGCGGCTGAGGCCCTCCAGCAAGGGACTAGCTGTAGCTTACGCGCACCTCATTGGACCGTTGCGGCCTGCGGACTGGCCCACCCGTTGCCAAGCGTCGCCCTCCGCCACCGCCCCATGTCCCTCATTTGCGTAGCAATTCCAAAGCGGCGGCCCCTTATTGTTGGGCAGTGACTGAACCCGGAACGCAATCCCTGCCCGGCCAAGCAGGTCGGCTGCTGCACTAGTCTTTGAGGCAGGCAAATCACGGCGCCCCCCAATCACCCGCCCGCGCATCATTCTAAGGCACGCCATTGACCGGCCGGGCCGTCCTTCCCCCGCATTGATGCCGCTTCGCCGCGCCTTCCTTCTCTTGCTAGTTACCCTGCGTGCCTTTGTAGCTTTCTTCCTGCATTGCTTTTCAATATGGTAAGCGCAAATACCTCAAGACCCATCGATGAAATTTTTATCATTTTCAAAAATATCACTTTGCTCCCGCCATAACAAGATCCATGTCGAAGTTTCTACCGCGAGGACGAGCTTCAAGATTTTATCCTCGTTGACATCATGGTTAAGGAGGTACATAGTGCCAAAAATTAACCCCCCCGGCTGATGGCTTTAGCCAGCGCGCGCGCTGGCTTTAGCCACAAAAGTGCTGGCTAAATTTGATCGATTTCGGCCTTTAAAGCATTGAACTCGATGAAATTTAGTCAGCGCTCGTAAACATAGTGAAGCTACTCGCGGGCGCGCCTGGAGGTCTTGTGGAGGGACCATGTCTGTTTGTTCGATAGCAGAAACCGCCGCGCGCTGCTCGATTTCTGGCAACCCACCCGAGGCTCTGTTGTGTTTCTTGTGGCGTTGGAGAGAGGCGGTGGAGGGTGGGGGGCGCCGTCTTGGGAAGGGGCGTGCGAAAGTGGCGCCGGATTTCTTGGGCCACCGGCCTGGGCATCGGGACGGCCCGACCGCGCGCTCCCACTCTTGGTTAGGAGAGTCCGCGGGAAGAGCATGCGCGCATTGTGTGTTCCTGCTTCCTGGGGCACCGATTTTGCGTTGGGCGTGGGCCCGCCATCGTTTCGATGGCTTCCGTGTTTCGCCTTTCCCAGGTGCAGCCCGCTGGCCTTGTTCCAAGGCGGAAGGCGGCTGGCCGCCCGGCAGGAAAGCGTAACGCCCGTTGGCTGAAAGACTTGCTCCGCCTCCGCGCGCCGCTAGGGCACCGCGCCGGACCGCCGGGGGCAACCGATGGGAGCCAGGCACCCACGCTGGCCCCGGATTGGCAAGCAAAGCCCCCTGGCGCTCGGGGCCGTCCGCCTGCCCCAGTGAATGTGTCCCAGGCTTGTTCCGGTGCCGCCCGCCCGCCGGACGCCCTGTACTGCCTGTGCCCTCCTTGACTTTGGAGGGCTCAGCAGCAGGAGCCCACTTGCGCGCGCGCGTCGGGCGGGCCGGCCTGCCTGTTCGACCAACCGGGCCGAGGGCCGCCCCAGCCGGTTAGAAAGCGCGTTCTTCGGGGGATAGAAGAGCTTCTCCGCCGGGCGTGCTGGTCGCCCGGCCCTGGCCCTGGGGATAGAAGGGCGGGCGCGGAAAAAGCATGGGTGCCCAGCAGGCCCGGCCAATCAACCCCGTCGCCCGCCGGCCAGTAGAATTCCCACCCGCTGCGCCCCCGGCAATGTCAGCCCTTCGCCGCTGGTTCGCGGGGGCGGGTTGGTAGAGGGCGCCCGGGTTTTTGTTTTGAAAAAGCCGCGACGTTCTTGCCGCGAGCGTCAGGTCGGGCGGCCTTCGGATGGGATGCTCTTAGGTGGCATCGGTCGATGGTCGCGCGCTGGTTGTCGAAGTTTCTACCGCGAGGACGAGCTTCAAGATTCATTTTATCCTCGTTGACATCATGGTGCTGTGGGGATGTTTTTCGTTGGGATGGCGAGACTCTGGCAGAAACCATGTTGCAGTTTGGCGATCGGGTGGTGTCGGTGAGAGAGACGCTGAAAGAGTCTGAGTCCGAGGAGGAGTACGACACTGAGGAGGAAGTCAGCGAAGTTGCCTCGTCCGCCGAAGGTGGTCAGGTCGAAGTGGCAGAAACCGCACAAGGCAGCAGTCCCCCGGATCGCGATACGAACATGGATTTTGCCCGCAAACTGCACGCTTTTTTGGAGCACAAATTCGTCATTGCGTTCCAGCTCATCTACCTGTTGCTCTACCTGTACTTCTACGTCTATGCCACGCAGGTAAAGTTCCGGATCGATTTTTGGCGCAGGAATTCCATTTTGATCTCGATGCACGATTCCTGTCTGGGTATCACAAAGGCGGACTGGCAGGAGGGAACCACGTGCGAGGTACTAAGGCTCGACTCTTGCATTTGAGCTTCAGCTTGTAGAGTCAACATACGGTTCTCGTCACTGTTTTGGTTTTTTCATTTTCATTTTCTCGGTTCGTGGTTCCTAATACGGTTGTGGACCAGAGGATGATCATGAGGAATGTCCTTCAAACTACCTCCCCCACTGTCGCTCACTTACACACAGGTGAATCTGTTTTTGAAGTACTCCATCGATACCTATCTTCTCGAATATGTACGCAAGACCAAAATCAGCTCGCAAGGACTGTCGCGCGTTCGTCAACAACACAAAAAAAGCAACAAGCCTGGTCCCCGAAAAAAAAAAGCATATATTAGAGATCTTTTAGTCCCCCACACTAGTGTAAGTATCTTTTGTTACGACGTCAGTAACTCCATGTGGAACTACTGCGATTGGTTCTGCCTTGTTGTACCGAGGGGGTTTGATGCAGACGCAGACGCCTCGAGATGCATATTCATAATTTATTTGGTTGCTTCCAGTTACACGAGCTGAGTTTTCCCGTTGGATAGAGCGCACACGCGTTGCAAATCATCCACCGCTTTCGCATTTGGGACTTCGCCACCTTGACCCTGTTCTCGTGTCTTCTGATCCTCCGCGCCTTGTCCGCCCGGGGGGCGCCGGAGTTTGTCAAGGAAATGCGTGCCCAACGAAAAGACGGGCAGGAGGACAAGCGCCACCTGAAGAATGCCACGGAGACCACCGTGCTGGAAGGCGTTTACCACTTTTTTCGGTACGACTACTTCGCGCTCTTCGAGTTGCTCCTCGGTAGTTTCGGCGGCTTTTGGTTTCTCCTGATGCCCGAGAAGGTGTCGTGGATGCAGTACCTGACAAGCTACGTGCTGCCCTTGCAGCACTACGCCTTGTGCAGTCTAGGCTGGGTTTTCCTCTTCCGCGTTCTCCTCGAGTGCTGCGAGTACTCCATCTTCCTGCACATCATCTCGCACTGCATGCAGAGCCAGAAAACGGTTCTGAAAATCTACTTTATCATCTTCCTGAGCGCGCTGCTGCTGCAGGGCTGCATCGGGTTGTGGTTGCAGCGCTGCACGATCGGGTACGAGCTCGCGGACGGGTCCGACCTCTATTCCTTCTACGGCAAGAAGCACGCACCCTTTCAGCCCACCAGCGACCGTGCGTTCGCCAAAGACGAGTACGGAAGATACTTGCGGTTCCAGGTGTCCACGATAGAGTCCATTGCGGGGTCGATTCACTATCACGCAGAAATCACTAAGAATTATAAGCGAGCTGAAGTAGCAGATCCATCTTTCGGGTAAATCCGATGCAAACTACTTTATGACGAAAAGGAAAACCGCATGAAAACATCTACTGGTACGCCTTCATCACAAGCATTGATTCTGTTTCTGCATCTACCCAAACCCAAACGCGCAATGAAGAAAGTTGTGAAAAGCTAGTGAGGTGAGAGTTGGCGCCCCCTTCTCTCCCCTTGCTGGGAATCACTACTACTACTACATCTATCGCATGACCAACATGAACATCCGTTATCGCATGACCAAATCTGTTTTCCACCTCCGTTATTCTTTGTTTTTTGTACGTGATACTTCCTACGGCATGACCATGCTGATCGGGCTAGGTCCACCGGATTCCTTTCTGCCGCAACTAGGCTTTTTTGCCGTGCTGTTTTTCTGTGCGTGCTACCTGCACGCGGGTTGCTACGCGGGATTTCTCGGGGCCGTGCTGGATGTCGGGTTAGAGCACATGCACGACACCGTCAACGAGCTGTTGGGGGAGCAGGACAAGGAGGTCGAGGACCTGGTCACCCACGTACCGCTGCGCTCCAGCGCCTTGGTGGTCGAATCGCTGCAAAAGGTGCACAATCTGGAATACGGTTTCCCGCCCGTGGATGACAGCGACGACGATGATGATGGGGCAAAGGAAGAGGACAGTATGAATCCGTGTGTAACAAGGTGCTGGGACAAGACATCGCTCACTCGACATTCGTTGCATCACTAAGATACGCAGTCGTTGTTCTGGAAGAGCAACCCACAATTTCTAAACGGCACACGAACACAAGTTTTGCCTGTCGGGAAAAGCGCAGTCTGACATTTTGTTTTAGGGTACGACTATATACGAGAAACCGAGGTGGCGAGCCTGGGCCTGTCATGCTTTCAGCAACGGTACTGATGAGGTTCCTACTTGTCCTTATGCCTAGAACCAGCCCCACCGGCGGCGACGCCTCCTGCAATGTAAGCAGCTTGTGTGTAGCACAGCAGGAGCAAGGACAAAGATTGTATTGCAACGCACACTCAACATAGAATTACAAGATGAAGGTCCTTCGTTTTCCCACCACCTAGCGCTTCCATAGACAACGACGGCGACGCGGCAGACGAGGACGGCGAGAAAGCGCGATCTAGCGAACAACGTGGCTCGACCATTTCTATGACTCGACGGGGTGGATGAGAATTTTCAGGTGCCGGTTTGGTGACGATTTCAAAAAAACAAAAATAAAAACTTTCTATTTCCAGAGCTGACCCGGGCCCATCCCCACATGTTTTTGTGGTGTGTGTGGATGTGTAACGGGTTCGTTCCAAATATGGGCCGCGGGTGCGCTCATCCTAGGGTCAAGCCGCAGCGGTTTTGATTCTGGGTGTGTGTCCTGCCTTGTTGCGGGTTTTGGCGTCCTCCCCTTTAGGCGGGGTCGGCAAGCTTCGCTTCTCCTTTCGGCTTAGTGGGGGCACAGCATGTGCACAATCTTGCTCGGCGCGCAGGTTGACGGACCCGTGGTGTCTCCTTGCTGGTTGGTTGGTAGTCTCGTGACAGATGAGTGACGGTTTGTGGGAAGGATATTTGACGTTCTGGCGACGGTTTGTGACGGTTGTTTGACGGTTTGTGACGGTTTCGTCAGAAATTCCGCTAAAACGGAGCATACCATCGGGGAAGAAAAACTGTCACTAACCAAATTGGAACCGCCTTCCAACTTGTGACGGTTCTGTCACCATTCCGTCAAATTGCGTCATTTCATTCTTGGGCTACCTGAGGGCCTACCTAGCTACTTACCACCAAAGGCGCCCATGGGAAACGTCAGGCGGCAACCCAGAATATGGCCAACGTCCAGCCGTTGCGCGCCCCTGCGTTGGCTGGTGGGATGCCAGTCGTTGGGCATTTGGGGTTTGCCCTTTCGTCTTTTTGTGTTATGGGGGCCCACACAATTTTCAACGCGTGTGGCGACATGCGTGCACGCTCCCCAGGCAGACACTGTCCTGGGGTAGGACCAATGGTGCTTCGCGGTGTGTTTCGCGGCATGGCTTTGCCGCCTATCGCCCGAAGCTATCGTAGTGCCGAGCCACAGTAAAATTTTCGCTTTTCTTTTTTCAAAACGTCACGAAACCGTCAGACCATGTAACTCATCACGAGCCGTCAGGTTGAACATTTCTGCCGCGGCATCAACGGAAGAGACCTTTAAGGAGACGCTGCTGAGCCGTGTGACCTTCCTGGACCACCCCGTCTACAACACTTTTCTTCAGTTTCTGTTCCTCATCCCCGTCACCCTCGCCACACCGTGCTTCGAGTATGAGGAATTTGAAAGTCGGCATGTATTTGCCGACGAGCCGGCAGAGCAGATTTTCAAGTACTGTCTGATCGCTGAGGGATTCATCATCCTGTTCCATTTTTGCGAGTTCATAGCCCTTTTTGCGCGAGTGCACAACGAATCCTCCGTCCTGGCCAGGAGGCGGCAGGCCGAGGGAAACAAGGAGGTCGAGGCCAACTGCGCGTACTACCCCTTCACGTTTTTCGGATTCGTCGACGTGGGTTCCTGGCTTCTACCCGCCCTGGCCCTCGTCATTTGCCTCTTTGGGATCATCGGGCAGGGCGACGGCACCGCAAGCAAGGTCGGGGAAATCCTGAAGCCGAATAATCTGAAGAACTACTTCCAGGAGTGGCCCAGTGTTCCGCCCTACATGGACCCGACCGACTTTTTCTGGATTTGCGGCTACATGTGCCAGCTGGAGTCGCCGCACGATATGGAGAAGCGGCAGCTCGCCTTTCTGACGCTGCTCGTTTGCGGCCGCATTCTGATGCTCTTCAAGCTATCCACAGTAAACTTGCCATGCAGCACGGCGTACAAGAAATGACCAACGTTGATGAGCCTGAGAATGCATGGTGACGACACCGACAAGCTTTTAAACCTTTGTGACGTATTTGTTCCATTTGGTACGTGTGCAGTAAACATGTGTGAAAAATGCATAGAAGCCCATGCGGTACTACAACACCATTAACACGATCATCACCGGCTGCCACAACAACCGTCACGTGCTCCGGTTTTCGTACGCTTTCGCGTTTTGCTTCCTACTGCTCGGTTCCGCGACCCTGTATCTATGAAATGCAAAAGCATCGTACTAGTATAAATCGCATGACAAATCTCCTCAGCAAGAGATGTAGAATTTGTAATGCGGATTCCACTTGAGAAAGACATTTGTAATGCATGAATGCGATTAGTAGGACTACGATACTTTTGCACAGGATAGTACCTGTCTTCCTACGACGCACTGCTGCCGGAAGAGCAGTACGACTGCAATTCCTTGTATGGATCTGTCAGGATTGAAATCGTCAAAGTTGAAACGATTTGCCATGCATAAAATGCAAGGCATCAAGTGCCTGTCTTGCCGGGATGGCAAGGGAGGCAGATTGTGAGCCTATTTAGGGTTTGGGATAGAGCTGCTAAAAGAGCATGACAAAAGCAGTCTTCTGTGCCCAAACAGCATGACAAATTGGATTCCGGTGCTCCGAAGATTTGTCATGCGCCGCTTGAAAATTGGGCTTCCAACTGGTATCCATTTTTTGCATGACAAATCATTTCAACTTTGACGATTTCAAACCTGACGCTTCCATACCTTGCACATGGGGATGTGGGAGATGTTCCAGAAGATGGTGAGTCTGGAGTCCGGCAACCAGCACCAGATCTGGGGCTGGAACGTGTTCCTCTCCACCGTGGGCGCGGTGATCGCCGCCATCTCGTTCAGCATTTACGCCAGCGCCTTCGATTTCGACGTGGACGAAACCGAAATACCAGAGGACCGCGGCCTGTTGGACGACCCGGAGAACGTGCGGTTGGCAGAGCTGCCGGAAAGGGAGTGGATCGAGAAGTCCAACAACACCAGCGAGTTTGTGAAGTGGTGCACCAAGACGTTTTTCGAGGACATGCACGGCCCCGGGTTGTGGTACTTCTGGCGCGGTTTCCTCGCGATCTGCCTCTCGTTCTGGGCCGTCCACGCCTACTCCAGTCCCTGGTACCAGCACGCACTCTTAGATGCCCACCTGACCGAGCTGGTACCCGGTCAGGATTCCTTGCTCCGGTCGATGCAGGCGCACCAACTCATCGCCGTATGGGAGTGTCAGGATTGAAATCGTCAAAGTTGAAATGATTTGCCATGCATGAAATGCATGACCCGAGGCACGTGTGTTGCAGAGCAGGCAAGTGAGGCCGATTGTAAGCCTGTTTGGGGTTACAGCTCGAGCTGCTAAAGTAGCATGAGAAAATCGCTCCTCTTTGCCTAAAAAGCATGACAGAGTGGATTTAGTGACCACCAAAATTTGTCTTGCAAAACTTGAAATCTGGGTTCCAACTGGCATCCATTTTATGCATGAGAAATTATTTCAACTTTGTCGATTTCAACTCTGACACATCCATACGCCGCCACGGAGCCGTACGATAACGACGGCGATGAGGCTGGGCCAGACGCCATCAAGGGCGGGAAAGAGGAGCCGCCGGAAGTGGAAATCAAGGGCGAAAAAGTCTCGGACGGGCCGGGCGCCAAGCCGCAGGGCAAGGAGAAGGCCGCAGCCTCGTCGATGCTGCAATTGTCGCGCCGTGAACAACGGCAGAGACGAAAACTGTGGACCGAATCGAAACGCAAGTCCGAAACGATGTTCGGGTTGCTGTCAAACTACCACGTGCCAAAATTGTGGGAGGTTCTATTCGGCAGTGGGATAGAAGATGAGACAGACTTCGCGAAAATATTGCGGGGCAGAGGGAGTGCTTCGGGTACGGAAGCAGATAGTAGAGATTTTCCGGGCCGCCGAGACAGAGGCGCTTTGGAACAGCAAGGCGCATCGTCGTTCTTAGAAACGGACTCCGACGACCGCGGCCACGTTGTTTCGCTTCTACAGACATCACAGACCCATCACACGACGCACCATAGACAGCACACTCGCAAGCACAACCACAATAATTCGCCCGAAGAAAACCGTCGGAAGGTCAGGCGCTTGATTGAGCAGCTCGGGCAGCCGAAGAGAAGAAAAGCTGCACCAGCTAGCTCGTCGTTTGCAGAGAAAGCGGAAGCTAAAAATGAAGAAGCGTCGGCAGCGACTTCATCTGCAGGTGGCTTGTCTGAGCATTTCCATCAAACGGTGGTCGATTTCAAAAACGACAAATCTCTGCACGAGGAGCCAGATGAGGAGTTACAGGAAGAGGAGTCTTTCTTCAACCCAGACGAGTTGAAGCTCTCCACTGATGGCATCACAATGTTCCGAAGATACGACTCCGAAAAGCTGCAGGTGTACACGAGCGGGCTGGACCGGTTGAAATACGAGCCTTTCGCAATAACGGGGATCGGAGACGAGTTGCACGATGCTGATTTCTTGCTTCGAGTTAGCTATCCATGGTCAATGCAAGTGAGTCGTAGTAGTTGCGCGATCTTCTATGATGTTGAGCTGCAGCTTCCGCGTTGCTATGTTACGTAAGTTTTGATGAAATTGCTTCACTTTGTTCTAGCGTGATGAAAAAAATGAAGAAGTTCCGCGGATGTATGAGCAGGATTCTTTAGCTCAAAAATAGGGCTGCAGTTCTAGTGCGTAGCGTACGTATATAACGACCCATTCTCCCTGTCCTTGGATATCAGCACAAAAACACCGAAACGGATCGAGGACATTTTGGGTAAAAGTAGCCGAATCCGCATCAAAACGGGAGAAGCTGATTTGGAGGATGATGACGGCGATGACAAAGACAAAGACGATAGTACCGACGACAAGAAAGCGGATGCCAAGAAAGACGACGACAAAAAATCAGCCAGTGCAGCAGCAGCCTTGGAGCTCCACCTGCGTGAGTCCCATCGCGACGGCGAAGTGGGGGGAGATGAAACAAAGGCCACTGAGGAAACAGGCAAAGCCGCAGGCGAGGAACCGGCGGGGGACACGCTGCAGTTCGTGGATTTTGTGACCTCCTCGACCCAGCGGACCGAGCACTTGTTCAGTATGAACTACAGCTTGCTGAACGGCCGCGCGCCCTCGCTCGAGCGGCTGTTTTTCTTTACCAACGTGTGCATGGGTGCGAAGGATGTGACGGACATGTCGTTTCTGGTCCACGCCTCGGCGGAGCGGACCAAGAAGGAGGAATACGAGCGGCTCCGCGTGGAGAAGAAGCGGCAGCAATTTCAGTGGCGGGCGGACGGCGACAGCGGGGAGTTGAACGGGGGCAGGTACGGCGAGTCTTGGCACAGCGAGGAGGAGGAGGCAGCGAAGGGCGATGAGTTTTCCCCGGACAAAGAGGTGAAGAAACTGATTTCCACCGACCTCACCTCTGCGCGGATTAACGCGGATAAGAAGACCCCGAGCTCCGACGGCAAGACGCTGATCGATCTTGGGGTGGGCGGAAGTCTGGAGAGCACGCGAGAGGTTGTCGGAAGTAGGGAGCAGCGCGACCAGGTGCGCCACGTGCTCGATACAGGTAACATTAAAAATAACGACCAGGGGGATGGTGCAGGGAACAGCGATGAACCGTTCGCGGTGGTTGCGGTTGCCGGACGCGAAGATCGTCGTGCTGTTGAAGCGACAACAAGCAGAAGTAGATCATCTGCATCCTCCGCTCTGGAACAGGAAGAGCAACAGAGTAGAGCAGAATCTTCGAACAAAGCTAAATCCGACGCCGGCGATGATGCAAAAGATAAAAAGGCCGCGGAAGACGGTAACTCGAAGAGCTCCACCACTCTGCTAGACCCGCTGCCGTCCATTTCGACAGAAGATTACACGGCGTTTTACGCGCCGATCCGCATGGTGGATCCTGACAAGGAAGACGTGCCCTGGAACTGCGGAGATCTGATGCCCTTTATTCCCTGAAAATGGAGCACCCGCCCCATCCACTTTTTTATGCAAAACACGGAGCAAGGTCGCCTTTTCAAAAGTTTTGCAAAGTCGCGACTTCTGTCATTTAAACCAGTGTAATATGCAGATGGTTGATTTTCAGAGAATACCCTTTGTCCTGCTCGAAGACGACACGGTGCGACAGACCACCTACCGCAAGGGCCTACCCGCGTTCCCGGAGATCGCCGTGGAAACCCACTACGTCGCTCCGATACACAACGAGAAAGCCAAGGAGAAATTTTTCGAGCAGTTCGCGGACGAGGTCGCACAGTACGGGCCGGCCGTCAATCCGCAGCTCGCGGATTCGAAGTGGTTCCGCATGAAGTACATCACCGGCATTGTTTCCCGGGACGGCCTCCGCATTTTTCTGCCTCTGATCGTTTTCCTGGTCGACGTGTTCGTGTTGCTCGTCTACCTGTACAATTATCTCGTGTTGTGTGCGGTCTACTTCTACGGCGACAGTTACCACAAAGCCAAGTACCTGTACAGTCCGTCGAGGAAAGAATACGACGAACTGATCGGGCGCCGGCTGCCCCCGGGCACGTCGTCGAAAGAGAAAGTGGAGTACGCAAACAACATTCCGAATCGCAGGGGGGTCAGTCCGGTGTTGATGTTCTACAACTACGCCATCAAAAAGCCGGACGCGGGAACGGTCATCGTCCTCACCGTCACAATCATCACGCATATCCTGATGGGGACAGATAACGTATCCTCCCCACGATATAATTTCTTTTGCAAATTATGATCTAAATCTAAAGGCTAAGGCTCCTCAGAGTGTGCTAGATTCGCAGCCCCATGGGGAGTGGGATCTAATGACGTTCGGGAACCAAGTAGTAAAAACAATTTTTCATTCCCTAGCCAGGATCAGACATTATCAGTTGATGTGTATTGCGCCTCCATTTTTAGCAGCTAACCACGTCTACACGACCACAGACTCGAATTTGTGATGCGTTACTTCGAAAGAGCCTTGATGTGTCCAGCGGGGGTGGGTACTTACGGTTTTACCCCGGATGGCCCACGTGCTCTCCTTCACGCTAGGTGGAGTCCGCATGCGGCTCCTGGACAACGCGAACACGGCCCTGGTGCGGCCATACCTGCAGTATTTGATGGGGGCGCGCGTCTTCGCGGCGGCCTTCTATTTCAGTTCCTTCAATACCGGGTTTGGCCTCATCGTGGATGTGGTGAGGAAAAACCGGATGACGTTATTCCACGCGTACTACCTGGCCCTGATGATTTTTTTCGTCATTGGCGGGTTGGTCTTTCTCACCGAGCGGAAAAACGGAAACGTGAACGAGGGGGAGACGCAGCGCTTCACCAGCTTCGGGATGGCAAGCCTGTTCGCGAGCCGCCTTTTTACTGGTAAGTACAGGAGCGCCACTTATGAAGCGTTTGTCATAGCGCTAGATTGTTTTTATTCTTAGTCTTTTTTTTGTTCTCCTTATCAAACAAATGTGAGTTTGTCTTGGTTCTTGCTGCATCGCATGAGGCAATCGCGACCCCTTCCCCTTCGTGTTCGTTCACATCATGAAGTAAATAAAGGGTTTTTGCACTTCAGAAGCGTTACAACAGTAACAGAATGAAAATAGAGTATTTCCCACTTGTTTCGCCTTTCGCGCACAACAGGCAACATGGGAATGGTGAAGGAATACAGTCCCGAGGGTACCATCGTCGTCTTCCTGATTATGATTCTCGCGGGCCCCGCCATTCTGGGAATCTTCGCAGGAATTTTGACCGACGGTCTCATGGCGGAACTGGACCACAGTGTGTTGCACCAGCAGGTGGAGCATTTCTACGAGCACGAGGAGCTTGTCCGCGCCTGCGCACTGAAGTGGAAGAAGCGCGCACACGAACTAGCGGAACAGAGGAGAAAAGAGACTGCCGGCAACGCCGACGCGACGGTGCCAATTTTTGCGTCGCGCGGGCCGCACATGGGCAGGATGGACAAACTCCCGCGCAAATACGCCTACGGCGCGGACTCCTACCTGCGACAGACCTGGTTCCCAGGAAAGGTTTCGCTGCTCCTGCATTTATTCGCCTCCTTTCTGGCCATTTACGTCTCCGCACCCTCCCGCTCCATCGACGTTTTGGTCAAACCCGGGGAAAACCTCAAGAAGGAAACCGCGGGAAACCAGAAAGAGGTCGAGGAAACAAGTAAACTGTTCAACAAGGAGAACTACCCCGCGGCTTCGCGGGAGCCTGGCGACCTGCGGTCCGCCGCAGAGCCGGACGAATTGGACGAGACAGCACCCGGGGCGAGTAGCAGCAGTTCTAGTTCATCTTTTTCTTCCTTCATCGAGACCACATCTTCGACGGCAGGAGCTTCCCTTTATTCTAGTTCGAGTGCAGTCGAAAAAACATCGAGGAAAGAAGAACTACGACAAGCAGCTGACACGAAGGCTGTGCTGCACCTGCCGGACGGCGAGGCGTCGAAAAAGGACGCCGACAAGGCTACGGCCGTGGCCAAGACCACGTCGATCACTGCGACGGGCGTGGGACCAAACGGGGAGATCATCCAGGCCGGCGTGACCGAAACGACGCTCGAGCCGGCCAAGGACGAGGAGACGCCGTCCCTGGCGGACTCGTTGGAGGAGCCCAAGTACAAAGTGAACGACAAGCGGCTGCTGGAATCCAGCCTGTCCCCCACGACGCGAGTTCCGGATTCGCTCGCGCACCAAGCGCACAAGTGGGCGATCGACCCGGACGGGGAGATGGCGCAGCTGATCAATTTCCGCGCGCTCTACATGCAGGGCGACCGGCCCTTCGTGTTCTACTACCTGCTTCTACCGTTGCACTTCATTTTTCTTGTCGAGCTGCTTTTCGCCTGCTACGTGGACCGCATGAGCTACCGGAACCCGCTCAAATCCCCGTGGCGGTGGTTGAACTTTTTCCTCATCGTCCTCCTTGGAGCCCACCTCGCCATGCACCAGTATGAACTGCAAAAGTACTTATCGTACTCGTATAAATGCATTACAAATTTCCTCAGCATGAGAAATAAAATTTGTAATGCGGATTTGCGTTCAGAAAAAAATTTGTAATGCATGATTGCAATACGAGCGCGATACTTTTGCACAGGGTAGCCAGCGGCTCACCGCCATGTACGGTGCAGACAACGAGGAGATGAAGCCGGTGCTGTTTGAGGAGCGGGGCAACACGCTGGAGTACCAGAAGTTCGACATGGCGGAGAAAACGACGGAGGACAGCCGACTCGTGCACCTGTACGCCAGTCCAACCGGATATCCAGGAAAAAACACCCATCCACATCCAATTTGTCATGCAGAACATACATAAAACTCTGTGTTTGTCATGCAAAAAATGGATGTGGATGGTTTTTTTTCTGTGGATACCGGAACAACGGAAACAATCAACTCCGGAGACAAATCCGCCCCGGAAAAGAAAGAAGCCAGTGGAACTGGTGACTCGACACTGGAGACTCAGCAGGGAATAAGCGTAAGAAGAGTGGAGGATGGAAAGGATAAAGAAGAAAAAGACTCATCTACATCTAGTACATCACCAGGAGCTACAACTTCGAAGTCCTCGCCCGACAGCGCAAAAAATAAAGAACAAGCAAGCGATAATGATCGAAAGGAGGAAAAGAAAGATGAGAGTGAGGACGTGCCGCTGCCCCCGGAGCTGATTCCGGAGTACAAAAAGCTCGACAGTATTGCCAAGGACAACTTCGGGCTGCATCCCACCGAGCCGAAAAAACTGGCTGACGCGGCAAAGATTGACATCACGGAGCCCTACGACCCAAAAGCGGAGGAAAAGATTGTGCGACGGGACAAGCTCACCGGTTTTCAAGTGTACTGCATTCACATGTATCGGCAGGGGAAATTGGATGGCAATACTTATACCGCGCACAAGTACAGGGTAGTATAGACTGGAGCTGCATATGTGGTAGCCTGGTAAAGAAAAGCATGCTGTTGTGCAAGCTGCATCGTAGAGGCTGCCCCGACGATGAACACTGATACTAGCAATTGTGAACCCTATGCGTTAGGATATCGTCGCGCGAATCGCACACCCCGCATTGAAGCTTGTGATAGGTCGTACGAAATTCCAATTTCCGCTGCATAAGATGCAGGAGTACACCATTGCTTTTCTCGCTTGTTTCCACGGACTTTTCTTTGCCCAGCACCTGATGACGCAGCACATGCGCAAGGTGCTGACCCGCATGCTCACCTGTCTGCAGGCCACCGCGTTTCCCATTATGTGCGTCTTTCTCTGCACATGTGTGGTGTTTGGCGAACTCTTCTTCCTCTTCGAGTCTTACCGCACGCCGGCATGGTATGGATGTGTCAGAGTTGAAATCGACAAAGTTGAAATGATTTGCCATGCATAAACTGCAAGGCATGAAGTGCCTGTCTTGCCGGGATGGCAAGTGATGCCGACTGTCAGCCTGTTTAGGGTTTGGAATAGAGCTGCTAAAGTAGCATGACAAAAGCCTTCTTCTGTCCCTGAACAGCATGACAAACTGGATTTAGACGGTGCCTAAATTTGTCATGCACCGCTTAGAAATTGGGCTTCCAACTGGTATCGATTTTCTGCATTACATTTTTTTCAACTTTGACGATTTCAAAGCTGACGCTTCCATACGTGGAAGTTCGGGCCGAAGACGAAAACGGGCGGTAGTATGACGCCCTCAGAATGGAAATCCTCAAAGTGGAAATAATTTGTGACGCATGGAATGCGACACCAAAAAGACTGTGTTGCAGCGAACGCAATGGAAGCCGACTATTGTGCTTCTACGGGTTCAGAATTGGGCTGCTGATTAGCATGAGAGAAGGGCACCCATTTGCCTAACTAGCATGACAGACGCGTTTTGAGTGCCCGGGAAATTTGTCATGCGCCGACTATAAATGGTGCTTCAACTGGAGTCGTTTTTTTGCATTACAAATTATTTTCACTTTGAGGATTTCCAACCTGAGGCTTTCATAGGCAGACAGCAGGTGTTCCTGGAGAACAGTGTCAACACAGAATTCAACTACACGCCCAACGGGTTGATGTTCAGTTCGCTGGGAGACGGGTTTTTCATTGCGTTCAACCTGCTCAACGGAAACTGGGAGACCGACGACTACTCGGAAGCCGGCAATATCATCACCTGGGATATGGGACGAGGAAAAACCTTTAATCCGAGGAGAGGAGTCGTCAAACAACTGTGTGGTCGTGACGTCTTTGTTTACGTACGTAAACAAGCACGAATCTCCAGTTCTTTGGCACGGACGACCTCGGCACTGTTGGGGATATAGTCGCATAGGCATGGATCTCACTCTACTCTCTGTAAGTGCGCCATCAAATTAAGATGGCGAGACGCGTGCAAGATAGCCCTTTATTGGTGTTTTGATGCACTTACTTGTAACATGATCACGCCCGACTTCTTCCTTCGGGATTTCTTTTTCTCTCGTATACTCCTCATCTGCTTCTTTGGGATAGGCGTAGGGGCGCTGCCCGTCGCCGCAGTGATGCAGGCCGTAGGCAACGCGATTGCGGTATCCACAGAAAAAAACCCATCCCCATCCATTTTTTGCATGAGAAGCACAGGACTTCATACGTGTTTTGCACGACAAATTGGATGTGGATGGGTGTTTTTTCCTGGATATGCGGCAGATCAGAACTTCCTCTCGGGCGCCAAGGACGACTTGGCTGAGGCGGTAAAGGCGGACGAAACACGCATGCGGGGACGGCAGGCAAAGCTAATGGACCTAGTGAAACAGGTAAAGAGTGGCAAGCGGGTCTCCAGACCGTCAGCAACGACAAGCAACCTGCGGAGGCCGCCGAAAGACTAGGCGATGACGTAAAGGAGGACAGGTGGCCTTTGTTTCCAGTGATTCAACGGATAGGCGCGGATACAAGTTTCATATTTCACGAGTTGTAGACAAAAAACCGCAACTGTTGTAATTGTGCTGCGTATGTTTCGGTATTGTTGGCCATGGAAATCGATCCCGCACACACGTAACACGATCGCCCCAGATGACGCCTGTTCCCAATGAAATGACAGTCCTGAATGACCTGAACTAGCTAGATCCTTAGGGAAATGGTCAGAATCAATATAGATCCTAAAGGAATCTCTTCACCATGTTCCGCGAATCCCCCAAATACTACGAAGGCAAAGCCATCAGGATCGTAGTGAAATGAATGGACTCAGCTCGGTCCAGACGTTCAGAATGGTCGCCCTGAGGGACTTGACTCCCGCCAGGGTCGAGCGCCAAACCGTCAAGGTTGAGGGATGGACCCCCATGCTGTTTTGCCACTTGACTCTGACCAGGTTTGGTCCATATGAATGCGATGAATTTGGATGAATTGAACCTACAGGATGTAACGCAGCAAGAGACTTGCGCCACTTGCTTGCTTACTTGCAATTGAGAGAATTCATTGAATTGCTGTTGATAACGAGCTCAGTGGAGCAAACGTGTGCAAGTGTGTGCGAGTGTTCTCAAGTCCACTAACACTACGCTACGCCTTGAGACTCAAGCTGGCTCTTCTAGTCAGATAAGTTTATTTGAAGATGGGCCAAGAGGCGAAATTGACGGAGAAGTTGTCCAGCGCGCAGGACTGGCGCATCTGGCATCGCGGGGTCACGAACGAGGTTTCTCGCCTCGGACTCCAGGAGTATTGGGATAATCGTCTTGCTGGTAACCCTCCGGGGATTCCGCAAGCGAACAACACTGCCAATAACGCGATCCGGGAGAAGTGGCGCGACCTGAAGGATGCCATCTACAAGTCGCGCGCCGGGTCCGTGGCCACGTGGGTCAACAGTCAGCACTACATCAACGATGACGCTGCGCAACTGTTCGCGCGGATTCGTGACGTTGGTCGCTTCAATGTTGCCTCCCGTGACCAGCAGCACATCAAGACCTCCTCGATCGACGCCATGCACTTCGACAACCGCGACGCGCCGAAGGATGCTCCGACGTTCCTGGCTCAGATCCACGAGCTGATGGAGATGGCGCCGAGTGTCTACGTTCCGGAAGCCGGGCGTCCGGTCGAAGATCGTCATGTGAAGAACATTCTGGACAAGCTGCCCAAGATGTTTGCGTCGGCCTTCCGCCAGACCATCGACCGCTGCGTGGACGAGTCCGATCACATCACCTTGCAGGAGATCGGGAACCGTCTCGAGAAGAAGCGCGCGCAGTTGGTCAAGGCGGGGCCCTACAAGATTGAGAGCCCGTCCTTCGGCAAGGCCTTCCCGGTCATTGAGGAGAAGTCGAAGAAGAAGAAGGGAAACAAACGTCAGAAAGACGATGACGATGAGGAGCCGGACTCCGCTGATGATGGTCAAAATGCTGCTTCTGGCAAGGTGTTCTCGGCGAAAGCCTTGAAACGCATGAAAGCCAAACTACGCAAGCAGACCGAAGCGAGCGTCCTGGCTGCCCATGGCCTGCCCCCGAAGTCTAACGCTAAGGGTGGAAGTGGCCAGAAAGGTGGTGGCAAGACTGGTCGGAACCAGAGCACTCCCTACAACACTGTGACCAAACCCAAATGCTGGATCTGTGGCAAGGAAAACCATAAGGCTGACCGTTGCCGCTGGAATCCTAACAATCAAGGGAAGGGTCAGTGGGGTGGTGCCTGGGGAAACCAGCAGCCGCAGTGGTGTCCGCCGGTGAGCCAGAACCAGATGAACAACCAGAATCAAGGGCAGGGAGCCGGTGGAAACAAGGGCGGTTGGGTCTGGCAAGGGGAAGCCTGACTAAATGAAGGAGATGTTTACATCTCGGAGTATGGTAGCTGTATGCTGAACTTCGAGAATTTAGAGGAGTTTCATATAGATTCCTCTAGCTGTTTTATTGCACAGACCAAGGACGAAGTGAGCTTGGTCGATTCATGTGCAAACAAGTACTTATCTAGACACGACTCGGATTTTATTGACATCTCGAGCAACGTCTGTCGCATCAACGGCACGGCCGGGGCTCGTGATGGTTTTGTAGGAAAATTGAAGGAAAACGCTCTAGGTTTACCCTACGGCGTCTACTTTAAACATCTACCAAGAGATATTGATCGTATTCTTCCGTGGCTCGGTGAGGACAATCTCAGTGATCGTGGGTGGGATCTGAACTACAACAGCTCTGGTGGTTCTCTCGTCAGCAGGGAATCCGGCCAGATGCTACCAATCAAGAACCGCGAGAGGTTGACCCTCCCAGTCCTTGGGTGTGATCTTTTCGCGGTGGGCCTCCGGGGTCAGGCGACTAGTGACACCGCGGAAGACATTGCATGCATTACAATCGAAGAAAGTATCGCTAGTTGTCACCTTACGCGTCTAGAACAACATAGAAGATTCGGACACTTTCATGTAGATGGTCTTAATGTCCAGTGTCCGGAATGCGACAAAGCGAAAGGCGCAAGAAGCTCTCACGCCAAGGAGCGAGACACTAGTAATTACAAACCTGAACCATTGAAACTACTAGCGATGGACTTCGCGGTAGGTATTAAACCTGTATCGATTCGGTCACGCACCTGCGTGCTTGTGGTCATCTGTGATGCCATCAAGAAGTGTTTCTGTGTCCCTCTTAAGCTGAAAAGTGACTGCGTTGAGGTTTTGGAAGAATTGATCAAAGGCATTCGCCAGAACTACGCTTTGACCCTCGAGGACAAAGTGGTATGGTTCGTCCGTAGGGACAATGAGCCAGCTCTGGGCAGTGACTCCATGACCAAGGTCATGCAATCGCTGCGGGTCGGTGATGCTCCTACGGTTCCCTACAACCCAGAGCAGAACGGAACCTGCGAACGCTTTATGCGGACCATATTCGGCGCTGTGCGTGCGATGTTGGTGAACGTGGACAAGCGTCTGTGGTGCTACTCGGTCGAGTACGCTGCAGCATGCTGGGACCGCCTTCCGCATAAGTATAGCAAAGTGCCTGAGTACGACGGAAAGACTCCTGCAGAAATTCTGGATGAGAGAACTGGAAGAAATAGCTCGAAAGTTGGCACAAGGATGCTAAGGCGTTTTGGTTGTCTCGTTTATTTTCGTGAACAAGTCAAGAAAGGCGAAGCTCATGAAGCTCCTGAGGGGGGAGTAGAAGTGGTTGCTCCAAAGCTGTCCGCGCCATTTCGTCGTGGTGTATTTCTCGGCCTTTGTCCTAAGTCTTCGGGCTGGCGGGTTGGGACGTATGTCACGGACGGCCGGTCCGCCGCGGGACATCGTTGGATGGAGTATTCCACCATCGACGTCAAGTTCCGTGAGGAGTACCTCGTGAAGAATGTTGAAGACCTAGTTCCTAACTCGAAAGGCATCTATGTCGAGTGTGACGCAATCGAGGCCCTACCCAGTGGAGCGTCGTGTGCGCCATCTCTCCCGTGTGTCGGTCTGATAAAAAGGGCTGAGCACCGGCTGGGGGTGGATGTCTCGGAGCACACTGGTAGGCAGCCTGACGGTCCAGAAGAGACGTTGGTGGTTGAAAGTCTGGATAGGGAAGACGATCCGGGCCAGATACATCCCGAGCCTGAAGGTGTTAAACCTGAGGAGGGGAATCTGGACGATCACCCCACTCACAGCAGCTTATCTAGTCCAAGAAAGGCGAGCCCGTCTCCGGCGCGGATTGTGGTTGGCAACCGCAACTCCAAGCCGCGAGGTCGTGGCCGTCCCAAAGGGAGAAAGGACAAGACAAAGCGCGTGAGACGTACTAAGAAAGAGCTCGCAGAATTGAGAGAGGACGCTAGTGCCTTTGCCGCAGCAATAGCAGCACAGGACGATCGAGAGGAAGGTGAGGAATTCCTTGACGTCCAGTGTTACTTGACTACATCGGCCAAGTTGGATCCTGCTCGCTGCAAAGACTCAGTCGAATGGAACGCAGCAAACAACAAGGAAGATTGTAGACTTGAAGCCTATAAAGTGTGGGAGCCAGCTACTGACGAGGAGCTAGCGACCGCAAAGCAGGTTTTGCCTATTGCTATCCTTCTTACCGAGAAGCGTGACGGTACGAAGAAAGCGCGAGCAGTTGTTCTCGGGAATCTAGATCGTTCGGGCGAGCTGGACACTTTCGCTCCTGTTGTGTCCCATGCCGCTAACAGGTTACTTCTTGCCGCTGCAGCCGCAGACGGTGATGATGTGATCCCGTTCGATCTTGATAGTGCGTTTCTCAATGCCTTACTTGATCGCGATGTCTTCTGCCGCTTGCCACCCATCTGGGCGAAAAAGCACGGCGTGGAGATTGTCAAGCTCAAGAAAGCGCTTTACGGCTTGAAAGACGCCCCCAGGCTCTGGTATAAGAAGTATGAGGAAGTACTGACCAAGCTAGGCTGGGAACCCTGTCCCTCTGCGCCAGGTCTGTGGAAGAAACCGAGCTTGGAACACCCTGGGAAGTTTCTGAAGTTGGCAGTGTATGTCGACGATAATCCTATCACAGGTCCTCCGACTGGGTCCGAGTTGGCTGGAGAACTTGCGGAGATCTTGCACCACGTCAAGGGGCGCACGATCGACGTCGAGCTTGTTCCGGAGTTTCACTCTGTGTCCAAGAAGTTTGACTTCCTAGGGTCAATAGTGTGCTACAACTGGAATCTACGAACCGTGAGGATCGTGATGCCAGAGTACATATCCAAGATTTGTAAGAAATTCCACGTCTCAGAAGCGGGCAAGCCGGTCCACTCGCCAAACTTCGATGAGTCTGAACTCGCTAAAGAAGTTGAAGGAGCTAAAGTTATTGAAGGTCTTCCCCTTCGAGAGGTCGCTGGCTCTCTGCAGTGGGCTGCAACCACTTGCAGGGTAGAAATTGTTGTCCCGGTTGCCACTGTCGCGAGATACGTAGGCAAGCCGGCGACTCGGCCTGTCGTATACGCCTGTAAGAAGATTCTGAAGTATCTATTGACAACGAAAGAGCAGGGTCTGTCGTATAGTCCGGAGATTGAGGAAGAATTCAACAGAATCTACAGCAAGCTACTGCCCGAAGGGAGAGACTTGCCTGATGTGAATCTGTTTTCGGATGCTAGTTTTGCGAACTGTTGCAAGACCATGCGAAGCACTAGTGGTAGCATTATGTACTTCCGCGGCTTCCCGATCTGTTGGCGTAGCAACCGGCAGACCGTGTGGGCGTACTCCACGGCGGAGGCGGAGTATATAGCTGCTTCCGACACTATTGTGCTGAGCGAGCAGAATGACTTTACAGAGTTCTTCAAACCTCTACCCACTGTCATGGTGGAAAAGCAGAATGGCTTATCTCCCTCCCTGGGTGGATGATGCCATATTGTGGATCGACAACCAGTCCGCGATAACTACAGCGAAGAGCACAGACAACAAACCGAAATCGAGGCACTACGCACTGCGATATCTCCGCGTGAGAGACGCAGCGAGACAGATCATGTTCTGCCCGACCTACCTAATGAAGGCAGACGGTCTCACGAAGCTCGAGTGTAGTGTGCCGCAGAGACGCTTACTCTTGCACCATATTGATAACCCAGACCCAAAGTCCTTTATTTGTGACTCCTCTGACGATGAGGATGATTTAGACACTTTCACTGAGGGGAATCATAAGAAGGGCAAGGCTAAAGTAGGCTATACCTATTCGATTTGTTTTGGTTTCTAGTGTATAGCTAGTTTACCACAGCGCGCTCAGGAGGGGAGTGTGGTAGGACGTTATCCAGATTAGCACCACCGCCGCAGCGATTGAGGAGGGGCGTTGGTCATGGAAATCGATCCCGCACACACGTAACACGATCGCCCCAAATGACGCCTGTTCCAAAATGAAATGACAAATCTGAATGACCTGAACTAGCTAGATCCTTAGGGAAATGGTCAGAATCTATCTAGATCCTAAAGGAATCTCTTCACCATGTTCCGCGAATCCCCCAAATACTACGAAGGCAAAGCCATCAGGATCGTAGTGAAATGAATGGACTCAGCTCGGTCCAGACGTTCAGAATGGTCGCCCTGAGGGACTTGACTCCCGCCAGGGTCGAGCGCCAAACCGTCAAGGTTGAGGGATGGACTCCCATGCTGTTTTGCCACTTGGCTCTGACCAGGTTTGGTCCATATGAATGCGATGAATTTGGATGAATTGAACCTACAGGATGTAACGCAGCAAGCGACTTGCGTCACTTGCTTGCTTACTTGCAATTGAGAGAATTCATTGAATTGCTGTTGATAACGAGCTCAGTGGAGCAAACGTGTGTAAGTGTGTGCGAGTGTTCTCAAGTCCACTAACAGGCATTCAGATACAATTTTCATTTTGGCGCTTTTTTTTGAAAAATTGGGGCAACTAAAGAAGCCAGAGATTGAATTTATTATAGGGATGGATGCGCTGTTGCTGCTATACAATGATTTTTTTACGTGTGTCGCTTGTCCTTCAACTTTTTAGACGATCATCATTGTTTTCAACAAACGATTGCACTTTTGTGGCAATTCTGAGGCATGTTGGTTTTTATTGATCGTCTGCAGTGCATGCGGATCGACTTCCGGAATAAGAGACGCGTCTCTCATCGATTATAATACTTCGTATTTATCAGAGCTGCATGACGAAATTTACACCCTCGAAGGTACGGTCCGCAGTTGTATGTCCGAAGATGCATACGGTGCCAGCTTTGCCGCAAACGAATTGTGTATTCCAAGAATAAAGGCAAAAAAAACATATTTTTCATCAGGAGCATCAACATGAAACCTGAACCTCGTAAAAGAAAAAAATGCACAAGCACAGCTGAGACAAAAATGCATTTGCATTTATCGTGGATACAACTTCTGAAGTGAGAAGTGGCAGTCTTGTAAAATTTGAGAAAACGAACAACTAAAAACGCAAACGCGACGAAAAAATGAACATACAAAAAATACCGGAAGGGCTGCGGATACTGCGAGGGCTTCTGGTTGTGAGGAGGAAAAGTCACCTCATGTCATTGAGTCGCGGCCTGTACAGTGCCGTAGTTTTTTTTTGTGGTTCGGATTATTTTCATGTATTGTTCAGGGAGGACTCAAACTTCTTGCGCTAGGACACCTTGTGTGATAGATGGTGACTCGTACAACTCGTAGCACCACAACCCAGTTCTTGAGCAAGAAACGTCGCAACGAACAAGCGGCCAGGGTTTTTGCTCAGCATCATCTTCTGGCTTTGGTTTCCGACCCCGACATGTATATAGCTTTCGCTTCTACGTACGTGTAACTGTAAGATAATCTTTCTATGACGAGCATTCGTCTCGTCTTTCCTCTTGTTTTGGAATTGGATACGGAATAGCCTCCACTACGTAGCATGAGGCAGCCGTAATCTCTGTCTCGCAAGGATGAAGGATCTCTAGATTTTTTCATCGTCTTTCGAAATCTGCTGCGTCGATTATTACCGTACCGCTAGTGGCCACCGGACTCGTTCCTCGTGGCCACCATGTCGGGTGCCGACGCTCTGATCACGTCCATCGCGCTGCAGGGGTTCGGCGCCATCATCGCCAACCCGTTGGACCTGGCAAAAAACCGGTACCAGTATGCAAAATTTTTCGACCGACCGGAAATCCCGAAGGTGTCGCAGTATGCGGCAAACTACGGCTGGAAGCGCGGAATGTTCCAATCGATCGGCTATTACCTCGCGACGCCGGTCATGTTCGGCTTCATCTACGACATCCGGCACAAAAACGACGGGGCGTTTCTCGCCGCTTTGGAGGCACGGTTTTTGACGACTCTGTTCCTCTCCCCACTGGAATACCAGCGAACGCTACACCAGTCCCAGGGCCTCGCCGGGTTCGATTTCCTCCACTGCCTATTGCCTCTCAAAAGGCGCGGCGCGAAGGGGCTCTTGCCGACGATTGGACGGGATTTGACCTTCACGAGCATCTACTGCGGGGGCCTTCTGCTCGCGAAGGGGTCGGGGCTGATAGCCACGAGTTACGAGCAGGAATCGTATGAAAAGACGTCTTCGGGGTTGGGGAACTCGGTGGTGCAAAATTTCAAAAAGCCGGTGACGGACCCGATGACCTTCTTCGTTTCCTTTTTCCTCGCTACCCTCGCAACGGTGGCAAGCCACCCCTTTGATGTGGTAAAGACGCACATGCAGACATTTCCGCGGTCGAAATTTCAGGAGGGCATTCTGAAAGTACAGGAGGCAAGCATGACGCAGTCGTGGCGGCATCTGACAACAGGGATTTCAAAGCACGGAAAGAAAGTCACGGACTACAGCATGCTGCAAGCAGGTATGGTTGATGCTGTCGTGTAAGTAATGGCATCGCCAGATCCTTCTCTTGATTTTCTGATGCAGTAGTGCCTAATGCAAATGCCGGTTCAGAGCAGCTGCGCAATGGTGTAGTGCGCACTTGTATCTATTCGTCCCGTAACACCAGGAAGAGCAAGCGTTTGGGTTTACCTATTTCTATGTAAAACCTGTACAGGTCTCACGCTTCGTTGCTACCGGCTCATTCCTCTGTTTACTCTGCTTGGAAGTCAGACCTTCGAAATGGGGTGGATTTCAGACGAAGACCCGGACCGCGCGTTTTACAAACTGCTCGGCACGATCCAGGGCGGGAAGAACAAAACTGCAGACAAGGAACTGAAATACAATGGAAAAGTAGACAATCGAGACATCAAATACCAGGTCCCCCTGCACCCCAACGAAAGAAAAACACACTGGGATCTCTGAGCTTGAAGAAAGTACTTACCAGCAAAAATAAACTTCAAGAGGCGTAATTTGGACCACTAGTTGCGTTGAACGTTTGCGTTTGGAGACTGACTCGATGGCTTCGGCTCGGTTTTGCTTTTGAGCGAATTGTCATCGTAGAGTAATACTTTCGGGATCACAATATTATGATTATCTTTATCAAGCGTCGTGGTGCCATCTATTGACAGGGCGGCGATGATCGTGTAGGTACTCTGAAAGAGGATGTCGTTGAAATTTTCAGTCGTTGTCGTTTCGTGGTATCAGGACTCGACGATGACTCGCCCTTATTTCCTCGTATCAAAATCAATGTTGACAAAGAGGCAGAGACCCACGTCGTCAAGGAAGATGAGAGGTAAAGGTACACTAGAGTACAAGGATAAGGGAAAATATTTCAAGCATGGTCGGATAATGTTGATAAAGAAGCACAAATGTGATACAGATGAAGACTAGACGAACTACATCTACAGCTGTCGTACCTGTTTTGTCTCTTTTCTTCGTAGCTTCAAGTGTTTTTCAGGGAGGTACAGCAACAATCTCTTGTATTGACATTGAGAAAATTTCCACCGGGCCGAAGTAAGAGCGATGCTATCGCCAGCGCCACTTTGACTTGTTTGACATGATTCTCCCTTTCCTTTTACCTTGATTCCAGATTGAAAGAGAAAAAAACAAAGATGAGTTCTTGTCCCGTTTGTTTCGAGGACTACGACGGCGTAAATGTCCGTCCGATGGTCATCCCTCGTTGCGGCCACGGTCTCTGCCAGAATTGCTACCACAAACTGCCCAACAAGACGAAATGCATCGTGTGCCGCGGCCGAGTAGATACTCCCACTCCAGCAAGTCTGTCCAGGGCAGGTCGAAGTGACTCCATGCCGGTGGTTGAGGCGTCCATTTTTGGATCTGCTGCTCCTCCGAGAGCGAGAGAGGATACCGCGGCAGAAGATGAAGATGCCACTCAACCTTCTGCTGCGCCAGCAGCTCCGTTGAATGCTAGTAATTCTAGTCGTCGACAGCTCCGCAGAAATCCTCGCGTCGTGGTTAACCCTGGGTGGGAATGGGAGGACAATCCTGCTGCCGGATCCTCGGCAGATTTTCCATCTCTGCGGGAAGCTAACCCGACAGCCACAACTACGAGTGGGCTAAGCCGGGCAGGGCGAGGTGGACTTTTCGACGTTGACAGCAGCAGGCCCGGACCGAGTGCAGACATCGATCGCGGTGATTACGACCATTACAACATCCCTGGTGTCGGTCGCACACGCCACCAGTTGGAGTCGCGTTGGTTTAACGAACGGGGAGATCGCGTGCCGCTACGTAGAGTTCCCCGCGGACCCGCGGCACCCATGTCGGCACGTCGCGCGGAGGAAACAGAGCCGAGCACCGTTGACGGTGGTGGAATCCAAATCAACCGACAATTTGAAGCCTATTTGCAGGAACAGCGCCAGAAGAAGCTGGCTGGTGCGGGGGCAACTACCGGAGCAAATGGGAACAATTCGAAAAAGTCTTCAAAATCTTCCGCCTCTGCGACCACGAATTCGGCTGGTGGGGGACCACCGCAAGGTGGAATAAGAAACTCGTCCGCCACAAGCTCCTCGAAGGTGGCGAGCGATCAAGATCAGTCTTCGTCCTCTTCGCTGGAATCCCAGGAAAAACTGCACCAGGTGACAGAGGCCATCAGGAAGCGGCTCTGTGACGTTGAGGACACTGCGATGTTTACAGCTTTGGAAATGGACGTGCTGTCCAACCTTCTTTCGACAAACGCCCCTCCGCTCCAGTGGACGGCGCAACAGTGGCGCGCAGTGGAGAAGTTTACGTCGTTCTTGGTGATGGAACAAGGTAAGTGCGGTGTGTTTTGGAAAGACGAAAGTACTGAAATGAAAGAGCTTGCAGAACTACCACCCGCTGTGTCCTTGGCCACGGTGGATGGACCCGAACAACAGCATAAAAGCAAGTCGCTGCTTTTCCAGATGTTCGGCACTGCACCAGCGGCGGCCGCCGCGTCCTCTACAGGTACAGCAGTCGTGACACACTGTGCAACTGCCGATGCTTCTGCACTACCGGCCCCTGCAAGTGCGAGCAGCGTTCTTGTGGCCGATCAGCAGCAGAATGCGAGCAGCATGGCGAACGGAAATTATCCAGCCCTGGAACGAGAGCAAATCCAAATGCAAAGTGCATCAGCGGATGCCTCGGTCTCGCCACAGACAGTACCTCACGTGCCGATCAATGTCGACGGTGATGTCGTTCCTTCTTCACAAGAGCCCTCCGCGGCGCAACAGGACCAGGAGGCAAGTAGACGGAGTGGCAACGCGCCTGCGCCCGCAACGAACACTGACGAGCGGGGTTTAATGGAAGGTGAGCAAGAGCGTGGAGATCCTGCCCATGGTGCGTCTCTCTCGGCAGCAACGAGCGCAAATGTCCTCGGTGCAAACAACGCTCCTGTCGTTCCAGCGCGGACGGATATCGAAAGTCGTGTGCAGACGCTTCTGCGACTAGCGGAGGAGGACCGCGCAGCCGGTCGAGAAGACATGTACAACGCAAGATTGCGGCGCCTGGACGAGTTACTCGACGCCTCCAATCCGGAGCAGGTGCGCGGCGACCTAGTTGCCCGGAGAAGGGAGCGGGCATTGGAACGTGAACGGGAGAGACGAGCGCGAACGGTCATCAGACCGGGCACTGATGATCTACTCACACAGGTCATGCAAAGTCGGGTCCTCAACCGTCCCGGAGACGGAGGGAGAATGGCGCCAAGGCTTCCGCCCCGGGAACAGCCACTGCACGACGCAGACCATGCTCATGTTGCCATCGCGCCCTACCCGAATCAGGGAACAAGTGGTACCGCTGCTGCAGGTGGACCGCCAAACACCATCGGACAAAGTGCCGGCCGCGGGTCTGTTTTTGCTTTGGATCGACCCGTGCCGCCACGGCTGCACCGTCGCGAGGGATGGACTCACCAGGCTTCCTCGCCGCACGAAATCCCCTTCAATCCGGTGAACCGCGTCAGAACCCCACCAGGTCTGGACCCGTCCCCGGGGGCTTCGGCTGCGCCTCTTTCGCAAAATCACGAAAATGCGACGGCGCTGCCAGGACCACCACCACCACCAGGGGGCTTCGTTGCGAGTGCAGCTCGGAATATCGAGCCACAGTTGCATCTGCAAGAAGCGCAGCAGGTCCAGAACGCACCTGGTTTGTTCACTGGGTTCCCGCCTGCGCTGGCGAATGGCGGCGTTATTGACAGCACTAGCGCAGCTGTAACTGGAGCTGCTCCAGGTGATTTCGCGCAAGAACCAGCTCCACCTGGAGAAGCTCACACAGCAGCTAATGCAACGGCGACAGGTGCATCTCAAGAACAAGCGCAGATCGACGTAGACGCACTGCCCGGTTGTAACCAAAATGCTGTGCACCACCATCGCGACCAGCAGATCCGCGATACAGTTGCGCGTGGCCTAGCGTTCTCAAACAGTGTTGTCACCTCGGACCGTCCCCGGGCGCTGGTGCAGGCAAGAGCGATTAGGGAACAGCAGAACGCTCCGACCTTTTCAAATCCGGTCGCGTCTTCCTCTGCCAGTAACGTGGCAGTAATCGGTGCCGAAACTTCTGCTGCTACGGATGTTGGCGGGCCGCCGGTGGTGGGAGGCAGCGGACCGACATCAGGACTAAACGAAAACGGAAACCACAGCGGTATTGATCACACGGCGGACAACAACCATCTCAGCAACGACGCTGGTTTAACGCCGATGATCACTATGGTCCCTAGTTATGCGCCCCCGGCACCGCAAGAGATCTCTCCGCCGCGCCAGCAGCCGGCAGCTTCGATGCCTGAAGATCCCCCATGTGGGCCAGAGGCGCGGCAGCAACCGCACGACTGGCGTCCGCGCGTCGTGAACCTGAGTCCGACAACCGGAACGGCTTCTGCACCGATGCCGATCCCCTTTGCGTCGAATAATTACTCGCACAATTACGCTCCTGGCGGTATTAACAACCAGCAGCCTAACGACGTCTACTTCGGCGGGGGGCCGATGGCAATGCCCTTCTCCTCCCCGGACTTCTATCCGAATGGGGCGTCAAGAAGACCGCAAGTGTTCATCCTGAGTCCGCGGGGCACTGTACACCAGCGAACCGCGCCTCAGTCCCAGAACTTTTGGTGGACGGGAGTCGGTGCTACTGCTCCAGCAGCACCGGCCTTCGCACCGCCTGTCGGCTCGCATGAGCCAGACGAGGCATTCCCGTTCTTTCGGTAAGAATGTTGATGTTCTTGCGGACCTGGACGAGTGAGTCATCACAGCAGGTACTTACGCAAGTGAATACACTTGCCTAGCGTGTGTGTCTTTGTTTCAACAGTTTTCTTTTTAACATTCGATCGTTTATCTGAAAGTCAAAGTTGCAATCCTAATCGTTAGCGTTACAAGTAGTTTCGGCAATCTACTACAAGTTTTTTTACCGAAACAAAATTTTCATATCTTTCAATCTGACTTTCAAATCATGTGGAACTTACGCAACGGCAACACCTCTCTGGTTCTCAGATTCTCAATCGCGTTCAATAGCTTACTTCACGTATTTAAGTAGCCGAGGAGCAATTTTTTGGATTTTCTATGTTGATGGCATCTGAATCTGGTTTACCTTTTACAACGTCAAAGAAGAAAATAGAGCAACAGCACCTAAAAACGAATAGATCCGTAGCGATAGCCTGATTACGGGAAGTTCACTACTTATATTAAAGCTTCCTGACCTTAGAATTTCAAAACCCTTATGATTGATGCTAGTTGATTTCGACTCTATCCTTTTGATGAAGATGTTTAGCTTACGTTGTTGAAGCCTAAAGTCTTCCTCTTCCGACTCTTGCAACGCTTTTACGATAAGAAATGTACATAATGTTGAAAAAATGAAGCAGAAAATCGAGAAAAACAAATTGACGTCATCAGTCCCAGTCACAGCGTTGAATTTCGTGTCAACGAGACGACTATTGTCAGATGGGGCCTACTACTTCTGTTGTGTGGTAATACCAATAGAGGACGAGTGTATTGGGCGTAAGCATGATATCGCGAATCCTTCGTCATCGTCTTGGTGTCGAAGCCAAATTCGTTTTCTTAGTGTGTGAGTACTACTTATCCAAAAATGATTATAGATCGTGGCGCCATCGCAGCTCATCGTCTCATGTCGATACATATCCACTTTCCTTTGATTACATGATCGTTTTCGTTTAAGGTCTGCTCAATGCCATCGCTACAACGATCAAGGAAGAGCGACTTTCCCGGATACTCTGGCTGTGTGATTCTGTTTGTGATCAGATCGTCGTCGTTCGGATTCGCCATCGCCGAGATTGTGTCTTAGTCTTACGTTGTTCGTGATCTTTTTCTTTTTTCCATTCGCAACTGGTGTGTGTGTGTGTGTGTCCGATTTAGCTTTTTTTGTGATCAGTGTACCAAAAAGTAGTCCGATAGAGATGTTGCCGATGACGTCGAAATCGAGCGTGTAGATGAACTGCTCATCCCCCGGAAGATCATCAACCTCCAAACACGCTCAACCACGTGTCTGGTGCACTATGTAGGCCGCAGACTATTAGTGTTGCACTTGTGCTCCAAGTGATAGATACAACCGGGATTTTCATAATTGCTTGTTGTCTTCTGTTTCTGAACAGCACGTGTAGGAGCTCCACATGCGCGTCCCAGCATGAGCTGTTGTCCGGTTTGTTTTGAGGAGTACGACGGTGTCAACGTGCGTCCGTTGGTCATTCCTCAGTGCGGCCATGGATTGTGCAAAACCTGCTTTGATAGGCTGGAGAACAAGCACAAGTGCGTTGTTTGTCGCGGTTCCGTGTCCATCTCCGTTTTTAGCTCCTACTCAGCGGCCTCCGCCCCCTTCGCCGCCTCTTCCATGCAGCAGCGCGATTCTGTTTCGGCGTTTTCCCAGCGGAACCCAAACGGCGGAACTGCAGCTGCTTCTGTGTTCGCCACCCCGCCGTGGTTGCTCGAGCCGAATGTGACGGGAAAGGCCCTGAGCGACATCCAGATCAATCGGCAGTTTGAGGCCTACTTGCAGGACCGGGCGAGCAATAAACTCGGAAGTAGGGTGGGGTCCAAGTCGAGTGTTGGAGGCACAAGCGCCGGCAGCACGACGCCGACAGATGCGGCTACAGTTTCGATCGGTACCAGTAAAGACGCCGGAGCGCTGCTTCGCTCCTCATCCTGCAGCTCCAAGACATCGATTTTCCGTGATCAGGAGGAGCAAGCAAATCCTGCAGCGGGTGGAAATCTGATGCTCCCCCACGGTGCTGGCGGTACCATCACACACATGGGTAATACGTCTGAGGCTGATCGGAGCCTCAGCCATCAGGAGCTTCTGGTCAAAAAGCAAGCCTGCAATCAAGTTGAGAAGCACGCAGTCGACACCTTCAATTTCTCGGAGAAAGAAGGAGAAACGCTGAAAAAGTTGCTCCTGAAAGCCCCTATCGAGTACACAGCTGCGGAATGGCGCTTGCTGCACGGCTTCATGAGACTCTGGGAGGAAGAGGAAGCGTGCTGGGCCGATACAACTGTCGCAGAACAAGAACTGCGATCGTGTGACGAGAGAAAACTAGAAGATGCAGTTGCTGGCCACGACAAAGAGGGTCGCGACGATGGTGCAGAAAATAGAACGCTACGATCAGAAGACGGCTGTGCAGAAGAAGACGTACCAGCAAAACGATCACTGCTCCTCCAGATGTTTGGCAAGGAGAGTCACAGCACAGGAGGGGTGTCAGTGAATGTGGAGGATCATCACGAAGTTGGGCAGTCTTCGTCTTCAAGCTCCAGCCCCAGTCCCAGATCTTTGCTCTGTCCGCCGGCATTGGGATCGGGGATGGGTTCCTCGTCGAGCAGTAGCTCTAGTTCATCATCATCTCCGAGTTGTCCGAATGGCGGCACATCATCTGAAACGGTGCCAGGAGTGCTGCCTGTGGAATCTACTTCCTCGTCTTCTTCCAGCCGTCCACCAGCCGCAGTTATCCAGCCCTCCTCGAGTAACATTTTCGTAACACCTTCCCTCGTTCCTTCCCGCAACGACATCACGTCTCGTGTGCAAACATTACTCCGTCTGGCGGAGGAAGACCGTCTAGCGGGCCGCGTGGACATGTACAACGCACGGAGGTTGCGGCTGGAGGAGCTGCTGGAGGGGGCGGCGCCAGAAGACCTTGCCGGGGACCTGCAATTGGTGCGACAGCGCCGAAGCGAAGATGACTTGCTCTTCGACGACGTTGGAAATGATGATGAAGGATTTGACGAACACAGTGATGAAGAACCGCCACTGAACAGTGATGAAGAACAAAGAGTAGAGTCAAATGAGTTCGATTCTGAACGATCTTCCCCGTCGACGCCTCGCAGAAGGTCCTCTGGAGCAAGAAATCGCGAGGAACAAGAGGCGCCACCCACCTCGCGGTCTTTGGCCATGGCGCTGGAAGCACAACTGCAGGACGGGAATGTGGAAAACGCGGCGGACGCGGAGCGCAGCGGTGCAGATCACGTTGATCGTGGCCGCGAAGAGCTTCAACGGGAAGGAAGAAGCGCAGCCTTGTCGCGCGTGGGCACCGAAGACAATGTAGATGTTGCAGGACGACGTCCTGGTGTGGCGACGAGTCCTCAATATTCATCGCCGGAGGACACTTCGTTTGGTTTTGCGATTCCGCCGTCGCATCCGCTAGCCGAGATCGGGACGCTTGCAAGAACTGCTGGTGAGGGACCACCGCAGGATGAAGATGTTTCAAGAATTGTCCCGTCTACCCCGGCACATGTTGAGGATCTGCAACCGCAGCAGCATCTCTTAAACGCGCCTCTGCGCTACGAAAATCGCGGCGCGGATATGGAGCAGCCTGCCACTCCGCAGTTCGACGCGGCACCTGCAACTGCGGCTCTCAGGGGCGGCACGTCGCGAGAGAGTAGAAGTAGTTTTATTTCGGCGAGTTCAACATCAGCAACGGGCTTCTACAACCCAGGGTTGCTTGCGTGCAATTACACCGCATCTCGACCACTCCTCGGAGGAGCGCTCCTTCCGACGCCCGCGTGGCCGTTGCGAAGCCAGGTTTCGACTCAGGCAGCGGCGCGTGCTTTGCTGGATCGTCCTGGGCCGGTCCGCGCTCCGGCCCCAGCACGAGCCCCCTTGGAGCACCAATTACTCGTCGCTAGAAACCGAAACGGTGCTGGAACGCTGCTGCAGCAAGGACAGCATGGGCAAGGAGAGCCGTCCCGCCGCGGGCCGCCCGGTCAGCAGCTGGATCAGCCGCATCAGCGCCGGCAAAACCGCCGGCGACCCCGGCTCTGGTGGAGGCCGGTGAGCCAGACGAATGCGCAGGGAGTCAGCTCTGGAAGCGGAGGCGATACGAATTCCGTGGTAGAACAGCAACGACCGAGTGCAGTGGGACCGGGTCCGCGGACTGATGGTGATCATGTGGCGTAAAAGCGTTACAACTACTCGAGACAAAACATAGGGATTTCGATCACAAAAACATAGGGAAAATATGATTGTGTAAGTACTCGCTCTGTCGGCGTTTTCATCGCTTCGTACCAGCAACATCATAAAGCTCACTCGCTTTACGAAAAGACTCCGAATTTGTTTTGATGCTGTTTTGTTTTTTCTACATCTTTGTCGTTTCACTTTAGTTTACTTTTACACAACTTGATATCATACCTCGTTCGCAAGAAGCAGGAAAGGAACCAAATGTACAAAAATAAGAATAATATAAAATTAGCGCTGTAGTATTTCTAGTTCAGAATTTACGAACGACCAACTTTAGGAACGTGATTTTATATGTCCTGTGTGTATCAGTTCTTCATCTTCTCTCTCTGAATCGGGACCTAAACAAATGAGTCGCGCCGTCCGTAGTCGTCTTTATTTTTCAAATGAATTCTTTTAGCAGCTATCCCTGCCCTCTATAGAGCCCCAGCCACGATTTTTCCGTATCTATGTATACCATGTGGGTACTACTAGAGAAGCCACGTACTACTCGCGTCATCCTTTTGACGTTTAGGGATGGCTTGAAAATAGAGTCGAACAGCGGGTACCGAATTGTGCGTTGTTATCCTCAAAGATGGTCTAGCTCTCGTTTTGGTTTTGCATTTGAATTTAACGAATTCGTGGACTAAAATATTCATATTGTTCCAGCAACTCTACATCTTCTACCATGGATTCGTTCGACTTGAATAGCTAATAAATCGTCGTCGGCCGTCGAAAATCGCAATGAATCGTTGGCTGTCGTCGGCCGAAAATCGCGAACTAAGTGAAAATGAGAGGATATCAATGATCGTGGAACTTATCGCGATTCGTGGCGAGAACGCGAACTATCACTATCGGATTACTTATTCGGATAACGATAACGAACTACACCATGAAAGCTTGTAGATTCAAAAGAAGCAAAGGTAAGAAGTAGAAAGTCGACGACTTCTGCTCGGCGAAAGAACAAAGTTTAAATTTTGTTTCCGCGGCGATTTTCAACAACTACAACAGAGCATCTGCACGACCAGCTCCAGCAGAAAATGAGCCTATTGAAAAAGTTATATGCTCTGCCGGAGGCAGAAAAAGAAGCGCTCTTCAGCAGGTCCGGCTTGTATCCGGACAGTCCCACTGCCGACGACCTCAAGTATGTGGACAATTCCGGAAGCGCGTCGAGGTCGACAAACGCTCCTGAGGTATCGCTATCGTTTGCAAAATGTTGCTTTCGACAGCTTTGAGCCAGGTCGAGATGTAGTGATTTCCCTCGATCGATGCTGTCATGCTTTCGTTGCCCTGCAGTTCTTGCACTTGCTGTTTTTCTCCTATACATACGCATATCTACAACTCGAAGATATAGTAGCTTGCATTCATGATGCCACGGCAGGTGTGTTGGAACAGAAAAGTGATGAAAAAAGCTAAGCGTCGTCAAGTGGTTCAAAGAGTTCGAGGAGTAGAAGTTTGCATATGGATAGTGCTCGTCGTCGTCGACCAGCAACAAGGAGAAGGGTCGCCCTCTGCACGACAAAGTCGAGGACTTCATCTTCGACGCCTTCAACGCCGGGGGTATTGATGGGATGGAGCATAAGCTCATGGATGATGCCTTCGCGGCCAAGCACGAGCTCAAAATTACGGTGTTGCTCTACGACCCGGAGGCGTTTCAAGAGAAAGAGTATAAAGAGATAGCTTCTGAAGAATCTGACAGAATTGCTCCTCGCATCTTGAGGTCTAGAACTTCGTTTAGCTTCATGATCATGATCGACTATGAAATTAAGTGCAAATGCAAGTCGGATTGTCGAGGACTAGTGTCGGTGTAGTGTTTGGCTTCAACGATAACATTGCCTCAACAGGCACGATGTCGGCGGCGGCGATTCTAACAAGATCAAGAACTCCTCGATGAGGATTGTGCCGACGACGGCGGAGCTGCAGGACGGCCGGTATGTACTTAAGTATGATAGATCCGTTTTCATGTAAATGATTTTGATTTTCGTGTCGTTTTGCCCTTTTTCTCTCATCATCTGCTGTTGTTCCTACATCGCGGCCATGCGAATACGTGTTACACGTATTCGATACTGACAAAACATAATATAAACAACAACAGTGTGGTGCACCGGAACAATGGCTTCGACGCACCGGTATTAAAGCTGCAGCAGCTGAACTCCTTTCGCTTCCAATGGCGCCGCTATTTTTGAGATTCGTGATGTTGAAATTCAAATTTGAATTTGTTTTTATTTGTTCCATGAAAGAAGATATATGATTGTAGTTTATTGTGTTTCACATTTGGTTACTAGCCTTTAACAACAAGAACGAACGTAGCGTTTTTTAGAACAGTATATCAGTTGTACAAAAAATGATTCTCAAATTAACGTACAAATAGTAGCACTTTCCGTAATCATTCGGATTCGCGTTCGCCTACCGTGACTAAGAATCTTTCCAACTCAGTCTCTCTGACCATGATCGCACCAGGTACAGTCTACAACCCTAGAAGAATATACGTCACGAACAGCGAAGATACAGGGATGATTAAGATTAGTACGATAGCATGACGATTTTCTCAAAAACTAGGTTTGAATTTGTTATTTTCGTAAAAAATAGTCTAGCGACCTCATGCTTTTTTGCAGCATTCTGATGCCGCCCTGACCACGTCCTGGTGGCGATATGTCTCCATGTGCTGGAGGCGGGCTCGGCAGCTCAATACAGTGCCTGAATGTGTCGTGGCCTCGGCAGCTTTCGTGTTGATATCGGTCGCCGTAGCCGTTGCGTGGGGTTGTTATTGCAAAATCATCTAAACGAGTTGGCTGTAAGAGTGAGAGACACCAGGCCCCCAGCAACCGGAGAGATTCAGCTTCAATGAAATTCTAGTGCCACTTCCACAACAAATGCGAACCACAACTAGTAGAAAACCCTTGACATTGATTACAGGGCTACTATGGCGTTGACCTTGCGTAAGCGATTTTTGGGTAGTGGCCTTGTTCTCCACTCAACATTTACCATTTTCTACGGTTTCATACATTTGGCGTCGTTACCATACGTGGACGCGCAACCCCCCTCCAATCTCAGCGGCCTCAACATCTCGCTGCGGTCGGACTTAGCCAAAAGTGGCGTCATCATTCAAGACCGGAAAACCGACCACTCGGACGCGAGCAATGCTATGAATGCCTTCCATCCCTCCTGTCGTGTCTTCGAAGAGTGGGTCTGGGACAGGCTAACACCAGCTTCGACAGGCGGGGAAACAGATACTATCGAGCGCAAGTGCGTCCAGGGCCTGTTGGCACATAGCGAATTTGGAATCTTTTCTGATAATGTGGCAGCGACCCCGTACAAGTACTCTTTGCTAGACTACAACCACACTGCGAGGACAGCCGGAGCTTCATTCTCGTCGTCGGGCGCAACGGGGCAACATGTGGGACAGCATCCGACGATTACGGGCGTTTATCAGAAAAGTGAAAGTCCAGCGGCAACCCAACAGAGTAGAAATAACCCACTGCCATCCCATCCGGACGACGACTTTCTGTTTTCGTGCCGCCGGTACCCTTTCTCCATGGCTGAAGGTGCGGCGGCCCCATTGGATGCGACGGCGGCGGGAGGCGTCCCGTGGTACTGCCGCACTGGAGCAAGAGGGGATTCGGGCGCAGGAGGTTTGTATTCCGCGGATGATGGCCTCATGACGACTTGGTGCGACGAGTTCTACTTAGAAACCTCGATGGCAGAAAAAATGACGAATCTGACAACTATTTCATCTAGTACGTTGTCGTCGTCGTCATCAAGTGGCAGTAGCTCCACATGGGCCACCAGCACTCCAACCGCGCGAACCCGGATCCCCGCCCGAGGCGCAGATCTGAGCATCGGCGGACTGCGGATCGCGAACACCCCTCGGGCGCCGATCGAGTTCTCGCAAGAAGAATTTGCGCGGATCTACTTCAGCGAGAAAGCTGTCAACGAAGTGTTTACTACCGACACGCTTCGCTCCTGGTTCCCAGAGTTGTGGGAGTGGCCGTCCAAGTTGCTGGATTTGTTTGCGCAGAGACGCGTGATCGCGGAGGGGGCTGGTGCAACGACGTCAAACGTCGTACACGAATACAGCGTCCCCCGGGGCCCAACGGAGTTTCCGCTTAATGACCTTTCAGCGCAGAATGATTGGCCGCAGCAAGCGCACTTCCGAGACCGTTTTCGCAGCCCGCTAGTGAAGCCACTCCAAAACACGTTCTATGCTCGCCGCGGACGGAAAGTCCTGCGCAACGAGTGCGAGGTGAGACGCACAGCTTCCATCCGCGAAAACTGTCGCTGGGTGCCCTTGTTGAATATCACAAATGTATCCGCATTGATAGCGGAGACCATGAGTGACATTTCTCTCGCAGGGAGAACAGAAACTGAAAATGATCCGATGGATCAGAGCGGCACAACAGCTGAAGAGATTGCAATCGTGCAGGAAATTCTCTCCGACCCTGTGAATGTCCGTGTTATCGCCACGCCGCTGGATGCTTTTCAACCCCAACACGGTGTAAGGTCCTCGAGAGTGCTCGATGTGGTTTCCTTTCCGCTTGCTATGGACTTGACGGACGATGCGCGAGTGTTTAAGGAGCTTTTTGGAGACGCACTGAAACAGGCGGTCGTCTCTGATGCGGAATCCGGCATGGTAGGCACTTCTCAAGGCTCCGCGGTTACAAGTGGTTCATCTTCACCAGGCCTGACCTCGAATAATGTGGGACCTCATTACGACTCAGCAACGCAGCGCATCGTGCTCGAAGACTTGCGAAAAGTCATGAACAGCTCAGGAGAGACAAACGCGTCGGGCTCTACTTCACAGGCAGCATCAAAAGCAACAGTTTTTCAATACTTGCTGAGACAGCATCTGCACAAAGGCTTCGCTGTGATGCTGACGAATTACACAGAAACCAAGCACTGGCTCCACGAAAATGTCACAGGGTCCGGTAGTAATGTTGCAGGTTTTGGACATCGGTACTTTTATCTAGCCGACAAGCAGGTGGACGCGGCTAGAAGCATAGTCGGCCCAGCGGCACCTCCTTCACCCGGTTCCTCTCCATCCCTACAGCCAGGGGCCACAAGTACTAATGGTGGAATCACGATTAATCAAACTCGCCAGATCACCTCAGCCTACGACTTCCCCTACCAGCAAGACTACCTTCCCTGGGCGTGGACTTGCTTGAAATACGAGCCGGATGGAGATGGCAACGACACCCATTGGGCGGTAATTCTGGTAATCGTGTTGGTGGTACTTTTTTGCTGTGTCTGTGCCTGCGTTGCCGCTGCCGCAGTGCTGTACGGTGCGGGGTACGCCGTGTGTGCTTGCTGCAACCCAAATTTCAACAAGAAGCCCTTGACCACTCTGGGTCCGCAATCGTACCAGAAAGAGATGATGTTGAACGGAGGGCCGATGACGTACAATAACCAAATGCAACATACGCATGGAAACGCGAACCAGAACGCGGGTCTGTACCACGTTCAGTACGGAATGTCGCAGGTTCCAGGTGGGCCACCGAGTCACAATTTCGAAGGCGAGGACCCCGATCCCGCCACAAAATGGGGAGGCGAAGGCTTCGGGGGTCACGACCAAGGACCAGACCAAAATCATGTCAGTGCTACATCAGGTACTGCTACGTCAAATTCGAGTAATCACTTACCCGCTGGCCCCATCATACTATCTCCCTACAACCCAAATACAAATTATCCCCCTCCGAATTATCCCTTGAATTCTTACAATAATACTGGCGTGCCGAACGTAACGATGGGAAGGCCAGCAGCGTATTGATTTCCTCATGAATTCAAGAAAGAATGCTGCAGCATACTGAGGATGTCATTGAGGTCCTCGAAAGAAATCGCAACTTTATCCAAGCAGGTTCGATTAACCTGATCATGTGTGACTCTTTTTTTCTTCTTACGTGAATACCTTCATCTCCTCAAGCGTGCTCGTCGTTGTGATTTGGCCATCTTCTCGAAATAATCGTGGTCGTCGTGGTCGTTCGGTTTATCGTGATTATCGCCATCAAACACTGATCACTCGATTGCATACTCACCGTCAGTAGAAAGTGTTACGTGTTTCTGGTCTATAATATTTGAACTTCGACGCAGCTTCGTAAATCGAAATGCGCAATCGATTCGATGTCGCGTCAAGTCGCGGTCGCCTTCAGAGTGAGTTTATTCTGGACTCTGTGTATTGAATCGAAATAATACTGAACAACTGTTGCGTCGAAGTTTTCTTTGCTCGACGTGCGCCTGTCTTTGTTAGTGTTTGGAAAGCTTCGGGCAAGACAATTTCTGACATATTGCGGTCACGTTGCAACAAGAATGAGAGAGAACAATAGTACGTAAACAAAAATCTAAAACACGACTCGCGGTCACGAACATGAATTGCCCGATTTGTTGGGAGCCTTATGACGCACATTATCGGCGTCCGCTTCGGTGGCGTGCGTGCAGACACGGCGTTTGCGGAGTTTGCAGTGACGAGCTGTATGACAACGAGTTCGACGTAAGAACCGAATTTGCCTTCGCCAACGGCGCTGCTGCAGCCGCCGGCGGAGCTTTGCAACCAAACGACCGGAGACAAGGTCGTGGACCCCGCATTCATTCCTGCGCTCTTTGCCGAGCGAATTCTTCACACCCGCCGGAGCTGAATGTGCAGTTCGTTGCCTGTCTTTTTGACCACGTGTCAGCGTGGCCGCCCTACTGCCCGGTCTGCAGATGCACCTTCACGAGTCGTGTAGGTGAGAGGCCGTTTGAGTGCGCGCTCGGGTGCGGTTGGGAACTTTGCGAGAGTTGCGTGGAGGAGGAGAGGCAGGCGAATGACACGGAGGCCGGATTTGGATCTTCTGCTCGCACGACTACAACAGTTAGGGCAGAGGTGGACAACTGCAGTGGTACACACGAACATCATCGAGAGCGGCAGGTCAACACAGACGAAGGGTCGCCGTGTTCATCCTACTGTACAGGCTGCCGCAGTCCGGTTCTGAACCGTCAGTTTGTTGAGTATTTGGAAGAAATCAAGACATCAGACGGCGCACCGTCGACGGAGGTAGAAGATGACCCTCCGCAGCAGATGGACGACGGGAACGACTGCCACTGCCCTAGGACCCTCTGGGCACCGACTTCCAGAAGTACGCGCGCGGAGCGGAGGCGAGCTGCGCATGGCCGTCGCGCTCTTCGCGACGGGAGGCGATACCAACGCGAATACCGTGAGCAACTGCATCAACATCATCTGCGGCCTCCTTCACTTGCAGAGCGTCTGCACCGAAGCACCCACGGCCAAATTATCGGAAGCACGTCGTATCTCACCTGGTACCACGAGAATCGGTGGCGTCTGGATGAAGAAACGCTGCAGAAAATCGACATTTTTTGCAACCAGAAGGAAGCGCAAACGTTGAAGCAAATACGGAATTGCAACATCGACCTGCTTTTGTGGGCTTTTTTGAACACGTTTTGAGGAAGTTGAGAAAAAAGAAGCGGTTCTTCCAGGCACACATAGCTGTACCCTTACGTGCAATGAAGTGAGTAAAGCGCCGCTTCTCGATGTAAGTAGGATGAAAAAATGAAGCATCGAACTCTTTGCTGCAATTGGAGCTTGTGCTTCAGCTTCCAGAACAGTGAAAATAGATTCCAGTCAGGCTCGGGACACGGAGCGTTTTTTGTAAATCACAACGAAGAGCTCAAACAGCGTATTGTCTCGCACCGTCTACTTGTAAATAGAAGAGATGAAGATCAAACACTACCAACGTATAGTGTCGTAGATACATTTTCAGGAATGCTCCAATCCAAAACGAAAACCAAGTCTTAATCTTAATCTTTGGCTGCGCAGACAACCTCTAGTCTAACTCTAATATCCAGTTGGCGAACAGCGCAGGAGCAGGACTCTTGAATTCACAGCCTGGACGTCGTTTTCTTGTTTTCTTCTTGCAAGACATTCGCTGAACACACGTTCATTACAGACGGTTGATACCATGGCATCGAATCGAGATCATCGACCCTGTCGTATCGTTTTCACTTTTGGAAATACAAGCAGACCAGATTCGTGTCTTGTGGTTTCGGTCTGTGATTGTCTCGAACCTTGCTCGGTCGATTTTGATTTCCGCCTTTTGCTTTTCGTTTTCTGTAGCTTCCGATCCGGATTCGTATATCGTGAAGCATAACAATCGTAGGCATCAGAACGTCGCGAAAATCGAGTTCGTCGTTCTGGAACCTTGTTGCGGTCACACCAGCATGTGCGGCGCGCAGCATTGTCGATTCGTTTTCGATCGGATTTTGTACTTACTTGTGCGGATGTTATTTCTCGTGTCGAAAATCACCTGCATGTACGAACTTCAAAACAGTACCGACAAACAAACTGTCTGATAATTCGGTGCTTCAACACACATTGGAGCAGCAGTAGCTCATCTGTGATGAGTTGTCTGTGGTTTTTTTAAGCAAGTGTCTGCCTCGGTACTTCCTGCGAAGACGGCCCTTCGGGGCTGCTCAGTTCCGGGAGTATTGGAAGACAAATTCTGTTTCTGTACTTTGTAGAAAAACTAAAACATCGAATAAAAAAAATCCACAAGAAGAAAAACAACGTTTACCCGGGGCATTCACCCTGAAAGACTTTTCAGCGTTTCCAAAACGGCTTCTACTCGTGGTCCGCAATAAACCAGCAGGCGCCTCATTGTCATTGTCATCCTCATCCTGGGACGACAAGATGCCGGGAGGTTTCATCGTACAGGAGGAGATGGAGATCCTCCGCTCCGTGGACGCGAACCACCAAACGCTGGATGAGGCGAACCTACTGCTGCACTACGATATGCAGATGATTTACCAGCGTAACGTCAGCAATTCGACGCAAAAAGACACGCTGGGGGGCGTGTACGGGTATAGTATCAACACCCTCACCGGGGAACGGTTCAAGCCTTTGAACGGAAAGGAGATGGATATTCTGAAACGCGAGCGCAATTTCTACTGCCCGCCTCCCTACGAAAACACCCGGTTTAAGGTAGAACTTCGGACTCGTCCCTTATTTTTTGAGTGGAAGTACTTCTTGTCAGATGTGATGCACTTGCGTGTTACTTTGCTTTTGCTTTCCTGCCTAAACGTAAACAAGATATCGAAAACTACTCTCTCAGTTCGTCGACTTCGGCTTTGGTGTCGGACCGCGCGCGATTACCCCGGTCGGGTCTCCAATCCGCATGCAGTCGTTCAGCATCATCCAACCCCAGCAGCCTCCGAGTTCTGTGTACCAAACGCCCGAAATTGTTCTCGCCCCGGCGCCAGAAATCGGTGCAGTCGCAACGGAGAAGGATCCCCTTCTTGTCGCAGATGCTGGTAACAACAACAAGCACGACCAAGGTGCAGCTCTGCAGGAACAGAAGCAGGTCGCGGCGATCCGGAATTCCAAGACCATCACGGAAGAGCGCCGGGTGCGCTGGTTCGAATTGCAGTCACAGCAGAGCCAATCTCAAGGTCAAGAGCCCGGCGCCCAGGAAGAGCATGCGCAGGTAGCTGCTCAAGGGTACATTGATGCGGGTGCTGAAGAAGACCACGAAGAGCTGGAACAAGAGTACGACAGTCAGAATCGCAGCATGCACATCGATTCGGTTTTCACGGTCCGCTCCGAGGTCGGGGACGAAAAGGAGGATAGCGAGAATGAGCAAAACCTTTACGATGTTGCCGCAGAGGGCAACGCCGCTGAAGTTGTACTAGACCGCATGGACAATGTCTGCGACGTCCAATCAGCGGTGAGCACCCCGCCGGAGGATGATTGTTTTGACAAGGGCAGCATGATGATCGGACAAGAAAATCGGAACTACATCGATGAAAACCCGGTGACGCAAATTCTGAAACAGCGGTACTACTCCGTGGAGCTCGATGAGAAGGGATCCGTCGTCGGCGTGAACCAGAGTCCGGTGTGGTCCCCGGAACCGAAACTGCCCCTGGTCGAGGAGTTTTTGAGTCCGGACGGAGCGTTTCTGTTCAATGGCGAGGTGGGAGAAAGAACCCCGGGGGTGGAGGAAAATGATGACTTTGGCTACCTGAAGGAGGACTACGAACAGAAGGATCAAGAGGATCAGGAGGGTAATGTGGACATGATAAAGTTGCCGCTGGAGAAAGAAGAAGTAGAGCAGGCGAAAGGCGATGAAGTTGAAGAAAAACCATCTACTGCCGCACAAGAACGAACCGGAATAAACGACGAAACTGAAAACAGCAAGAGGTATGACAACGCAGCGGCGGAGGAAATGGAGTTTCTCGCGCGTCTCGTCGGCGCTGGCGGCATGGGAACAAAAAGCAAACTTGTTGGCGCTGACGTCACCAAGGGAGCGGAAAGGGTCGCGCAGAAGCTGCAGAAGCTCTACGAAGCGCAGCGGGACAAGGCGGCTGCAGGAGGCGTAGGCGATGAGGACTGCGTCGGTGAAAATGTAGATGCGAAGCAGGCGAAAAACATCGTTAGCGGTGCCGGTGCCACTGTTGTTAATCAGAATGTCCAGGGGCACCAGCAAATCGACAACGGAGCGGATGCCGCCGCGGGAACCGGTGCGCAGCCAATTCAACAGCAGCCGAATGCAGGCAACCACGTCGGGCGTGGGGCGATGCCGAACTACATCAATCAGGCTGCTGGGGGTCCCCTGTTGAGCGGATCAGTTCCGCAGTTCGGGTTCTCGTCCCCGCAGCCTCCGCGCTACCAGAGTTGGCAGGAAAATTCGCAGCATTGGGAGAATCAGGTGAAAAACTCCCTCGGTGAAATCGCAAATCAGAAGTTTTACGAACGAAACCAGCTGAAACCGACCTTGCCCGCAGCGATGGGTCTCACGCCTCTGAATTTGAACTTCTGCAGTTCGCCTGTTCCGGGTCCGGCCTCCGTTGCAGCAGGAGCAGCTGCTGTCCCCGGCGCGAGGACCAATGCAAATCACCTCTCGCCGCCGCAAGGATTGAAATTGGATTTCTGCAGTCCGCGCATCGAACCCCCCCAGCATGTTCGGTTTGGCCATTTTGGTAACCGGGACGCCATGTCACCAGGGGGAGCGGCATTTCGTGGCAGCAACGTTTCCTCTCAGGTGAACGCTCCAGATGCAGCTCCTCCTGCGACGGCTGCAGCAGCTAACGCTGGAGTTGAACCGAATACCGAGCAGCTCCGTAAAAAACCCGTGCTTGCAGCGATGGTTTGCGAGGAGTTCGAGCGTTTCGAGTGCTGGAAGGCCTTTATCTCCGGCACCAACAGGAACGGGCTGGCCGGAAACATTCTTCCCGACGTCACGTTCCAGAGCGTCGCGCCCGGAGCTGGCCCGCGGCCCTGCGAAATGCCCCGGTTTACGGAAACCGTGAAGGCGTCCTTTCCCTTGCGCAACGATACCAAGGGGAACGAGACCAGGGTCGAGCGGCTTCAGCGTGACATCGCCTCTTACCCGATGCCGTCGTTTGCAGACCGCGACTACCAGCCTCCGTGGTGGGACGCGAGTCTGCGGTGGCGGAGCGGGGACCTAATTCAAGATGCGAAAAACAACACGATCTTCGTCCACGATGCCGCATTGATGGAGGAGTGGTACTTCTGGAAGAACCAGTGCGAAGAAGACGTCGTCCAAAACTTTCGGGACCGCTTGAAAAAGCCGAAGAAGCCCCCGGCGGCTTTCATTGCGGGTGCTTCGCCCAAGCGACCGGAGGTTGTGCCGCCGTTGAACTTGTCGCAGCAAAACCTCTGTCCACCATCCGTGGTGGTGAACCCGCCCGTGAAGGAGCAGGCGGTGAATGTGGAAATCAAAACCGATAACAAGAAGGACGAGACTGTTGTGACAGCGTCGCACGCCCAGCCTGATCTTGGTGGCAGTGGGCAGGATGAAAAAGCAGCAACTAGCGTCAACGTCGTCGAGCATCCGTTCACGTTCATGGCTACGGGAGCGAGCGCTGACTTTCGAGGCACGGGATTCCACTCTGCGAGCAGCAATCACTCGAACAAAGTTAAAGCTGGCGGGAAGGCCGAAGATCCTGTGGTACTCGGCGGCAAGGCCGAAGATCCTGTCGTGTTGGTTTCTCTTGCTGAAAACCAAGCTGATAGTAAACGAGAAAATGCACCGGCACCGGGCGCCGTCAAACAAGACGAACTGCAGGACAATGTGATCGATAACAACGACCAGAAGTCGTGCAACGAACTCGAGCGCGTTCCTGCTCTAGCAAGTGCAACTCCAGCGGCCATCGGGACCAGTAAGGCGCAGGCCAGTTCTGCTGGAACTGGACCAGCGAGCGCCACCGCACCAAAGCCGCCCTCGAAAACGACACCGGCCGGCCTTCTACCGAATGTCTCCCCGGAACAGAAGCCGAACCCGAATTTTTTCTTGAACCAGGACACCCCGCGCGAGTTGCAGGAAAAGGTGCACGAGCAGGCACAAAATATTTTGAGTAGCGAGGCGCAGAAGAACAAGCCTTTGGAGAAGGACTCTCCGGCCGTGGCGCCGCGCACCGAGAGATTGCAGCCGAACACGGCTTTTTTCGTGAATCACGCGAACAAACAAATGCAAAACGTCTACGCCCGAGGGCATGCGGAAGTCAATTTCGCTTTTCCGGCGGCCACGTTGTTTCGCGAAGCAGAAGCGGTGGAGGTTGCTCCGGAGGACGTGAATGTGGAGGAAAAGGCGCAAGGGCAAGAAGAGACTGTTGGGAAAGCCGAAGCTGAGTCGCAGGTGGATAACAACGACGTGGAGATGAAAGACCGCACGAAATTGAATGAGAAAGAAATCGACTGCTTCAATCCAGCGATTGCCGCGGACACGACCGCGGAGGCCGACCATTCGCTCAACAGGACGTGGTGCTTCGATACCAGTGCGAAGCATGAAAAGGAAAACGTGGAGAAAAACGAAACTGCCCAAATCGCAGGTCAACAACCTCCGCCGGCCTATCACGCGCCGGATTCGCCGAAACCCCTTGTCGACTCGACCCTGTTGCGAGCCGCGCCGTTGAGCAACAGTCTGAAAACTCGGATTACTGGGATGAAACCACCACGGATGCCACCGTTGCGAGCGGGGACTGTTTCCATTGGCTTCCAACCGCCGGCTCGGTTTTCCGCTGGTAGTGGGACGCAGCTGCTGGGGAGAAACGGATTCCCGAACGTCTCGATCACTTCAGTTGGCGCGCCTGCACCGCCTAAGACAAACGTCGCAGGAGGCAAGATTTCCGTGGCTGCACCTCCACCTGGTGTGCCTGCTTCGCAAACCAGGCTTGTGTTCGGGCCGCAGGCCGCGACCCGGGGTGTGGGCACCGCAACTGTCCCCGTGCCCGCAGGATCGATGATCCCACCTGCAACAGTTGGAACGCAGTACCGATCGACCGTGATGGACACCGCGAAAACCGGGCGCCGATTCTACCCGGAGATGCGACGCGCAGATGCAGCTGGCCAAACCGGCAGCAATAGCGCGGCGCAGCCGGTTGCGGAGCCGCCGACAGTGTCCGCAACTCCACCGGCCCCCTCGAGGAGTGTCAATGTTGTCGCGAGTGCGCAGCAGTCGCCCGAGCACTTCTACGTGTCGCCGACCCTTATGACGGATTGTCTCTCCAGCAGTCTCCCGGCGAATGGGAACGCGCCGCAGCCCGAGAGTGGCGAAAAGGCTGGTAAAGACAAAGACGCTGCTTCGAACGACGGGGCGGATTCTGACTCGAAACCGCCGGAGGGAGTTGGTACTTGCTTTCAACAGGCTCATGAATGAAGACAAAAATGTTGGAGCTCCACCTCTTGCGTAAAGACGAAGTAAAGTTATCAATTTGTGTAGAATTAGTTCGTGAGTCATACGAGTCTTTCTTTCATCAATCAAATACGAAACAGAGCATGTTCAAATCCACCAGGTACTGTGGCCTACCCCGACGCAGATGGATTGGCCGCCTTCTCCCGCATCGTCCCGGCGGACATCAAATTTCGGCCGGGGTCGCGCTACAAAGGACAGGCCAAGTCCATGCGCCCCCCGACGTTGCCGTATTGTGAGGCAAAATCCCCCCTCCCCATATTGAAAAGGTATGCTTCCGAAAATTTGCGTTGCTGATTTGAGGTCACAAATCACATTTGGCTTGCAAGAAGACAAAGCCAGAAAGTCCGCCGCATCATGCAGGCGGTTTGTGATGCTGTTGGGCTTACAGAGCCGACATCTGTCACGCTAGTCGCCTACGTCCAAACCTCTCGACTCAGGCTTGGCATATGCATGCAGTCCTCTCCAGCAAGACAGACCCGATTTGCGTACGCAAATCCAGCATCAGAAGTTTCGTTTCGATATGGGGAGGGGGGATATTTCCTTTTGATATGCCGTCCTCAAAAACGAATGGCGACAACTCCACGACCTTGATGAATTCCTTTGCGTCGTCGTCCGGCTTGGGGATGAAAAATGCAAGTGGGGACGCTGCGGCTTTGGCGCCAGGGTCGCCACGGGAGATGGAAAATGCGGCGTGTTGAAAATCGCACTGCTTCGAGATAAATTTGAATGCTCGCACTCACTTGCATTGATTTATGGCACGAGCCTTCTGGGCGTACAGAAGCACCTCGGCAATGCAGAGGCACTAGCTCAAACGGATTTCTTGGATTGTGAATAGTAAATAAAAGCAAAACAGACCTACATCTGTGAATTGTGTCGTTTGAAAAGTTACACTAACAGCAACGATAGCACGCAAATTCAGTTTCACGAAAAAGTATTACATCGACCATTTTCTCGATTTGCAATGAATTAGCATTACGATTACCAGGATCCCTTGCATAATTTTTACACAGGTTTCTGCTTCAACAGGCTTCGTTTTCTTTCAAGTGTATATGTAAACAAACAACAATGATCAATCTTATCTAGGGGTTGTTATTTCGATAGGTCTTTTCTTGAAATTGCCAGCGTTCTGATTATCTGCTGTAAGAAAATTAACTTCGAGTACAAACAGGCTGCAAGTTTCTGTTGACGTAAGTTGCACTTAACTATTTTCGTAAGTTTGAAAAATCCAAAAATGAAATCAAAATCAAAGCTTCTTGGAAGATAGAACCGACGACGCTTATCCAATCGAAACGAGAATGACGTTGTGGTTTGAAATAGTGATAGCAGGATGAAATTGAAATAGCAAGTATGACAAAGCTTCGTCCAATACTGACTATGGATATTCATTATATTGCAGTCGTCTTTAACTTTATGTCTTTTCTGCTAGGATTCATCTATTTGATTTCTGTTTCACAAACTCTCTCGGCATTCCAAACTAGTTCACTTTGAGTGTACAATAAATATACAGGGTCGTAGCGTTGACTACTTGAGGCTAGATATAATAGCATGTAAAATCACAGATGAGTCTACAAATTTCCGCCCTATTCGTAGACCAAAAACGAAACAGAAAAGAGAAATTTCTGAGGCGTAAGTGGCACAGATATGGCGAACGACAGAGTTCCAAAGTCTCCAATAAAAAAAGCGAAACACTGTATACCACCGACAAAGACAGCGACATCAATGCACAGCGCTGCGTTGATTATGCCTTCAAAATGGACAACATCAAACAATAAATTGAATCGGTAGACCTGTACAATATCGATAAACAAAATTTTGCTTGAGCCAAATCTGTATATTATCAAGCGCAGTATCGAAATATTCTAAAAAAAAAACGATAACGAAATACACGCTATATACAGGAAAAAGAAAGAAGTAGTAGGTGATGGGAGTACAACGCACTTCTGTCAATTTGGAGAAATATGAATATCGGTCATTTCCATTTGTGTTCCAAAACCGGCATTGCTTTTATCTGTGGCAATGGCAAAGCCTGCGAATTAATAAACATTATAATCGTGTCGCCGAGAGTCGTTCTCGTTTCTCTTTCTGGCCGTCGCTTTGTCGCTTCGCTTGATAAATTGGCAAAGTGCTATTTTGAATTCGTAAGTTATCGTGATGAAGTTAATGTGAATCGACTCGTTATCGCACCATTTCAATTTGTTCGTAGTCGCGGATTGGAACTTTCGCTTCTGTCACCTTTTCTCCGTGTCTTTTCGTTCGAATAGGAGTAGCCTTGTCGGTACTCGCAACCGGATGAAGGAGCAGAAGGACCACATGATTCTCATGTCGAAAACCATAAGCACAGCTGAAATATTTGATGCTGAGTTTCCTTTTTCCTCACGCATGTGGCGTAGCCAAGCGCGCGGAGGGAAGCGGCGACTTAAGTAAACGCAAGTTCTTTTCAGTATTTTTTCTACGTCGTAAGTTGAATCGCACCTACTCCTGAAAGATGGCTTTAACAGGCGCCCCCACTTCAGGCACGGGCCCGAACGGCGGCGGTGCTCGTAAGCCTCCTGCTTCGTTTCATGCGAATGCTAGAACGTTGGACGCGCCGGATTTGCTACTCAAGTTTGACATGGAGCAGATTTACCATCGAACGTCCGGTACCCCACTGCGTTTTCCGACCTGGTTTGCGACCATGAGTGAGGGGGCGAAGCAAATCGAAATGAACCAGGGCTGTTCCGGCTACGGCTACAGCATTTTCCAGCAGCAGAACGGCACGGTCGAGTACTTCAAGCCGCTGAATGCGAAGGAGAAGGAAATTTTGTTCCGCGAGCGGCCAGTTGTAGGGGTTGGGCCACAATTAACGGAGGGCGTCGAACACAAAGGAGGAGATGTCGCTGGTGGTGCTGGACCGGTAAATCTATTTTAGTTCTTTGGTGTTTCTAACTTCATTTGATAGCGGTTTTCAACTCGGAATCGTACTTAAAGAAACTCCTGCTGACAGGGCATTGGTTGCGAGAAGTCTTATTGTTATTACACCGAGTAGTAGTGGCGCAAACAGGATTTTCATTTTTATTTTCTGCTTGAGAATACACAATGAATTTCAATTGCATGGTATTGTCACAGGACTCCTCTCGTCCATCTGCATCTTCGGAGGCCAAAAAGGAGAACCTCTTTTCCTTGCAGGACAAGATCAACCAGCCGACGAGCAAAAACGTCCCCTTCATTCCTCCGCTGAGTCTGACCCAAGTGCAAACTGACTCGAACACGCAGACAGCGACGGCCGCCGGAGCCGAAGCCACCGCGGCGCCGCGACCTTCGAGTAAGACCACGCCCTTCGTTCCGCCACTGAGGCTTGATCAGGTGAAGGAGGGGACAAGCGTAGCGCCTGTTGCAAAACAAGCCAAAGCCAAGGCAAAAAACAGTGCGAAACCCGGCGCGAAGGGAAAGGATGCAACGAAGAATGTCCAGTCCGAAATCCCTGAACACATGGACGTGCTACGGCATGATCATTTCAGGACCCGGCTCACAGAGCTGAGAATGAAGAACCAGCAGGTGAAAAATGCCAAGGCGGAGACCAAAGCGAAGCGCGAGGCCGAGGAAGCCACCAAGTTGCGGCGCCAGGCCGAGCGCACTTTTGGCCCGGCCTGCATCTCCAACCCGGAGGCGGGGACGATTCTTGCGGGCATCGAAAACAGCATCGACTTGAACCCCAGCGAGAAGCAGCAGCTCCAGCAGCTGCAGGTGAAGCACCTATGCGAGAAAAAGAAGCTGTTTCGCGCGCAAAAGTTCATCCCGATGGAATTCCGCGACTTTCTGCAGGAGATTTCCAAGAAGGGGGAGAAGTTCGACCAGTTCTATTGCTTTTGGAAGAATTTCATCACGACCAACAAGGCCTACATCAATTTCAGCAACTACGACTGGAACAAAACCCACGACAACATCAACTTCGACCCGAAACACCAAAACGACCACATCAGTTCCCCGAAAAAAGCGAAGGAAGAAGCAGCCGTGGCTGCGAAGGCGGACGGAAATGGGGTAAAGGATGCGTCGAACAAGGGCGAAAAAACTGAGGAAAAGAAAGAAGACTCCTCTACTTCAAAACCGGAATCCAACTTCACAGAGGCGAATTTAGCAAAAATTCGTAACCGCCAGAACGAGTTGGGAAACGTCCTCCGCTGTGAGCGGATGCAGCAAGGGCAGAAGTACTGGACGAATTTGTTTCAGCCCGAGGCGGATGGGGGCTGCGGCACCAAGACGATCGTGTACGGCGCAGCTGCTAGTAGCAATGGTGGACAAGCGAAGAAAAAGAACGGCGTTTCTTCTGCTAAAACTCCTGTTGCGGTCGTCTCGCCGCCGTGGTGGAGCCCGCGGCTCGATGCGCCCCGCGCGATCACCTGGAAGGACGAGAGCGAGAAGGATATCAAATGTAAAAATGTCTGGGTCTGGAAGATTGCCAGGTTTGTCATGCACATTTTGCATGACTCCTGATGTCTGTGATGCATGCTCTAGCGTGACAGATTTTGTGAGGGCTTCCTGATGCCTATACCGCATGACAAATGCTCTTTCCGTGTAGCAAAACTTGGACTCTCTTTGTCTTTGCTGCTCATGCAATACAGATTTTTTCAGAATCTAAAATCAGCATGACAAGCTGAATTCTTCCAGACCCAGCCATTTTTACAGTTGATAAAGGATGTAGAGAAGCAAATGAAAGAACTGTTCTACTACGACGAAGCGCTGATGACGGAGTGGTTCTGGTGGAAGCACCACCTGGAGGAGCCGGCTTCACCCGAGTTGCTGAAGACGAGTTTGGCCGAAGTGGCGAAAAACAAAGCGGCTGCGGCGGCATTGAGTGCCCAATCCCAAGCGCAAGCGGTTACGGTGCTGTCCACGTCCTCTTCTGCAGTGGCGACAGACACTACCACGGCAGTGCCGGCGCCGCAAATCGGTGGAAAACCGCCGTTGATCCTCCCGATGCAAATCAATCTTCTTCACATGCCACCTGGCATTACCACCCCGAACATATTGAACGCAGTGAGTCTCGCCGGAGTGCAATTGCAACAGCAGCAGCCGCTTCTTCAGCTGCAAGTCCCGACAATTTCCAGCGCAATCGCAGCAGCTCCGGAAAACATCAAAGTCAAAAGCAAAGATGAAGCGGCTTCGTTATCCTCTTCGAAAAAAGAGCTCTCTGCATCTTCCGCGCAAAACCACGGCAATTCTGACGCCGTCGCGCAAGCGTCGTCAACATCGGGATTGATGCAAAACAGCACGGCTGGCGAAGGAGCGGAGACTACAACTGCAAACAAGGGCTCGAAAGAAAAAACTTCGTCTTCCGACACTGGAGCTCAAAGCAAAGTTGATTTGCATATCAAGACCACAGAAGATGCAGCAGCAGCTCCTGGATTAGCACCGGGGGCCGAGCAGGAACAAGAACCGTCGAAGAACCTTATTAACAACCCCGATTTCCGCGACGGCACTCCGGACGCTGGTCCCGTCGTGACTCAGAACATCTTTTCTTCCTCTTCCCTTGGCGCTCCGCCGCAGCGCAAGCCGAATCCCGACGCTTTCAAAGTCTCGACTGAAGACAAACCCGCGGGGGACCACATAGAGTTTCGGCACCCGAGCGGTGTGCCAGTGAAGGAGCCAGGTAGTTTTCGTCCGAACTACGATCTGGCGAAAAAAATCCGGTACATCGACGAAATCGAGTACGATGATATTTTTCTCGGCAACGAAAACTATGCAGAGGACGATGACGAGGACACGGAGACTCTGCAAAAGACACAACCAGAACTGCATCTCGAAGGCCGTGTTGAAGTGAAGATGTCGCCCATGAGGGGCATCAAAGAAGTCGGCGACGTTTTCCACTTTGGTGACGGTCTCGGTGCTATGGAAAAGAATGCAGGAGCATTCTACAAAGGGGACAAAATTATTGCGCAGAGTGTTCCGCATCCTCCGCGTCTGGGGATCACCAATCTGAAATTGCCAATCCCTGGTGGTGACGCCGCCGGAACAAACAACCGAGGACCACACGTCAACAACATCGGAGCCGCTACCCCAAGCACACCAGCAACCAATGGTCGCCAGTCAGTGTTTCAGCTGAAAAACCTTTACTACGAGTTGCCAACATCTACCGTGGGAGGCTTACTTTCCCCCTCCCCAGCCAAATCATCCGCCGCACCTTTGCTCCGGAGTTCGATCAGTGCGAAAAATTTGAATTTCGAGCCGCCGCGGTTCGGGGGTTCTTTGCTGAGAAACGGTAGCTTGGCCGGTTGTTCTCCGCTGCGTGAACGACGAAGCACTTTTCACGTCGGAACCCCTGGTGTCGCCGGCTTGGCGTCTTCGTCCTCCTTGCGCTCGCCATTCCAGCAATTTCGGAATGATCTTTCCACGAGCAATAAACGCTGCGCCTTCACACCGGCTTCGCGTTCGCGGGGGGTCTTTAACGGTGCAGCTGGTGCTCCCAGTAGCGGTTTCTCTCCTGCCCCCGCAGCAGGACTTCAATCGACAGCAGGGAACCAGACCAACGTCGGGCACAATATCAACCGCCTCAACGACCAGCAGCAAAATCTCTCCTTCATGTCTGTTAGTCCGGAAAAGAAAGTTGCGGCAGGTGATGCCTTGGCATCGTCGGAAACATCCTCTGCCTGGTGGTCGGGTTTCAGTCCGGCGCCGCGGGTTGTGAAAACCGGGAAGCAGAACGAAAATCAAGCTGTTGTGTTTGTTGGAGCTCCAGTTGGAAATACCACCACCAACAAAAAAGAAGACGGCGTTGGAAGCAACATGGCTGGTTGCGCCAATATTGCAGGAGCGTCCACGTGCGGCCCGCAGTCAACAGCCGCGGCTCCGCAAACCACCAATCAGGTTCTGGGTCCCTGTCCGGGGCGAAAAGCGAAGCACCTGCAGCCGCCGCCGGTGCCGAAGCTAGCGGCGCAAGGCGCAGCTGGGCCGGAGAAACAGGTGAGAGAGCTCCTTGCGGATGGGAGCAAGAATGTTTCGACAGCTGCTGCAGGGGAGTCGTCGGCCCCGTCACTGATTCCATCGAAGAATGTGGATGCGACTTCCATCTCCACACCCAGGTCGGACATGGCGATAGTGTAGACGGGAGATGAAAACAAGACGAAAAAAGTCTAGGACGTGTCAGCCTAGAATGTTGCGGGAACGAGAAATGAGCACAAAAAAGTGAAATAGACGTCAAGTACGAGCACGACTTTCACTTTCATCCGGTGTCTTGATCGACGTACTTACTTATGTATTTACGTACTCGATGAAAATAAACGAGTTGCAGTGTCAGGACGTAACCTGAGAAGTTACGTAGTTTTTCGTTATACTTTCTTTCACTTTCGTTCTCGAGCGAGATTGTCTGCCCATATCGTTTCGCGTTTTTTATACAACTTGATAGGATTTTTATCACAACACTCTTCTGCGAATGAACATGTACAAAACGAATTTATTCGGCTTGTTCCGAAATAGTTACGTTTCTAACCAGCACTTTGCTCAGCAATTATGAACGTTGAATTATCAGTTGCAGTCAGACGGCGACGTGGACGTCGACGCACCACGAATAGTTTTCTCCAGGCAATACAACATCTACTGAAAAACAAAAGCAGCTATTATAGCGATTTTGAAACTACCACAGGATCTTCTATCTCGTCCTCTTGCAGCTTTCCTTGACAGATCAAAGCGCACGGCGGACATTATCACTTGTTTCTTGATGAAGAGCAAGAGGCTCGGTTTAATTTGAGACAAACTAGGACGACGCTTTTATAGATATTTGGACAGAGTAGAGTCTTCGCAAAAATAATCGCAGCCTTACGCTTACAGTTTGTGTTTCTAGCTAGCAGTGTTAAAGTTTCTGAATGTATTGCGTCAAACCATGTATAATATGAATTCAACGGAAATTTAGGGATTTCGTTTGTTCTGATTCTTGGCACATCGAGCAATACGATGTTATGACGAGCAAAAATGCAACAAATTGAAATTGTACACCAATAGATTTTATCTGATTTGCTCAGTTTCAGTATTTAAGCGCAATTTGTAGGGGAGCAGCGTGTTGTCGACGCAGAGATAGGCCTGCAGGCATACGCGTCGGAACTGTTCCGGAGATTGCAGTGCCTAAGATCCAGAGACTACTTATTGAGATGTGACTGTGAGACGATTCATTCTACTTGTACATGTCGTGTCCATATCGCATATAATGACCAAATAATTCGTGATCGTGTCAATATTGTGAGGACCAAATGATTCGTATTCGTAGCTTAATGGTGCTCGAGGTTCGTTTTTGCTTCTGCCAACGATCAGACTCGTTCGACGCGTAACTTCGAATAAGGACGATGGATCGACGTGTCGTGGTGTGAGATTCATGGATCGTTTGGCTCTGAGCTGCTTTGCTCAGTCGCGGTCGTCATCTCTACGAGACAGGTAACATCGATTATCCAATACATCGGTCGTGCGCATCGTTTTCGAAGCTCATCTCTTGTGCGATCAGAACTACGAAGCGCTCAGGCGTGTTGATAATTTGATGTCACGCACGAAAATATTATAGCAGTTCGAAATAAAACAACGGATTTTTTTCGATTATTCATTTCGATTTCTTCAGTCGACGCGCGTACCTATCGTGCTACTTCTGCTCCTCGCTCCAAGCAAAACTCGAGCACCGCGACTGCTCCCGACTTCTTCTTTTCATCTGGTTTCTCTTGCACTCCAGTTGCACTCCAGGAGTCGCCACCATGGGCGGTCAAAAGAACAAGAAAACACAGCATCTGCAGCCGGCGGAGCGGAGCCAGGCCTACCGGTCTCTGCGGCACAGGGCGGACACTGCGCATGTAACGTTTGTTCAAACAAGTAACTCGTCGAAGAATGGCAAGAATGTTGCGACTTCTTTATCGGACGAAGCTGTGGACGAACTAAATTTGCTGCTGAAGTTCGACTTTGGCGAAATCATTTTCGATGAAACCGAAGCTGCCTACGGTTACGAAACGCACACCTACAACGCTACTCGGAAAGACCTCGTTGCCAAGTTCCAGCCGTTAAAGGAGGCCGAAGTTACCATCTTGGAGCGGGAGCGCGGCCTTCTTTCACAGGGACAAGGTGCACAAGGTGAAGAACATGATCAAGTAGGAAATGCACATTCTGAATCGCTCCTGATGGCGTGCGAGTTGGGAAAGCTCGCCCCCATTGCTGAGGACGCGGCTCCTGAGGTGGCAGACGCAGTCCAGGTATGAATATCGTGTTCGTGTTTCTGTTTTTGATCTTCCAGATGGCCAAAAGCAAAAGTGGCAATGTTTTTGCACAGCTGCTTATTTGAAAAAACATCAACAATGCAACTACAGGCTGTGGGTGCCCACGAAGGTAGTTTGACCCCTCCCGCTGAGGAATGCAAAAAAGCGGAAAAAAGCGACAATGACGGTTGTGCCGCGTTTGTGCAGGCCAAAACCGCATCGATTGGCGCGGACGCGCTGAGCCCGGTGCCATACCGTCGTGGCAAGGCGGCGTCCATTGCGCCACCAAAGCCCCCGATGGGTACCTTTGGAGCTGCCCCTGCATCGGTATATTCATTCGGATTTTAGGACTTCGTCTGAGTTTTTCATTGGTCTACTTCGTTCTGTCATCTGAAGCATCAATCATGGAAATGGTATGGAGTCGAACTTCCCCTTTGAGATCATGAACCGGATGAGGCTCCGGATCTTTCTCGTCGTTATGTTCTTTGTTCATTGATGACGATCAATATAGAAGTAGAAGACCAAAAATTTGAATTGTCCGACCAAAAATAGGCCTCCTTTCCCTCCGCGTCCGCACCGGTCGTGCTAGAAAATTTGCAGCCAAAGCAAGCCACCGACACGTCCGATGGCAAAAACCCGCACCAAATAGATGCCCCTGCTACCAGTCCTGCCAGTCCGCGTGCGCGCGACGAAAAAGTGGTGGAGTTTCGGATCAGCATGCTGCACCATTGCGCATTATCCGACTACAAGGCCTACCGCTTGGACGAATACAAGGAAAAGCAGAAACAGCTGGAGACCTTGCTGAAGGGCAAAACTGTCGCGGAGAAGCGGCGGTGGGAACTGCCGGCTTTGGGGAAAAATACCGGAGCAGGAATTGTTAACGGCGCTGGCGCGAGTAGTTCTTCCTCGACGGCAATGGTGACGCAAAACAAGGCAGCCGACAGCTCTCCTTCCGCCAAAGTGAAAGTTGCAACCGGACTACCGGGGAAGAATAAAAATGTGAAAACTCCGAGCACTGCGAAGGTGGACAACAAAGCCAGTCCGGCGAACAAGAAAACGGAAAAGAAGGAGGTGAAAAAGTCGCCGCGCCGGGGCCCTCCGTCCGCACAGAAAGTTCCCCCGGTCGTCATCGTGCCGGTTGTCGGAGCAAAGGAGAGCGACGTGCCCTTTGGCGTCGAACTGCCGAAGAAGGTGGACGGGAAGGTTGGTCGTCCTATCGTAAAGGGCGGTGCAGCCGCTGGTCCTGGTGCCAAGGCACAAGTCCACGTGGGGCCCGGCAGCAGTTCGAGCAAGAAGGAAGAGTCCGCTGCCCCGCCGGCAGGCGGAAACAAGGAGAAGCTGCTGGACGTCGATGACGATCCGGAACAAAAGCAGCTGGTAGCAGAACTAGAAATCGGAGCCGAAGCGCCGCAACTACAACTAGACGAGGACAAGACTACTGGTGAGAAAAACGTCGAAAACGAAAACCTCTCCGCAACTGGAGGTGATCAAAAATCATCCAATCCGAAAAATGTTCAAAGTGAAAAAGACCAAAATGGTTCTGCGCCACCGTTGGATGAGGATAACAAGAATATCAACACGCTCTCCGGTGCCGCAGCGGCCACTACGTCAGCGAAGAATGTGATCACCGTCGAAGGTATTTTGGCGGAGAACATCAGTACCAACCAGCAACCTTCCTCGAATTTACCCGCTAGCAATGCCATGACGGAGGCAGCTCTCTGTGCTTTCAACACGAAGAACAAACTCGCTCCGTCCGCCATGGCGCAGGAGACCGCGGACGCTGCCTACAAGCGCGCAAACGCCGACCGGCCGATCTACGCGACTCTGTTTGAAACGGCGAACCAACTGCCACCCTGGTGGGACGAAGACATTCTGGAGGCCGCCGACTGGGCTGTGTTCGAAGAGAAGAAGTGGTGGCAGAAGCATTTCCAAACTGGTTGGACGTCCGCAGAGCAAGCGTCAGCCGCATCAGCTTCAAGCACGTTGTTTACTGGTCCATCTTGCACAGCAGGGAACGGGACAGGGACAGCCACCGAATTGGATCGGGTTCCGTACCTCGGAAATAAACAAGCAGCTCCAGACGTTGCCATGTCCGCTGCAATTGCTTGTACGGGGGCAATGATGGCCCTGGAAGGCGGAAGAGCCTCGGAAGTGGCGTACTTGAAATCAAAAGAAGTGCAACTTTCTGCCTACCAGCAGCAACTTGCGTCTGCTTTTGACAACGGGTACAAAAATAGCGCGGCTGCATGGCGGTCTACTGGACGAGGAAACTCCGGATCCGCAGCAGCTCCTTCGAACTCTAATGCGGCCGCTCCTGGCGCTTCTGGAGCAACATCAGCTGGAAAGCCTCAGATGAAGAACGCCGGGTCTACTGGCCGTGCTGGCGCAGGTGTGAAGCAACTGATCCGGCAGTGGGAGCAAAGTGGAGTCATTATCAAACCGGCGCGGAACCTGGACCTCCTTGTGAAGCGGTGGGGCGAGGCGATGCAGCAGGGGAAGAAATTCGACGAGGTTGCGGAACAGCAGAAGATGATCGATTTCGCATTCTGGTGGGACAAGACGCCCGGGGAACAGCCTGAAGAGGTCGTGGAGGTGGAACACAACGGGGAGAAGTTGGAGTCGGAAGAGCTCGCAGGCGTTGGTGCCTGCGCCTCGCCAAAACTGCATGGAACAACGGCGCAGCCACAAGATCAAGATGCAAGTGTGGGTGATGGAGAAGGAAAGGAAACAAACGCGGACAACGAGAAGGGGAATCCGAATCACATCAACTCCGCTGATGTTGAGGTTGCTGAGGAACGTACAGCAGTGCTACACGTTGCACAGCCCTCCGATCAGCAAAAACTACCGGAGAAAAACAATGAAGCAAGTGCAGACAAGACAGGCGCGCCGACGTCGACAACAGGAGGAACTGCAGCCGTAAAAATTCTCGACGATCATAACCAGCGCATCCTGGAAGAACGGCACTTGGAAAGAATGAAGAAACTACAGAAACTGGGAATGGACGAGGATTGCAAGAAAATCGAGGAACTGTGGAACGGAGGTGCACGCGGAGTCGGACTTGGAGATCCCAGCACTAATTTTGCGACAGTGGTAAACCTTTTCAAGAACACGAACGAAAAGAGAGCTGACGATAAAGAAGGGGTGCCAGATGAAAGCAGCTCCGGCAAAGAAAAAGATTCGGCGCTCGACGGTGCGAAGAATGTTGAACGTTGTCCGGAAGCAGATGTAAAGACGGAAAAGCACGACGATACGGGTACGGAGGAGAAAGCGGTCGAGCAGAAGTGTTCCCTCAACCTAGGAAACACGACGGAGGAGGATTCGTCGGAGATGCCGGCATCGGTGCAGCTTTCCGAGAACAAAGCCGCCGAAGTGCCTGCAGAAGTGAAGTCCGTAAACGTGGAGGAAACGAACAAGACTTCGTCTGCGACTTCCGTTAACGAACCCATCACCGTTGAGCGCATCAGAGCCGCGACCTCCGGCGTTTCCTGTACACCGGTGAAGGAAAATGATGAAAAACCCAATGAGATCAACTCGTCGCTTAACCAGCCCAGCACAATTGACCGGAGTCTGAATTCTTCTACACTATTGGGAATGACCGCTGCAAATAAGCCGAAAGAGGAATTAGTGAACTACACACCGATCATACCGAAAAACCAGGAACTTTCTGTTCCTGGAGCTTCAAGTAGTTCAACGCCCGGGGTCATACAGCTCAACACTGACACCTCATCTTTGTCGTGTACGGCCGACGGCGTTGCACCCTTGCCCAACACTTCTACTGCTTCCAACGGACGAGGATTCTTACAGCGGCCTGTCGGCATTTTGGGAAACATCTTTTCGTGGAAGCCGAAATCGTTGCTGTCACCGATGGCATCTTCCCCAGGCTGCAATAGTCGTGGCTTTCAGCCGCTACTGTCGCAAAAACTGCTGGAAGAGAGCCGTGATGGCGGTGTCAAAGGGGAGAATCAGCAGCAGGCAGAGAAGACCATGCCTGCTCCAGCAGCAGAAGGCAGCAACGCTGCATCCAGTACGGTCCTGTCCGGTGCTCCTCCTGCTCCAGCGTCTGCTTCAACATCTGTGCAGGAACCAAGTACTAGTACACAACCGGCTCCTGCAGCACTCGTTGCCAAGAAGCCGCCAACCTTACCAGTTGTAGCGACGCAACCTAAACTTCCCAGACAGGAACAAGCAAACGCGAAGAGTACGCGGAAAGAAACTGAAACCAAGCTCACAGCGACGCAACAATCGTTGGGGACCAATGACCTGCGCCGGGGATTGTCAACAGGACAGGACCAGGAACAAGCAGTCGAGGATTACGAGGAAGACGCCCCAGAGCGCGTCTTCCACCGGGCCCGTGTTCACAGCTTCATGGAGCAGGAGAAAGAGCGACAGGCGAAAAAGAGTTTCTTGAAGCAGGCTGGAGTTCCAGTTGAAGAGCAACAAGCTTTGTTGAACGACTTCAACGTGAGTCCGGAACAAGCTGCGAAAGCGCAGAAGATCCTGCAGCAGGAGCAGCTCGCCCAGCCGTACTACTTGGACAGGAGAGAGGCGGCGAAAAAGCAAGCGGAAACGGATTTAAAAAGCCGGAGGAACGATAAATCGAGTGAAAACTTCACCTTCCTCATGTTCAACGCGCACGTTGCTAACATTTTCCGGCCATCCAATCGTCCGCCGAAGGAGAAGAGTGTTCCTGTTTCTCAGCCGACGAACAAAAGCAGTGCCACGGCATCCGCATCGTCGGCGCCTCCTTTGCAAGCACCTAAACCTGCCGCCGCAAGATTAGTAGCTACATCTTCTCTCGCGGTTCCGGCTCCTGCAAGGAGTACAATCACCACGAACAAGATTGAAAACAGTACTACGGGGGACAGCAGCGCAAATGCACCATCTGGAACGAGCAGCGCTGCTGGCAAGAACAATACCGAAACCTGCGAAACTGGACCTGCAGCTGCAGACGCAACCAATGTAGAAGCTGCTGCCCCTGCCCCGCCTGCGGTTTTTTCATCGGGAAAAAGTAAAGACGGTGAAGAAAACGCGGCTACGTCTAAGGGCGACCCCACGACGAACTGCGACAAGGACAGTACGAACGAAGGCGCTACCGGTACCGGACCACAGTCGAAAGAGAACGTTTCGAAAGAAGGCAGCACGGAGGACGTGATGAACGCGACGAAAGAGGCCGCGGAAGCCGCTCCAGCACCTAGTTGCGCGAAATTTTTCCCGCCCTGGTTCGACGATGCAGAAGGCTAAAGCTGCAGGGAGATTCTGTAGTTGTAATTCATTGAGTCGCTAAACAACACAACTCTGACTCTGTCCTTAACACCTTTTTCCTAAAAACTGTATACTTCGTACCAATCTCACTCACACTATCGTGCGTCGAGCATAAAGAACAGTGGATGTTATTTCACATTCAAGCCAAGTTAGTAGGAGTAGAAAATCAAAATTCAAGACCTCCGAGTCCGAGCAGCAGCCCCTCGAGCAGGCGTCGTTCATGAGATAGAAGATACAAGACTGCGCTTCGCAAAAGAAATACTAATACAATGAGAAAGCGAAAAGATGACAAAGAATAAGAAATGTGAGATGCTCATATCTACGTTTATTCTACTGCTTCACCGTCCGATAGATTTAGATAATCAAGTTTTCAACAATCGCTACGAAATAAAAATGGGTATTTACTTCTGCGTTGCATTTCCATTTTCGTCTTGATAGATAGTTCGCTTGGTATCGTCTTCCTTCCAGATTGTTGAGAAGGACACAAGTAATCAAATCATTTCAGAGTTTCAAACGCAGTGTTTATTTTTGAGTGATGGCACTTTTTTAGAATCGTTTCTTGCTTTTCAACTTTCAATTCAGGCACTCTCACGATTAGAGTTATAAACGAATTTAAAAAAACGCGTATTCTTGCCGTGGTATTTCTAGAAAAAACAAGTTTCACCTACTGTCTACGCTTCCATTTGTGTACAATTTTATTTGTTTAGGCTTGGACTCATCAGAAAAACGACTATACGAGAAAACAATATGACACGATTTATGATTTTATATGTTTCCATTCTATGTCTGGTTGATGGCGCTAATATGGTTGAAGCTATTCCAATCGACAATGACACTGTATACAAGGAATTAATGCAACCATTGATTAAAACAAAAAGAAGAAACTCGCCACCAGTCACGAACATTGTAATTGTTGATGATCTTCGTTCTGTTATAATGCGTCGTTGCTGTCGTCGATAAGTCTAAATGTTTCGCTTCTTGTTCTGTCTGGTTGTAGTTGTTCCTTTGAGCATTTAGTTGTATGAAGATCGAAAAATGTGCATCCTACGGCAACGACGGCTATTTAAGGAGGTCATGCTGGATTTCATCGCGCTGAGCGCGTTCGCCTCATCTAGATCAATGGGAGACGGATTTTTAAGTACATTCAGAGGATGGCCTTCTTGGCAAGTTCTAACACTGAGAACATGATGAAAATGAAATAATGCCCTCAACTTAATATCCAGTTTCAGTGTTGCGCCTGCAGTTCCAGTTCCACTCAGAAAGCGGTAAAGCAGCACATGGACATGCAACATTTCATGTGGTTGTGGTCGATGATAATACTCGTCTCTTGATGATGCCATTTTGACAATCAACATCATGGTCGTTTTTTTCAGCAAGATCGTCCTTTCCGGTCGGAAGGTGCTGTTTTCCGTTTTCGTCTTCCTTCCCCTCTTAATGACGAACCCATCGTCCACGTCCGTTGTCGTAGAAGGAAAAAGTTCTGCGACCGTCGAGCAGGGCGACAACCAACGGTTCTACCAGGGCGCGGGAAAAATACGCGGCCGGAGCACAATGTATGAAAACGCAGAAAATTGCTCGCACGATGAAAAATTTGATCTGTGTCTGAAGCCCTTTTCGAATGCGATGTAAAATCCGAAGCTTGCGCGCTCTCATCGCCCGCGTCCACCGGATATTCCTATGTAAAAATCTATTTCATGCAAATGTGATACATAATCACAATTTATATGTTCGCGCGGCTATTCCGGATGGCCCATCCGATTCCGAATGAGGTGATCTTTCTTGTTTTCATATTCTGCGTTCCCACGACGACCACGCTAACCCCAAAAGTACCGACGCAGCGGCAGCATCGTCGGAGAATCCGGATGTCATTTTGTTCTGCGCCGACATCGTGCATTCTTTCGGCGCAAGCATCGCTGCTTTCATTGCCCTACTGACCTTCGTGACGAAGTGGAAGAAGACCGTGACGTGTTTCTCGTCGAAGAACAACTGTCATACCGTGATCAAAATCAACACCCCGGTCTCCCTGGAAACGGACTGGGGCCTGTGGGGCGTGCATTCCGGGGCGGGGCTCAGCGAATTGTCCCTCGCAGAGAAGGAGAAACTACCGGCGAAGCGGTTTCGCGACGTGTTCGACTTGCAGAAGATTGAGCGGGAGCTGGATGTGAAAATAGCGGAATTTGACCAAGAAGCTATGAGCGTGAAGCAAATCTAACGTCGAGTCCCGTACTACACGTAATAAAATACAGCCGCGAGATTCATGCATGAAGTGATGACATACAGCCGCACAAACTCTATTACTCGGATGAAACGGCAACGCTAATGACATATTGCGTAAATCTTGTACCCGCTGCGTGGTGCTGCTACAAAACTTTTTGTACATGCACGATGGATCGCATTTGCTTTCCTGTGAATGAAACTGGTGCAGATAAAACACGTAAGAGGTAGCACGGCATCCTCTTCGTTTAGCGGTCACCCGAGACAGCAAGGCGGCGCCACAGTCGCAAAGGAAATCGCGATCCCGTGTTCGAATAAGCTCGAAGCGGAGGTCACCGTCCAAGTGGACAAAACCAAGTTCATCTGGGCGGAGGACGGGCAGCGCAAGGGCGTGGCAGACTTCCTGCTGAACCCCTTCTGGAACACACTCCCGAAGCTGCTGCAACCAACATGCCGGCCGGACGATTTGCTGCACCGCCAACGCCCCGAGGAGTTGGCGCCCGAACTGCTCAAATTTCTCTCCAACGCCGCCACCATGTACTGGGCGTGGAAACGAGAACGCGATGTCAAGACAGCCACGCTTTTGAGGCTGGCCGTAGACCGTCAAGAAGGTGAAATAAGCAGGAAAAGTTCTAGCAGTGCCGCGGCCGGAGGAGGTGCTAGTATCTCTACGCCAGCATCGGTCGTCGCACAACAACAAGAGGAAACTGAATTTGACCTCGCGTTGGAGCAGTTACGCGCTATGGAACAGATGCAAAGCCCAGATGGACATGGAGGTGGAACTAGTACATCGAGCGTCGACAACGTGATAAACGCAGGAAGTAGTTCTTCCGCGCGGCCCTCGTCCCTACCGCCGACTCCGATGAGTGTGCAATCTCTCCGCATCCAGCTGGCGGAGTCGATCAGCAAGCTGAAGGACGAGAAACAGGCTTGGATCGAGTCGACGCGCGTACAGCACACATTTAGCAGCGGGGTGCTCCGGCTGTATTTCCAAGACTACTACAGCTTCACGCACAGCACGCTCGCGGCGAACATGCTTCTCCACCTGAGCCCAGCGATCTTCACCGAGGAGGCCTTTCAAGTGGGGCGGGCTCTAGCCTTTCGACCGCAGACGTGGCCGCTGGAAGAAGAACTGGTGGACGTCGCCAGTCGGTACTTCAACAGCACTGTGTATTTTCGAAACTTGCAGAGGAAACACGCTAGGGACTGGAAGCCGATCTTTTCTCCCTCGTCAGAGGATGGAAATGAACACTCGACTACAGAAAATGCTGACCTTGGGGCGGGAGCTGACAGCGACAACCCCGCACTGGAAACACCTGCAGCAGCAGCTGAAGCCGGTACTTCCGCCGAAAGAGATGAAGAAAGCGCACACGCTCACGACGGAGCTGCGACAAGAATTACAAGCACAACTCCATCCGACAAAGTTGTCAAGATCCGCGGCAGCGAGGCCGACCTTGCGCGCCTGCAGGAAAAGTCGCGGCTCAGTGGGAGGGAAAGACGAAGTGTTGAAAACAGCATGATATCATCTACTTCATCTCGTGGAGGAGGAGGTGGCTCTGCCGGTGGATCCTCATCTTCGTCGACTACGGCTTCAAGAAAGACAGTGCCTCACGTATCAGCCCCCGTCGGCTATAACGTTAACGGCGGCGCAGGGCAGAATTTTTTACCTAAGGCGACAAGAAAATTGATTGCTCCTGACGAGGATGACTCTTCGAACGAGGGGGGCGTGTTGCCAGGTGGCGCCGCCGGAACAAAATCTTCGTCGTCATCTTGCGCGTACGTATTGCTTCGCCGCCGGCTATTCCTGCCGCAAGACTATGAAAAATTGCAAATGATTTTATTCGTGGAGGCGTGACGGTTTCGGGGGAAAGTCAACGACTAAAAGAAAGTATTGAAATTGATGATCATAATGAGCATCGTATGCTTTCCCGCTTCCTGAGCATGTTTGTTGTCCTCTTTGGGCCTTGCTTAGAGGGCAGCAGCTGTGATCATGGGAATTATTCCGAAGTTCGCATTTGATGCAGCTTCTTTGTACTTGGCATATCGATTCATATATTGCATTCGTCATCAAGAATAGAAACAAAAGAGCATGAAAACAAAGCGAAAGCGTCTGCTCTTTCTCCTCGTCCCACATCCGACAAGAGAAATAATTTGCCTCCCTATAGTCCTCCGCTTGTGACCAAAGTTCCCAACTTCGTCGGGCGCACCCGCCGGGGGTCGCGGCAGTTAACCCATGCGGAGATGGCGACCATGATAGCAGATTTGGAAGTCGAGCCTCTGTCGACCAATGGCAATGCACCTGCAGGCAACGCCCAGGCTCCTGCCTCTGCTGCAGCAGTCATCACCGCGGCGCCGGACGTTGTGTCGTCCGCGGCGCCGACAGCTACATACAAATCGACTACTGATCCCTACGTCTCCATGACCAGCTGCGCGCGACAGGGACGGGCGACCAACTTCTACGCCAACCAGGAGTGCGTACAATACGTTTCCTTGCGGAATTTCGTGCGATATCCGAAGTAAATCTGCGAGGTGCCATGACGTGCCTGGGCCTGATCCATAGTAAAAAGCTCATTCTGCATGCTGTCATGGTGAGCAACGCAGGGCCCATGGTCGTGCCTGCGATGCGAGTGCGTAAGAAGCGCATCCTCTTTCGTGTGTTCGTGTGAAGTGCGATAGATGCCCAGCGCCGTCGGCAGCACGATGACCAGTGTGGTAAGTTTATGTTTAAACATAACGCCCTTTTGCCGGCCCGGAGGCGACAGCGCTCGCAATTTTTGCAATGCATACTCGGAAAATCGCGACAATTGTGACGGCGGAGACAAACAACGAAGTGAACTGCGCGGCCCTGAATCTGAACCTTTACCGCAAGTCCGCGTTTTCGGATCTGAATGTGTACACGGAAGACGAGCTTTTGCATTGGGAGAAGTGGATGTCTGACCAGATTTCCCCTGCGCTTTTCAAGTTCTACATTCTGCGCAAACCGTACCACCTGGGTCCGCGGTACGACGCAAGCATCAATCTGGCGCTGTTCCACTTGGCCTCAGAGGCCCGGGTCTTCATTTCTGAGGTGGGTACCTTCTGGGGAGACGCACTTCTCCTGAGTCGGCTAGCGAACGCAGCGGCACCGGCGCGGCCGACCGACGAGAGCCGAGCGAAAGAAAAAATCGGCATCGTGCTGGAGGCCAACGGCACGGACGTCCGCGTGGTGTTGTCGACGCGGTGTATGGATGGCGAACTAAGTTCTATGATGTCATGGAGGTCAAAGGCAGGCGAGAAAAAGCAAAAAACAGAAAAACAAAAACTCAGATCGATGACTTAGACTTAAGCATCAGCGAGGCATTGCTCCTTCGGGATCAAACAGCACACCAGATCTTTTGTCCATGCAACTAATAAAGTGCGCCTGCGCGCGCGTTATTATATTTGTGTTTTCTGAATCTTGGTTCGCGAAATTGAGGAGTTTAATCCAGGTACGTGCTCTTAGCGAACGGCGCGAAAATGCTTCGTCTTTCCACCAAAAGATGAAGACAGCGAGGAAGAAAACGAACCTTTTGCATGACCAAAGCAGAGAACTAGTTCCGAACTTCCATACTCTTGATAGGCGAACAAAACACGACATGCGGATTAGTGAGAGGCAGATGCACAATGGTGGATAGAATTTGGAACGGATTTTATCACTAACCTCAACGATATCGGTGCGTGAGGAGCCTGATTTTATGCGCAACAAGAAGAACCCGATTTCAAATAACAAATCTCGATCATGTTTGTTGCAATGATCACGATGCTGATGCAGATGCTGCAAAATCAACATGACCATGCGATTTGTATTGCTATACTTGTGATTTTGATTTCAAGAAAATTAAAATTGGTGTTGCGTTCTTGAGACAACTTGAATATATGCAGCGACAGAAAAAAACATGGTGACGCTTTTTCTTATCCATTATTCGAAGATTTATTCAGCATGTTCTTGCATATTCATTTATTTGGTCATAGAAAAAAACCGATCTCAAGGATCATCTCGTGATATCTCCATGAATCATTTGAGAATACAATAAAACATATATCTTCGATCAAATCATGTTCATGATCAAAAATATTTAAAGAAAGAAGGATAAGAGTGGTTAATTCAAGAGAGTTTTTTTTCGTCATCAATGTATCATCGGGGAATCTCTTCGGTTTTATTCAGATTTGTGATTCTTTTTTTTATTCATGATGATCAGAAATCTCATCTTTAGGTCCATGGTTCGTGGGTCACGCAATATTCAATCGGTCGGGGAGGTCATTCTTGTTTAGGAAGATCTGGTGTTTCAAAAATTTTCTATCATCAAAATGTAAATGAAAATAGCATAAAGAATCAAAAGAATATGAAATAATCGATGTAATGGAATCTCAAAATATATTCATTCGCAACAGCGTACGACGTGTGCATTGCGATTTACCGCGGAATTGTGGAACAGGCAGCACAGGGGGCGGCACAGCCCTGGGGCCTGCGACTGTGGGCGCCCCGCGCGCAGTTCGCCACTCCGGGGCAAACGGCCGACACGATCGCGCAGGCGCTTTCCGGTTCGGCGCGTGTGTTGCTAGACGTTTTGAAGGAGCTGCGTTTCGCGGACGATACCGCGTTCCCCGACCGCATCCCGGGCGCACTGGTGCTGAACTCCGCCTGGATGGCAATGGGGAATTGCACAGGCGTGTGGGCGAACCGCACCAAGTACCTCTTGGCGAGTATGACGGCCACACAGCTCACCGCCGCCTGCCGCTACCTGGGGAACTGGTTGGACGACGCGCAAGACGTCGAAGTACGGAAGCAGCGCATGTCCTGGGCGATCACAGAACTCGCAGCCATCGGGGGCGCTGCGGAGAGCGGCACGGACCTGATAGTGAACCTGGTCTGCCGGATTCGCTCGCGGGGAACCTTCGCATGCGAGACACGCACCTGGGGCGCGGATGAGATCGCATCACTGCAGAAGTTAGAAAGCGACGCGATGCTCATGTTGTGCGGTTACCGCCGCTGGCAACTGCACTCGCTCCACCTACCGATCTGCCGGCTCCGTAGGATTCACAAAGTCGAACCCCTAGTGGCGTTCATCCGCTTCATGCAGCTGCGCTTCTTGGGCCACTTGGTCAGACTTCCGCACTGGCGGTTGTCGCGCCGTGCGCTCTTCGGAGCGTTTTTGCTGGGAGGGGTTCCCAGGTTGGAGTACGAGTGGTTGGCCGCACCGCGACCGGGGGCAAGTCCGGACACGCTCTGGACACAGGGCAAAAAGACGCTGGCGCTCGTATGCGGCGGAGAGGTGTCGGACTCGCTCATGCTGGCGCTAGCAACCTGCCGCACAGTCTGGAGGACCCTGATCTTTGAGGCGCGTATAGCACTGACCGTGCAAGACTACGCGGCGGACCCGCAGTGCATGGAAGAGCAGAAGGTCGAGGCCCAGGCGCATTGGGTTTCGCATTTTTCAAAGAAGGACATTGACCAGCTGCCTCGACATGACCTCCAGTCTTTCCGGCAGTGGTACGACCGCGCAGGGGGCAAAGCAATCCAGGACTCCGAGGAGGGCCGTAGCCTCGCGGAGGCGATCAGCAAGGTTGCGGCTGACCTCGACGCGCCTAACCGCTGCCGAGCGGCACCGGCGTGCCACTTCTGCGTCCCAGGACAGAGACCGGGGGAAAGGTGTCCGATTAAGTTCGCGAACCACTACGATTGCCACCCCCTCTCGGAGGAGACGGACTGGCGAGTGTTTGAAGTCCGCAGTCACGAACAGACGTGCCCGCTGGCGCAAGAGACCGAGCAGAAGAGGTGGCCGACGACGGCCATCCAGCCCGTAGAACTGAACGCAAAGCAGGAGATCACGAACGCCCTCCGGGTCTGCACGGGGGAGGTAGACAAAAAAGGCAAGCCGACGGTGCTGGCGAAGATGATCAACTTCGTGGGGGGCAACAACGTGCTGCAGGAACTAGACAACCCCCCCAGCGGGGCTTTTGACATGCAGGCGGAGTGCTGTGAGATCGTGAGTCAGATCTGCTCCTGGGATGACTTCGTAGTGTTCCCGGACCGGGACGACCTCCCGGAGCTCTATCGCGACGCCGCACTGCCGAGGCCTAAAAAGTGGCGCATTGCAGAAATCAAGTGCGCATGCTTGGAGTGTCGCCCGGGGAACAGGGGGCCGCTGAAGCGCTTCGGCTCTCTCCGCGCGGCCTTTGTGCACATGCGCTGCCGGCAGCAGGCCGCCGCGGAGAAAGACTTCGGCGAGACGTTCGCGCCACCACCAAAACCACAGCCGGAGCAACGGGCGTTGCCGAAGCGGCTCCACAACGAAGAACCGCAGCGAGTAAAGCAGGCGCTCGAGCTGCGTGGAGGCAGCAAGGAGCTTCCGGTGGGGGTCACCTTCAACACACTGACGAAGAAACTCGCGGCCACCTTGCGCATCACCGACGATGCGGGGGAGGTCTTCCCGCTGACCCGCGTCATCGACCCGGAGTTGCACGCGACAGCAGACGAAGCGGCAGAAGCTGCTGAAGAGGTCCGTGCCGCACTGCGGGCCGACCCCTGGGAGGACGTCGCCAGAATCCGGGCGCAGAGACGCGCGCGAGAGGCCCGCGAGGGGCCACAGCAGTAAGACGAAACTGCGTTCGAAGACGGCCTTCCCGACCCTGCGCCTGGCCGAGTGCACAACACGCAGCAACTGGGTCGGGATCTCACGAAGCAGTACACTCCGGATGCGACCCCGGAGTAAGGGCGCTGAAACGAAGAGCCTCGCGCAGTTAGTCCCTGCGCGCGCGAGGACGGAAAGATCGAGTCTCCTCTCATTTCGACTCCTCTGTTGAACAAATAGGGTTGTAGTCTCGCGAGTTTCCCTCATGAATAAATTGTAATTGTAATCGATTGAATTTTGTTTTCTTTCCATCCAAAAATTTCAAAAACTCTTGAACTAGAGCTTGACATTCTTTATTCTTCAAATATAATTTTTCTATTTCATTCCTCCATCTTTATCTTTATCTTTATCTTCATCAATCGAGAGAATTATATGATGATGAGATCGATGACAGACAATTTCGGATTGGAGCAGAATGATAATTTGAGTCATACATGCCCAGATATGACAAGAAAGAGAGAAATCCAAAAATTTTAAAAAAATATTTTTTTAGATTATCCATCTGCATTCTCATCATATATATATTTATCTTCATTCTCATCAGGTATATATCTTTATTCTCATCAAAAAAATATTCTGATGATCGATCCATTCTTATTGAAAAAAAACCAATTTTTCATGATTTCGAATTCGAAAAATTAATCCTAAATCAATTGAAAAAAAAAAATATTTTTCTGTGTGTATATCTGGATCGATAAGATTCAAATTTGGTAATCAGAGAAAGATCCATCTGAAATCCTGGATCCTATATTATTATTCTAAATCTATGATACTACAATATGATTATTGCCAAACCAAATTCCCTTAGGCGTGAAATTCCCTGATTTCCAATCTACCATCCCTAGGGATTTTTGTGGGTCTAACTGGTGAGGAGGGATCGCACAGTTGTAAGCTGATTTAGTTGCGACAACAGCAGCGATAACGACGACTGAGCAAACGTTGATCAAAACAAGCGGAGAAGCTCTTGCGGGCTCGCACCTCCTGTGCAAGCACACGGACAAGCTCGTGCCAAGAGCGAGGGCGTGTCGTTTCGTTTTATTTTTATTTATTTGTTGTTGCAAGTTCCCAGTACATTTCAAGTTCAAAGCTGTGACAATACAGTTTAGTTGGCGGCTGATCCGCTACGTTGACGTCTCGATTTCAGAGACGTCGCGACACTGTCCAGTGTCCTCCCGGCTCTTGTCTTGAGTTGTTTCACATCATGTTTTGTAGCTTGTAGGCTCGAGACACAAGTCGAGAGTCAAAAGTGACTTTCAAAACCAACGACGAAAACTTTGATCTTCTCAACTTCAACCTCATCTCAAACCACAACCGCACCGGTATCTTGATTGAACACTAGTTGCCTGCGAATATCATCATTTCTCATAACGCCTCTCTTTCGCAAAAGCGAGTGTTCTGGTGGTTAGGATGTTGAAGCTGTGCTAGCTGAACGAAGTGATGTTGGAGTTGTTTTAGTTGCAATCAGTTGTTGGAAGATGTCCTTTTTAGTTGTAATTCTCGTCTTCCTCGTCTTACTCGGAAGCCTGTTCTGATTCGCTCGTGGAAATGATGTCGTTGTCGTCTGGGTTCGCCTGTAACTCAGATCGTTTGTCTTGAATCGCCTGCTGCACACGTGGTTTGGCAGAAATGGCCACGATCTTGTCGTACGGTCCCGGCGGAGGTCCCTGGAACTCTAGAGAACCATGACAGTGATTCTCCAAGAATTCTTGCTCGAAGACATTATGAAACGCCACCTTATCCCGTAAGCACCGTGGATCCAGTTTTCTTTTCTCGAACTGCCCAAGAAGCCAGTCTGCAAAGTAACCGCCCATGATGAAACCACTGTGAGATGTTTTCGGGCAAAGGATCGACTCCACCTGCCTCCAGAAGTGCCTCTCTCTTCCGGAATTGGACTTCATGCCGTGGTGCCATTCGAGTCCTGCATACGTGTGATTGCGACGAAAACGGTAGTTTCCGAGTAGTTGCGCAACGGTCTTCGTGTACGGGGTCTTCGTGTGCGCAGCTGGGACGAGTACGACAGCAGTTTTCGGCTGTAAATTCGGTTTTAGTTCAATTCCCACCTGGCTGGCAGGGGGTAAGTCTTGGTTCTCCTGGCGAGCAGGAGATGGTGTCTTTCCTTTCTTTTTGATAATATTCTTCTTCCACGCTTTCCTCATCCGGTTTTCCTCCGCCTCGGCCTTGCGGTGGAAGAAATCGTCTTCGGACCAAGTGTTGTCGTCCCCGGAACTTTTATATTTATAGTTGAAGTTTTTGATG